CAAGTGTTTTCCGACTGGCCTGCTCTGAAAGCGGCACTTGGCGATGTGTACGGACCACGGCACAACGAGGAAACATCGCGTATGGGACTAATTTCCGCAGCGCAGCGCGGGTCGCTGGACGCATACATTGCTGCTTTCACTCGCCTCAGCCTGCAAGTGCCGGAAATCGACCACCACACCAGAGCGCTGCTGTTCGTCAGGGGTCTAGTGCCGCACATCCAGCGACAGGTCATGCGTGAGCATCCACGTACCCTGGAGCAAGCTGTCATGGCAGCAAACACCGTGGAGCAGTCGTCAGGGCCACCGGCGTCGGGGCCACCAGCCAGTAGAGAGTCGCGTTCCGTGCCCAGCTTCCGTGGTCAGGGCCTCCGCAAGCTGACGGACCAAGAGCGTGTCCAACTGCGAGCAATGGGACACTGCTTTGCTTGCAGGAAGCCAGGCCACCTCGCTAAAGACTGTACTGAGGGTGGACAGCGCTACCCAAACGCTGGTCGCCAGTAAGAAAGGGGGTGCGCTTACTGGCGACGACCCAAGCGCCCACGCCGGTACCAGTCGCTAACCGGTTCGGAGCTCTGGAGGTTGAAGACGTTGCTCTCCAGGAACCTACGGAGCCGGAGACACCCATAGCTGTAGGAAATTGTCCCGTTGCAGAAAGGTGTCATGTCAGCAACGTCAGCGTCGGCAATGAACCTGAACACGACCTACTGCGCATACAGGGAAAGATCGGCGGTCGCCGTGCAGTGATGCTGATAGATTCCGGTTCGACGCATGACTTCATTGCAGACAGTTTTGTTCGAAAGCATCATCTTGACACGGATGCAAGCTCAGCAGTGCTGAGCGTAACATTGGCGGACGGCTCGACCAGCGAGGTCCCGCAGATTTCCACACGCACGCTAAGGGTGACAGTCGGGGGCTTCAGTGAGGAACAGCACTTTACTGTGTATCCCCTGACTCGCTACGACGCTATTCTTGGCAAGCCGTGGCTTACAAGGAACAACCCCAGCATCAACTTCCGTACGAACGAAGTTCAGTTGGACGGTGAGCCCTTTGTTGCCAAATTGCCTTCAGCTAACCCGCCGACAGCCGACCGGCCATCTGTGGAAAGCATGTTTATCAGTGGCCGACAAGCTCGTCATGCCCTGAGGAGTGGAGCCGAGGGGTTTCTTGCATGGGTCACTGCTGCAAACGAGGAGAATCGTTCCGGGCCACAACTCCAGGAATCAGAGCAACAAGACATCCAGAACCTGCTCAAGAGGTACCAGGATTTATTTCCAGACGAGCTGCCGAATGAGCTTCCACCGAAGAGACCAGTCGACCATGAAATCCAGATAGAAGATGGAGCCAGACCACCGTCTCGACCCGCCTACCGCCTGCCGAAACCAGAGATGGACGAGCTCCAGTCACAGCTATCAGAATTACTTGAGAAGGGATTCATTGAGCCAAGTAAGTCGCCATACGGTGCACCTGTGTTTTTTGTGAAAAAGTCGGATGGTACTCTGAGAATGGTGTGCGATTGGCGAGAATTGAATAGAATTACGATCAAAAACAAAGCTTGTCTTCCTAATATTGATGACTTATTCGACACGATCCAGGGCAGTGCATATTTCTCCAAGTTGGACTTGCGGTCAGGCTACAATCAAATCAGAATTCAAGACTCGGATGTTTCTAAGACGGCCATTAATACGCCGTTCGGCCACTTCCAATTTAGAGTCATGGGATTCGGGCTGACTAATGCCCCGGCCACCTTTCAGTCTCTCATGAACTCTATTCTGCAACCGCATCTCCGAAAATTCGTTGTAGTATTCTTGGATGACATTCTAGTTTTCAGCAAGACCTGGGAAGATCATCAGCATCATCTTCAAACAGTTCTAGAAACACTTAGAAATAGTGAGCTGTATTGCAAACAGTCTAAATGCGAATTCGGCGTGAGAGAAGTTCTCTTCTTGGGGCATAAAATCAACGGCACATCAATTTCCCCTGATCCCAAGAAGATAAGTGCTGTGGAAACATGGCCAACTCCGTCGTCAGTAACTGATGTGAGGAAGTTTCTTGGCTTTGCAAACTATTTCCGAAGGTTCATAGATCGACACTCGACCATCTCTCGTCCATTAGAAGAAATCACCGGAAAAAATTCACGCTTTGAATGGAGCGCTGCTAGACAGAAGGCATTCGAGTCTCTAAAATCAGCATTACTCGAGGCGCCAGTGTTGCAACTGGCCGATGTTGAGAAAAGCTTCATGGTAGAAACTGACGCAAGTGACTTTGCCGTGGCGGGTGTGCTCCTGCAGCAGGGAGAAGATATGGATTTGCATCCCGTAGCCTATTGTAGTCGGAAACTGTCAGCTGCAGAACGCAACTATACTGCGGCCGAGAGGGAAACGTTGGCTGTGGTATTTGCATTAAAGTGCTGGAGAATCTATCTATTCCGCCACTTTGACCTGATGACTGATAATATGGGTGTTGTCTATTTACGAACCAAACCGACTCTCACCAAGCGTGAGGCAAGATGGGTAGAGTTTTTAGCTGACTATGACTTTACGGTCTTTCACAAACCAGGAAAGAAAAACATTGCCGACCCGCTTTCACGCCGTCCAGATCTGTTCAGTGATTCTGAAATAGGCGGGTCATCCTATCCTCCTAACATTCAGTTGAATGCCATAGAGCATACCCTAGAGATTAATCCAGACTTAGCGCAGTTAATTGTCAACGGTTACAAGTGCGACAAGGATCTTGCTCCCATTATCAGGAGACTGAAAAATTCAAGCCATGACAATCTGCACGACCGTTACCTTCTAAATGAAACACCCGGTTATCTTTATCTCAGATCTTCACCACAGAACAGGTTATGCATTCCAAAGAGTAGCAAACTCCGACTCGCCCTGCTTCAAGAATACCATGACTGTGTGACTGCGGGGCATCCCGGTCGAGATCGCACCTATTTCAGACTCTCTAGATATTTCTATTGGCCCAGAATGGGACTGGATGTAAAGGCGTTTGTCAAGTCATGTGACGTCTGCCAACGAGTTAAAGGCGGCCAGCTAAAAACTGGTCTCTTGCAGAATTTACCAGTGCCCAGTCAGCCGTGGGCAGATATCTCGATGGATTTTATCATGGGTTTGCCTAGGACCGATACAGGTCATGATGCTATATATGTATTTGTAGACCGCTTGACAAAGTGTGTACATTTAGCACCTACTTCCTCTACTATTGACGCTAAAGGAAGTGCTGATCTGTATATTCAACATGTATTTCGACTTCATGGTTTGAGTTCTAGTATTGTATGTGATCGTGATCCAAGATTTACGGCAGCATTTTTTCAGGAATTGTTTGATCGCTTAGGAACGAAACTAGCATTTAGTACTGCCAATCACCCTCAGACAGATGGCCTAACTGAACGAGTAAACAGAATAGTAGAGGATGTGCTGAGGGCTTTTGTAAATCATAAACAAGATAACTGGGATATGCTCCTACCTCTCTGTGAGTTTTCTATCAACAGCGCTACTCAATCATCTACAGGAAACACACCGTTCTTCTTAAATTACGGTCTAAATCCCAGAGCGCCACCCGACTTCCTCAACCCTATTCAGGGAGGCAGAGATTCAGCTGATTGGTTGCAAGCAAGACAAGACGCGGTCAAGATCTCACAAGATGCGCTAGTGGCAGCTCAAGCTCGTCAGGCCTTCTATGCAGATCGGACAAGGGTCGAGGGAAAGCTGAAGGTGGGAGATTTGGTAATGGTCTACCGGGATTTCCTCCTGACTCCTGAAGCTCGGGACCGACCATCCCATAAATTACGCCCCAAGTGGTTTGGCCCCTTTCCTATAACCCATGTGGTCGGCCCGAATGCCTACAAGCTCAAGTTGCCTCATACCAGCCGCTGTCACCCGGTATTTAATGTGTCGGCACTCCGTGCCTACGAGAAGAACGCTATTCCTAATAGGAGACAGCCTACGCCTCCGCCTATCACGGACCTTGATGGTCATGCCCGCTATGTGGTGGAGAACATTCTCAGTCACCGCCGTCGGCAGAATCAGCTTCAGTACCTAGTCAAGTGGCAAGGCTACTCTGATGCCACTTGGGAGCCTGAACATTATTTGTTGGATGAATCTGGTAATGACATTGTTCCACTTCAGAAGTACAAAACCTTGGCTTCTGCCCGCTGAGTTTTGCAGTTGAACTTCTAGTTTCACCTTACACATTTGTTGAGCTTATTACACTTTATTTGCATGGAGTTTCAGTCGTCTTATTGTGTTACTTCAGTGCGAAGCCTTTTTTCGTCTCGCACGTGTTTGCGCTTATTGTACTCTATTCCACTTGAGCATTTGGGTTATAAGCTCCTTCCTCTCCATAGGAGGGGGATGATGTAACAGTTTTCCCCTGTTCTCTATAACTTTACACTCCCTCGCACCTCGTGCGTCTTACGCCTGTCTATTAGCACCTTCATTGGCGCCATTGCCACATGTATACTATCACATTTTGCATATAACTGGTCGAGGCACGCTCAACCAGGCCTCTTACTTTTCAAGTTTGATTAAACCTGTTACAGCCGGGGCCATGGCCAATAGGCGATCTTCCCGCCGCGGGCATAATCAGGCCATCAGGACCGTTTGACGTCATTTCGGGAATGTTCGGACCGTTTGACGTCATTTCGGGAATAATTTTTCGACCTTTCGAGCTTTCCACCTTTGACCTTCCCTAATATGTTGCTTCGCGCTGTAAGAAATCAAATCAAGCACGCTCTGTCTGTCATGATGGCTGAATCTTGCCCTTGCCTGCAGCCCTCGGGCCTACGGCCCTTGGGCTGCAGGCTCGGGCAAGATTCAGCCATCATGACCTCCTGAGCGTGCTTGATTACATACTTCATGACATCAAGAGTTACCGCCCGGATGATATGAAAGCACACTTTTTCGATGATTTTCGAATCAACGCGTATCCTAGCAATAGAATATGGCGCCACAGTTCAAGGACCTTTCGCCGGTGAAGTACGAGCAGTTTTTCAGAATGATTAATTTTTGGTTTGAATCGACAACAAAATCAAGGTCTTGATGAGGCTGCTGAAGAGCAAGTAACAGCTGCTTGATTTGCTCTCTATCCTGAAGTAGTTTATGGAGACCGTTGGGCTGCGAGCCGTCTCCAAAGCTGGACAATCAGATTTCCCCTCTCTCTCATCAATTCTTTCACCAGTTTTATGAATGGCCGAGGAGAGCTCGACAGTGGAAGGGTCGCTGTATGCTGTGCTGAATGTTCCACAAAATGCATCTGAGGAGGAGATTCGCAGTGCATATCGCAGGCTGTCTGTCGTGTTCCATCCCGACAAGCATGCATCGAGCTCGGAGGACGATCGGCAGACTGCCGACAATGAGTTCCAGCGCATCAAGTATGCCTACGAGGTGCTGAGTGATCGATCACGACGAGACATCTACGATTTGTATGGACTGAAGGGATTGCAGGCGGACTGGGATGTTGTGCCCCGTGTCGCCACTGGTCTGGAGATGTTGGAAGTGTACGATCGCATCAGACGCTTGCGGCAAGAGGAGTACGTTCAGAAACTGAGCAAGCCGTGCGGCAAGGCTGTTATCAGATGCGATGTGCGTGAGATTGGAAGGCTGTTCGCGCCTGCCCCGACGGTGCAAGAATATCAAGATGATGAATTCGATGATGATGAGGAGTACTTCATGGATGATGATGACGATGAAGCTGATTTTCTGGATGAAAACAATGCCGAGCAGAGTGTTGAGTCGGAGCGTAGGTTAGCTGATGTAGCATCACGGCCGGCAGTGCGGGTGGAACGTAAGACATTCTTTGACGGCAACACCGGGCTGCCGTTCCGACTGCAGGGCATAGCGGTGGAGCAGACACTGGACGTCGCGCTATCGCCGTACGACAGCATGTCCTACACGTGCAATGTTGCTACTACCGGTGAGGAGCGCGGCTGGGGCACGGTGGGTGCCGTCTTCCGGCACACGCTGACGACGACGCCGCTGCACTCCAGCTCGCTGCATTGCGGCGTTCAAGTCGGTCACGTTCCGCAGCTGTCCGTTGGTGGCCATCTCTCGCTACCGTCGTCATGCTTCGTGTATGCCGATGCGGCATGGCGGCCATGGTCTCATCAGCCATTGTGCATACTACCACGTGTACACGTGGGCCGTCAGTTCACATCGGACGTGGTGGGCAAGCTTGAGTTCCAGCAGTGCGAGAAAGACAGTCCCAGCGGCGAGCAAAGTCTACGGTTGGTCGTGCAGCGCGACAGCTATTACGGCAACCTGCGGACTCATCTATCCCTCGGTCCAGAGAGGCCGCCGAGCATTGGCGTGCGCTATTCACCTAAGCTGCTGTCCTCGCTGGACGGTCTGCTGCAGGTGCAGGCCAACGTCGAAGGGGTGCATGCTGCTGCCGGACTGGAACAGGCCGTTTCGCCGATGACCCGGCTCGGTATGCGCGTGCAGGCCTCGTTCCCTGGTGGAATTGAGCTGACGTTACGGTAAGCTGTGACACCTATACGTTGTGTACTGTAATACATGTAAACAAGAGTAGATAAACAAGAGTGTGCAACTCGCGGATGGGTTGGCCCACGGCGGAATTTTTTGTTGACGTAATCTTTTCGACGACGCACGCGCTGCGAGCCTTTTGGAGAGTTTTCCCTCGTGCACTTGGCTGGGCTTTACACTACAAGGTCGGTGCCCAGCACGTGCTCTCACACTGCTCTGCGGCAAAGCCGCGTTTCTCTGAAAAAAGGTGACGTAAACAAAAAATTCCGCCGTGGGCGCGGGGTATCTGCAGATTGCGCAGGAGAGATCCGGAGTTGCACACTCTTGTTTATCTACTCTTGATGTAATTTATAACGAGGAAGTAAATCTAACCTTTTAACGATAGAGATTTCTTCGTTATTATTACTTCTGTTGATGCTGTAATGCCTGGTATGCGTTACGTGCGGATATGCCTCAAGACTGCAAGATCGTTAACGTATCTTCTCGTTAGCCTAAGAATTTGGATAATCGTTAAATTTGCGACTCCTTATGATAACATGTCTTACAGTATGTCTGTCAAGCCCAGTGTCATCTTCAGGTCTGCTCGTTGTTAGGCTTCTTGTTCGTTCAAACGCCAGCGTTGCGTACAGTTGTGGCAAGTGAAGTCCGGGCGGTTGTATCCATTTTGATTACCTTGTGTGCAGGTGTGAAGCCGCCTGGCCTTGAGCGCCGTAAGCGTGTATCGGTCCGAATTCCACTTGCCACAACTGTAATGTTCTAAATTTTTATCAGTTTATCACCCAAAAGGCACAGAGGAGGTTTCTAGAGTTTGTCGCATCTCCGAGTTTCTCGCTAAATGCAATCATCAGGCGGCTTGTCTGCTGGTGAAAGAAAGGGAACCTCTTTGTAATCGGTATATCAGCAAGATGTGTCAGGTAGCACCCACAGTGAGGACAGGTGCTTTGAAGCATAACCGTCGGAAAGTATATCTACGCTCACTGGGCGGAATCACAGTTAATTAATTGCACATGGATATCATAACGACTTCACTTTGTGTGTACAGTTGTGGAGAGGGAGTCTCAGGAGTCTCCCTTTTGTTTGTATGGCTGCGATAAATGGCGACATTTTTTGGACAGCTGGCGGAAACTGAAGCAGCTACAGTGTACACTCAAACGGCAATTACCCGGACGCCTCAGATACAGGCACGTCTCTCTACCGAGTACCTTCAGCTTGGGTTACTATGGCCAAAATGCTTTAATATTTTCAATCGTACACCCGTGCAATGTGAAAACTCTTGTCATTAGAGAGGTTCCAGAGTACGACTTTCGTGCCAAAATCCGTAGAGGCGCTACGGATTTTTTTATACGTCGTTTTCGAGCAGTGAAGTGTTCCGGAGTACGGAACTTATGTGTTTGCCGTCATTACCTAGGTCACGATTGCAAACACGTCACATTCCCGCGCTATGCCTTTTTATTTTGAAAAATTGTACCGAAATCAAAACTTCCCGCGGAAAATCGATGTTTCTCGTACCAAATTTGTACGCGAAAAATCTTTCTGCACCCAATGACGCAAAATCTCCATACGAAACATGGTTCGTATGAAATCCAGTACACATTCTCCGTGCCGAAAAATCGTATGGAGCACACCTCGAAAAAATCCGAAGCGCCCATACGGATTTTGGCAGTGAAGATCGTGCCCCGGAACCTCTCTACTGCCAACCTGTAGCTGTGTGTGCACTCTACAGTTGTCATGAATGCACCCAGTGTTATCCGGCACATGATGTGCACTGTGTGCAGCAATGCACATGAAAACTGATATGATACTACACTGTAGTACATGGCAAATGAGCAGCCCCGAATAATCCCCGAATTACGTGCGTGTATGAGATGTGGGTAGTGCCCGGTCCCAAGGCGCCCGGATGAGCGACGTTTGAATGTACATGAAAACATTAGTGCATAGACCTGCCGCCATTACCAACAGAGTGTGCAACTCTGATCTATGTCCACTGCCCATGGAAATCGCTGATCTACGTCATTGCTTTCTTGTAAGTGCGTACAAAGTGGTCACACTTTGTACGGTACACTGCAGTACCTTTCTCACTAGCAATGAGTACTTTTTTTGTGGTTGAGAGTATGCAGAGCTCAGATTGGCCAGTAGGGATCAGGGATTTTGATGGAGCTCTACCCACTGGAGTAACACTCTCTGGGCAGGGGTATGCACTCTTGGTGAGATCAATTGTACAGTGCACAGGTGTACAGCAATCAGCTCCGCATTCTTGGATTGGCAAAATCCGTGGACTATGCCATGGCATAGGGCGTTTGCACGAGGCTCTGTAGGTGCCCGCGACTGCCGGATGCAGAATTTACTTGTATACAACAAGGCAAACGACACCTTGAAGATAACATAGTCCACAAATCCTGCCAATCCAGATCGAATCACTGGAGTTGCGTACTCGTGGGACTATGCGCTGTATACTTCAAAGTGGTGGGACATTGTGAGAATTTGTGACCAACATGTCTCCACTCTTTCGCCTCTCAGCTAAGAGTTGCAGGCCAGGATTGAACAGTGCAAATCACGTCCGTTGCTTTGCAACATACCTTTGAGTTGTTCACAGTCATAAGTTTGCAGAGAAGAAATATGTGCATCTGCCGAATGTTGGCAGGTGCTGTTGCGTTGACGTCATTAATTATTTTGTGATTTGTATGGTATCCGTACAAGTACATCTAGGTGTGCTCCTTACTTTTGTCGCTGTGTAGATGCTTGACTGTTTCATTGGACTTCTTTCTATGTGCTCAGGTGCCGTCGCGGAGATCAACGTCTCATTTTCCCCGTCACCGTGTCGGATGACGTGTCCTTGTCAGCGTTACTCTACAGTACGTTTGTACCGCTCACCGTATTCTTCCTTCTCCGCGAGTGCGTTATTCGACCGTACGGTCGTATGTGTGCCGCCGAGGAAGCTCGCCTTCGCTCGGCCCTGCTGGAGTCGGAGTTGTCAAAGAAGCGCAAGGAGAACGAGGCCTTCGTCCAGCTCATGACGGAAACCTACCAAAACAGTGTTGCGGCCGAGCAGAATCGGCGCGGCCTGGTGATCCGCAACGCCTGGTACGGCCGACTGGTGTCCAGCAGTAACGATTCTGAGGACAGCTCGCAGACAGATCAAGACGGAGAGATTGTCGATGTTACCGTTGCGCTCCAGTGCCTTGTCAAGGATTCACGCCTCCTCCTCTACGACACCGACAAATCGTCGCTGCCCGGGTTCTACGATCCGGCGCCGCAGCAGCCGAAGAAGCTGCGCGTGCGTTACGAGTTCCGTGGCAAGCTGCACGAGGTCACGGTCGGTGATTCAGAACCTCTGCAGCTTCCCAAACAATCTCACACACTCTAGCCCTGGTCATTTTTAGCTGTTTTTACATTGTAGTACCAGAATATGTCATGCTTCACGGTACCTTCTGCCCTAACCCAGATTGTCTTGCCATGTCTTGCTTGCTTGTAAAATTAATAACAAATTTGTTTGCTGATTTATTGCCCCTTTTTTTCTTAAGAAATGCTTTTTAGACATGAAACTTGAACATATGCTGCTTTTGCTGTGTTCTTCATTTCCGCTCATCCCACTTGGCCATGAGAGATGCAGCCGAACTAACTCATAACAGAGATTCATGATAATTCAGAACTGGCATGCGCATCTCCATAATTATTACCCGCACTCAGGTTTAGGCTATTTTCTTATAACTCCCGGCGTGTCAGCTTGCTTGCCTGGCGGGTTTCGTTGATGAGATTGTCCACACAGTGGCGCTTGTGCATTCATTTCATTGTGTCTATTGGTTAGTACGGGCCGTGAGTGATGGGTGAATGTCATGCTACTTGTAGAGCTGGTGGATCAACATACAGTGCTTTGTTTTGCAGATCGTGTTGCGACCCTTCTGTCCGGAAGCTCACTCGTAACTGGGACATCCGTGCACATTGTACTGTATTGTACAGTGAGTTGGTCCGTCTCAATGAACCTTCTTGCAGAATTTGGTACTTGTCTAGCAGACAGACTGTAATAATGTCTCATGCATGGATGGAAAAGATAGGCGTAGAAAAAGAAGAAGAGCCATTGAGAATTCGAGGAATTGCCCGCCGAACGCTAGCTTTGCACAGTTCTGCCCAATTCAATGCTTTTCGAGCAGAATCAGCAATTTTCAAGTGTTATTCTAATTCACCATGTTCACCAATATGCAAGGCCAAAGCAGAAAAGTGGGCAGGGGGAGTTGCAAGACAGTCAACATTTTTACTATTGACCATGTCCATAAACATTTTTTATGGACTATAGGGCGCGTTTGGTTGGTACGAACTAGAACAGGATTCACCAGAACAGCGCGTTTGGTTGTATTGCCTATTGGGACTGCACCTGTTCTGGGTCGGCCAGAACATGTTCTGCTTGCTCCGGCCTCCCGGCCGCGGAGCAGACCGAGCAGTTTCACTTTTTCACAGTGAAACCTGGCGGGAACATCGATTTTGGTCCCAAATGATCACGTGCATACGCTTTTTGGGTTGGACTCGATCGTTGTACCGCACAAAGTGACCATGGTGACCCATACACATTTTGAAGAATGCACCAAGTTTGGCACATTTTTCCACAAAAATGTGCTCAGTTTCTGGAGTACCGTTTGGTTGGCATGAGGCTGCTCCATGTGCACCAGCTGTTCGATCCTGTTCTAGATCGTACCAACCAAACGCACCCTTAGTTGATATCAGGGAGTCGTAAAATACCGGTATTTTACGACTCCCTGGTTGATATCATGACATGATACCAAGAGTACATAAACGGTTTATGTACTCTTGATGATACTGATAAATCCTGCACAATTCTGTGGAGTCATGTGATTTTGATTTGATCTGCCATGACGCCGCACGGCTGCGCTCACGCGTGCACTCCGAGGCAAGCATCAAAGTCAAACAGAGTAAAATGTACTACAAGAGATACGTGAACCTTTTGAACTGAAAATTTGCTGTTTCCTTCAACCTCCTAATCTTCTGATCTCTGCCAGGCTTTCGTCCGTGACAGGCTGTACTGCCACTACATTTGTAGTTGCACTACTGGGGTGGAACACCTGGTCTGAGGGTAGTTCGGGACATGATTCGCAATACAGTCTTTGATCATGGCGGATGCACTTATGTCTGAAAGGCAGCGTTTATTGGAGCGTCTTTTGGAGGCTGTGAAGCAGGTACGATTGGGCTAGTGATTAGCATGGTGCGACGTTTGTGCTGGAAATGGCCTTGGTACACGGTGATCGGTGATGTTGAATACTCAAGAATGCGTTTTTGATGAACTGCAGTGCCAAGTTCGGTTCGGCGGACGTAGTGAGGTTGCAACCGACAGCGACAGTCGGTATGTGAATACATGCACACGGATCATAGCTTGAACATGTTTTGAAAACCTCTTGTTTTCGTGCATGATGAAAGTATGATTCACATTCATAACCATACTATGTATGTAGAAGTTAACGTCATTACAAGTGAGGCTCTAGTGTAGTAGTGAGCTCAACTGGGGGTGCGTACATGTACATCGACTCATCAACATCACACTCGTTTTCCTGAGAAATCAATTCTAATTCACTTTGTTTCTGAAGTTTTGAAAACTACAAATCGAGTCCTGATTTTCTGAGTAATGATGCTCACTGGACAGTACATACAGTATGCATGCTCGCTTGTGGCGGGGACCTAGAATCGTGATCATTCTATCACCCAGTGTTATCCTGGAGTGTGCTGGTTTGCGTGAGTTCAGGAAAGCGGAATTAATCTATTATGTCATGTTGAGTCATGGAAGACGCGCTGCACTCGCAACTGCAGTCTTGCTCTGCATTAGTACGGCGAGTGACATCAGTTTCATCGTCACCTTGATGCCGGCGGATAGTGTATACGTATTGGACGAATTGCGCTTTCCCGAACTCATATGCGAAGTAGCACACTCTGCGGTATGTACTACCGTTGTAGTGCTTGTATGATCAGGACTCGTACCATCAGAACCCAACATGTACTCCGGCACATAATATATCAAGAGTAGATAAACAAGAGTGTGCAACTCGCGGATGGGTAGGCCCACGGTGGAATTTTTTGTTGACGCAATCTTTTCGACGACGCACGAGCTGCGAGTCTTTCGGAAAGTTTTCCCTCGTGCTCTTGGCCGGCTTTACACTACAAGGTCGGTGCCCAGCACGTGCTCTCACACTGCTCTGCGGCGAAATGCGCGTTCTTCTGAAAAAAGGTGACGTCAACGAAAAATTCCGCCGTGGGCGGGGGTATCTGCAGATTGTGCAGGAGAGATCCGGAGTTGCACACTCTTGTTTATCTACTCTTGATAATATAAATATGAACCCAACATGTACTCCGCGGCACATCATAATTATATCATATGAACCCAACATGTATAGTGCAGTAAAATAAAGGTAACATAACATGTACTCCAGCACATAATATGTGCCGGAGTGCCGGTTCTACTCAATGAACCAGTCCATCATGGTCTGTGACCGCAGTATACCGTATTTCCCTGATTATAAGTCGCACTCGATTATAAGTCGCATCCCCATTTTCAGGTTTGAGCAATATTGTTGCGATATATTCACTTCAGTAGTAAGTCATGCTCGATTGTAAGTCGCACCCCCTTTTTTACACAGGTAACCCCGAATTTTAGTGTGAAAAGGTGCGATTTATAACCGGGGAAATACGGTAGGTGGCCCTGGAAGCCAGAGTTACCCTTGCACAATCTATGCAATTCACAGCCAAACAAATGGTCTTTCAGACCGGGTGGTTGTTTATAAACCAGGCTTAACCTACTTGTACTACCGTATTTGCCGAAGTGTAGTGCGCACTTTAGAGGTACTATTTCTAGCCCCAAGTCGTAGGTGTGCACTACGCTCCGAGTATGGAAATGCATGTACATGTGTACATGTACACGAACTTCGAAAAGTAGTGCAATGCATCAAACTGTTACGAAGTGTGCCACCTCTGACCCTATGATAAATTCTGACAATGGTTGCACTGTAGTACTGTCTTTATCGGGTCGATAATGCTCTCAAATCTAGGCTGCGCATTATACTCCGGATACACCTTGAATTGCCAAAACATTGCTCAAAGGGGGTGCGCATCATACCAAGAGTACATAACCCCCCAGAGTGTGAATCGCCTGATCCAGCTCTGCATAGGGTCTTGGTCGAGCGTAATCGGATCTTTGCGTCATAATACCATACACATCTGAGGGGAACTCTCGGATCAAAAACGACGATGCCCTGCCTCGAGACCGGCCTTGCGCTGGTGTGGAGTGTACGCATGACATCAGAAGATCCGATTATGCTCGATCAAGACCCTATGCAGAGCTGGATCAGGCGGTGCACACTCTGGGGGGTTATGTACTCTTGATTATACTCAGGTGCGCGTTATACTCCGGCAAATGTGGTATATCAGAAATCGCACCTAAGCCCTATTGAACAATTTCGTCTGTCAGCTATTTGCAATTACATTATAGGCAACTAACAGTAACTATCTGTCACTGTACCCACTACCACTTACATGGTTATGTTTGGTACGTATTTTACAGTTTGTACAGTTTGAACTCCCTCAAACTTGTGAAAGAAGCTCCTACAATAGTAGTTTTTCTTTCTTTCTCTTGTGCACAGTGTATCATGCCTGTGCACACAGCTAGAAGCGGTCTTTCAGCATGGCCTCAAGCGTAATCGTAAACTTCTGTAAGTATTGGTTAGTGTGTGTGTGTGTGTGTGTGTGTGTGTGTGTGTGTGTGTGTGTTCGTGTGCATGCCTTTGTGTCCTGATGTTATCAATCGTGTTTTCTGCCTCGTCGTCTCCACCTACTTACGATGGTGTGGTTGGCCCATAAGTGGGGTCAATCCCAAGTTGATCCAGAGTCCGGGCACTGGGGTTGTCAGCTGTTAGGGTGCTCTGGGCCTATTCAGTGCCACTGGGTTGTTGATTTGGAGACTGGCAATCGCAACTCATGCATGCGGCGAAACAAGTGCAGTGTGAATTACATGTATAGGACATGAAGGTGTGCATGTACGTAGGCACTTTCCTGTTTTCATCAGCCGGGAATGAAAAGCAGAGCAGGCAAGTGATTTTTCTTCTTCTGGATATCTCTGGCGTTGTAAGGAAAGTGTCTGAGCCTTCCTAACCTCTCCATGACTATTCGCTTCTGTGCCTGCAGGAACCTGAAGAAACCAGAGAGTGATCCAGGTACTGCTTATTTGTTTTCTAATGTGTTACATTTTCTTGTGCTTTCACATCACAGCAGTCTATTCATATGTTCATAGGTTCTCCCTCCCTGGGCTGTTAGAAGTCCTCAAACCATAAAATGCATTGTGCCCTCTGTCTTCACTCTCTGAAGGGACTTATTTTCGTGTCATGCGATCTTAGTTCCCGTCAACTCCAATCCTTTCTGTACTTCTGCAAATGTGTGTGTGCGTGTGTGTGTGTGTGTGCGTGCGTGCGTGCGTGTGTGTGGTCAGCTTTGTGGTGGAGACCAGGCTAAAATTAGTGGCGGTCAATTCATCAGCCTTGCAAGGTGTTGAATGGTGTAATCCCAGCACAAGTTGCTATGTCAGACATAGCTTTTCGCTGTCATCGCTTCCGCAATGGGCATGTTTGAGTCTGAGTGTCTGTCTGTCTGTCTGTCTGTCTGTCTGTTTCACAGTATTCTGGCACTGTATCCGGGAATCGATCAGCAAGGATGAAGTCGATGCAATCCTTCAGCTCAAGAATGTCACCACAGATGCTGGACGTGGTGAGAATCTTTTAAAATTAAAAGGAGACACTCGTACTTGAAGTAGTTTCTGATCAGCAAGTGTGTATGTGTTTGTGTGTGTGTGTGTGTGTGTTTGTATGTGTGTGTGTGTGTGTGCGTGTGTGTGTGTGTGTGTGTGTGTGTGCGCGTGTGTGTGTGTGTGTAGATGTGTGTGTGTATGTGTGTGTGTGTGTGTATGTGTGTGTGTGTGTGAGTGTGTGTATATGTGTGTGTGTGTATGTGTGTGTATGTGTGTGTATATGTGTGTGTGTGTGCATGTGTGCGCACGTGTGTGTGTGTGTATGTGTACGAGATCACACATGTCAATGATGTCATGTGTTCACCACCTCTTCTCTGCATCTTACAAAACGATGTCATGCTTGCCCTTTTCTTTGTGTGTTTTGTTCCGTTCTAGGTCGGGCTTGGTTGCGTGTGGCTCTGAATGAACGCACCCTGGAGACGAAGCTGCATCAGTTGCTTGCTGACTACAAGCAGTTGGGGTAAGGCTCATTTGAACACCGTTGTCTTCATCCACGTTGGAGTTAGAATGCTTGCCTTTGGACATAAAATTACTCCTCAAATTATAAGATATGGAGAGTGTTGGAGAATAAGCGGTCTCTCGCACCCTCCAGGCAGGGGGGGGGGGGGGGGGAGGAGGACAGGAGAATGATTGTGCCAAGTTACATAATATTATAATCCGCCATTAAGGAAGCATGTCTAACGTGCCATAACTTCCTCGCACATATGGACATTGTTCGGATCAGGCCCTGTTATGCACTACAGCCTGCAGAGGTCCTTGGCTCATCGAGTGAGTAGCCACTGAAAGTATCGCCCTTCTGTTTTTGTTGACCTGGCTATAGCTGTGCGAGTCTTACTCTTCCTAATAGTTCATGCCGATTGCTTTGGATCACGTCCTCCATTGTTATTATTTTATTATTATACCCACGGAAGAAGGAGAAACAAAATAAAGACAAAACAAAAAAACAACAATGGGTGTGTAGGCGCTACATGAGCTGTACTGGTGAGGTGCGGTGGACTCCCCCGACCAAGGGTCTCAAGATCGGTGTACACAGCAAGCACTGGGGGAGGGGGGGGGGGGGGAGGAGGAGGAATGACGTGTGTCTGTTTGGGGGAGAGAGAGAGAGAGAGAGAGAGAGAGAGAGAGAGAGAGAGAGAGAGAGAGAGAGAGAGAGAGAGAGAGAGAGAGAGAGAGAGAGAGAGAGAGAGTACTTACCAATACCTGTGTTTGCCGGCGGAATGGTGCCTGTCTTGTCCAACACAGGGTGTTCTACGAAACCAGTGCGTTTCTTTTTGATGTGGAACGCTCATCCATGCTCCCAATCATGGCGGCAGGTATGTCTAGACATGGAGTGTTCTAGAAATGTGCTGATTTGTACATATACGATAAATCCGTGTCCTCGAACTGAGATAGCATCTTGTGTGCAACGAGAAATCTGCATACTACCTCTTGGGCTTATTTTTACAAGAGTAATGATCCACCATTGCGTACCTGATGAGGGAAATTTTGCCGAAACGTTGTAACGATTGATTGATAAACGGTTGATAAATATGGTGGTAAAGACACACCTGGCAATATGGCGGTAAACACACGCCTGCCCACACACGCTCTCTAGGCTGCAAAGTTCTGGCACAGAGCTCTCCTTTTCACCACCACCACCATCAGTTCGCGCCTGGCACCTGGCCGATGCATGGTTGGTACATCGAGTAGCGCATGGCACATAGAAGATGACACAGCAACGACATAGCTCAATTGCGAAGTACGTTTCGTCCCCGCTGGACTCATCAGGCAATCTTCTTCTTGGATGTCTTCATACGGAGCTTGACCCAAACGTACGTCGCAATCGAGCTATGTCGTTGCTGTGTCATCTTCTATGTGCCATGCGCTACTTGATGTACCAGCCTGCTATGCCGGATACCGCCAACCATGCATCGACCAGGTGCCAGGCGCGAACTTATGGTGGTGGTGGTGAGAAGGAGAGCTCTGTGCCAGAACTTTGCAGCCTAGAGAGCGTGTGTGGGCAGGCGTGTGTTTACCGCCATATTGCCACCATATTTATCAACCATAAGTACAGCTGCAGTGGTGTCTTCAACTTCATTCTCCCGATTGATAAACGAGTTTGATATAGTTGCAGAGTGAATGAGAAAGAGAGGGTCTGCTCAGAAACCATTTCCTATGAATGAAGCTGCAGGTAGCCTCGCCACTGCTACTAAGTAAATGATCCATGCATGGGAAATGGAAAAAAAAACGCAAGCTGACTATACCTTTTGAAGAGGTGTGAAAACAAACAAATCATTCTTGTGTTGTTGCTTGGAGTGAGATGAAATGTTGGAGGGTGACTTAGGCGGAGGAAAATTTTTCATTTTAAGTTCTAGTTTTGTCAAGGTAGAATGTTGTTGGTGGGAGTGCTTAACTTTCTCTTGCGGATTTCTCATCCTGCCATTGTGTTGTGTCCGTAGGTCTTGGCTCTATTCTCTTTGCCTTACAGCAGGACAAGGCAGATCTGGACTCAGCAGCCAAGCCTGTGAGTACTGATGGCGTGATGTTGCTGACGTGTGACACCTTTGGTGTTTGTCGACTCTAGGGAACGTGTTGTGCGACACATTCTGCTCATATTCTGCTTTTATTCTCACCCTAGACCGCGCCTGTCTCTGCTCCCAAAGTTCCACAAGGAAAGACCTGGTCCACCCCAGCTGCAATCATTCCACAAAGTGCTCAAGGTAAGAGTCACTCTGATCAATTTCTGGATTGTATTAGTGTTAATTGGAGAGAGAGAGAGAGAGAGAGAGAGAGAGAGAGAGAGAGAGAGAGAGAGAGAGAGAGAGAGAGAGAGAGAGAGAGAGAGAGAGAGAGAGAGAGAGAGATTGAAACTGTAACACAAGCGTGTCACCTTTACACCATTGTGTCACCTGTAGTAAGCTCTTTATCTACCTTTCGTTCGAATGTGTTTGTGTTTAGCTTCTTGGTCGTCCTATGTTGTAGCATGTGTTGTGCACTTTGCTGTGTGTTTAAAATGATAGATGATGAACTGGTAACTTCATCCAGCACCCAGCAGCGCAAGAAAAAGAAGAAGAGCCTAAATCGCCCGGCCATCCGCAGTGTCAGTGTGGAGTCGGACTCTGTATTACGCAACGACACCCCGCCTTCTGCCGCACTTGCGGCGGCAGCTGTTGCAGCAGCGGCAACGTCCAACTCACAAACCTCACCCGGTATGAGTGACGAGGCATCCGGTGCTAACATTAGACCAGACATGGGTGCAGATGCCAGCTCTCCAGAGCATCTGGTGCAGAATGCCATCGCTGGCCATGCTGAGGTGGTGGAGCGCGTCCGTGCCTATCTGGACACGGCCGACGCAGCACAACCCGGTGATGGCGTCGCCTCGCCTACACCAGTGAGTCCCGATGCCGCCGAGATCAGCTGGGACAGTCTTCTGCGCCGCCCCACGCCAAGAGACCTGACGGAGGAGGCCCTGAGTTCCATGGCTGCCTATGCGGACAGCGATACGTCGTCGACTTCCGACAATACCGTGGGATCAAGGGCGGCCGACTTTGGCCTCGACGATTCCGTTTTGGCGATGAAAGCCATGCGTTCCCTTAGCCTTGCCCAAACCGAAGCTGATTCTCCTAGGTGAGTGGTTAAAAACAAAGACATTTTCTGTCACAAGCACCCCATGACTGTGTGTTGGTTTGCTTTGTTGTACGGTAAAACTCCCCTAATCTGGACTCCCCAGATCCGGGCACTCCCGTCCACTGGGCACCTTTCTGACTCCTCCATGATCCAGAGTCACAAAACGCGCTTTTCAACGAAAAATGTCACCAAAAAATTGATATTGATTGGCATAAAAAATATGTGGCTACTTGCATGGAATCAGTATGCCCTTTCCCGACATGCCCAGATAAAGGCAGTTCTACTGTACTCGGATTCTCCTTGTAAATGGCTTGTGGAATTTCACCTGGTCAAAAGATACGTTAGTGCTTTCATGGTACATTGTGCCACGCCATTTATTCTACGTATTCTCCCCGTCTCTTCCATTTTTTCCCCATTGCAGCACTGCTCAGACCGTAAAGGTAAGCGGGAGTTGTGTGTGTGTGTGATTGCGTGTGTGTATGTGTGTCAAGGATTACAATGGTGATCATTGCTGTAGTGTATATCTGTACTGGTATTATTTGGTGCACTATTATAATGAACTGATTATGCACAACTACTTACTTGCAGTGATTGTGGGCATGCTGAGCGAATGCTGTATATATTTTGTTTTCTGTTTGTCTCTGCCTTTCAGGCACCGGGTGATGTCTCATCAACGTCGCAGCTTTCGAATGGTGAGTTGGAAATCAGATAGCCTGAAACTAAGGTTTATGCCCTGCTGTCATAGCACTGTGTGAAGGCATGCGTAGAAGACACTCTCCTGTCTGTATGTATGCTGTTTCTATTCACTGCAGAGGACATGAGGACAGCTCTTTTGGCCATGGCCAAGCGAAAGGATGAGCTGGAGCTCCGCAACAGGTAGGACGTGCTTGCTGTTCGAATGCCAGCCTGTGGGGTGCCTGCCAACCATCTCTGTATCATGCACTGCACTGTGTCTCTTCAGTAGTAGTAGGCTAGCTCTCTACATACTAGTGAAGATCTTGTTTTTTCCTGTTGTTTTGCATGTGGTGCCTTGATGTTTGACGATGATGGTGTTCGACCGGTTGTGGAAGGGTCAGTCTGATTAACTCTGCAGCGAGCTGTGAATTTTATTGCAATATGGCCACTTGTAGTGGGCACCTGCATGTGTATTTGAATGTTTCCTCTTCATTCCTTGCTACAGGATCTTGGAAGAGGAGCGAGCTTCAGAGATGGCGCGATCGAATGAGTTGCTTCAGCAGTTGCAGGAGCTTCGTGACCTGTCCAGTACGCAGAATGAGCAGAATAGGACGCATACTCAAGCCCTTACCAGGTAAGCGTAGTGCCTGCATTGCTTGGTTTAGACCACCTCCGGAAACATCAACTTTGTGACTTTGGGCGACCTGTCTGATCTGGTGAATTGAGCTCTGAGGAATCGAGGGATGGTGACTCCGATTGCAACTTAAACAGTGCTATTTTGTTGTATTATAAATGTGCATACTTCAAAGAAGTATATCCGCTCACTGTACTGAACTGTTTTCGTTCCACTGAATCTAATTTCTTGATCACGGTAACACCCTAGAATGTGAATAAGAAAGTCACGGAGTTTTTTCAGAGGAAGTATGTATTTTTCAGGCACATATAACTCTATTCTATAACTATCACCTACGAAAAATGTACAATTATTTTAGTTGGGCTGGCAGATGTGAACAGATTGGCAGTCACGCAGACAGAGAACTGGAAGAGAGAAATGAGAAGACTTGAGCTGATAACCTGACGCTTGCCGTGTACTTCTGTGTGGCCATGCAGTGTTCGATAACTTAGTATGCCCAGTTCCCCGTACTTGTTTCATCACCCCTCTTTCCCCTTTTGTGGTGTGTGTGCACTCAGGGAGAACGAACTTCTCAAGCATCAGCTGAAGAAGTACGTTGGCGTTGTACAGAGCTTGAAGCGTGAGACGATAGCCAGCCTGCCGGCAGAGACAGCGGAAGGTCAGTGTTGTGTCAGGTCTACTGCCTGTAGTTCCAAGCACGTGTTGATTGAATTGGATAGACGGGCATATCCTGTGGTTAAAAAAAGATTTTTGCCTGCATGATATGTTTGATTTCCCTGGATTTTATCCTAGCTGGCTTTTGATGCTTGACCTGCTCACCCTGTAGGCTTGGCTAACGTTCTGTGGTGTTGTATATATGTCTTGTGCAGCCATGGCTACTCTACGGCATGACGCTGTAGGCATCGAACCCATCCCGCCACCGCGCAAGAAAATCAAGGAGTATGAGAGGTGAGTGACACATACCCGCGGTGTCCTCCTCTTCAACCATGCATTTACTGTCGGAAAGATTCCTGTGGACCTCTTCAACACCACCGTATTCTTTCTTCCCAGCGTGTGCACTGTCTCTGTGCATGTGCACTGTCATCACACTGTCTGTATGGACTTGCATGTTCCCTTACCATAGTATCGTACTTTACTGGACATGTGCCTGTGTACGGTGAAACGCAGTGGAACCCCATAGGTCCGATCACCTTCTGCGCCAGTCCAAATAATCCCGTTTACGAGGTGGTCTGGTGTGTTTAGTGCGCGCACATGAAAAGCCGCGCGTGAGAAAGGTGATTGCATTCCACCGTGTTTGAAGAGCAAAGTTCCACTCGGCGCTGGCACTGTATACAGGTCAACACAAGTTGTCCTGGCATTGATCTCAGCATCTGTATTATGAATGTATTACTAATCGTTGAGATTGGTCTTGTCCCCCGATATGATCTTCAGGGGTGAAGAAGACAGTCAATTTGAACAGAAGCTGGTCCAGGTGAGGACACTGCGACCCTGATTCTGGCTGGCTTGTATGCTGCATTTCGATGACGTTAGCCACTATTGTCTCTCAAATCATGATCAGTTTGTCCCCAATCTTTGCTGACTTTCTTGTATTTCATGTTGACTACTGTCTGGGGCAGGGTGGCTGTGTAGCGTGAATACCACCACTCCCTGTAGTGTCTATACGAGTCTGTGTGCTATGTTCTGCTGTAGAATGTGTACAATATACAGTACATGTACCTTTCATGTTCCGTACATTGTACCAAGAGTATATAACCCCCCCAGAGTGTGCAACGCCTGATCCAGCTCTGCATAGGGTCTTGGTCGAGCGTAATCGGATCTTTGTGTCATAATACCGTACACATCTGAGGGGAACCCGGGGAGTCGCGGGTACTCTCGGATCAAAAACAATGGTGCCCTGCCTCGAGACCGGCCTTGCGCTGGTGCAGAGTGTACGCATGACATCAGAAGATCCGATTCTGCTCGACCAAGACCCTATGCAGAGCTGGATCGGCGTTGCACACTCTGGGGGTTATGTACTCTTGATTGTACATGTTCAGTGTTGTGCATGGCTTAGGTATTAATGTGCTCTGCATGTAGTATCTGTGTGCTGTGTTGTTGTATGATGCCCATGTAGTAAGGACAGCTGCCTTTGATCTATACATTGTGCCATTGTGCCAGTATTCTATGCTCTGTGTGCCATGTTGAATACTACAATTATAGGCCTATTCATTCCATAATCGTTTTCATCCTTTTCGGTACTGAGTACTGCTGACGGTTGCCTATCTTGTGGCGCCATGCCCCATGTGTGTTTGGCTGCATTTTCAGGTGGCTGAAATGCACGGTGAGCTGCTGGAGTTCAACCAGTTCATGCACCAGCAGATGGTCAACAAGGACAAGGTCATTGCTATCATGCGTACACAGCTGGCTGCAGCCCATGGCGTGGTGAGTGTAGCTTGCGCATCGTCACCCTGCAGATGTTGGTGCCGTCCAATGGCCGCAACGCAGTGTAGTTTGTCGAGTGCACTGGGCTTGCTTCATGTCAGAGCACTAGGAGATCTGCCAATGTGCTCTTTCCAAGGTTGATAGAATCCCCCCCCTTTACCAGGAATACTTTCATCGTCTTACTTATTCTGTCTCAGACGGTGCTACGATAGTACTCATACTCTGTAATTTCAGGTGTGGTGTTGTGCCCATTGGCACTTTAAGGCCAATCATGTACTTTAAGTAATAGCTTTTTTCTGTTTTGAATGGCAGAATGTCAGTGTGGACAACCTCCTAGTCTTGTCATGCTGGCACATCATGCGTGGAGAATTTTGTTTCATCTGAGTTCATCTCTCTACGTCGGCTTGCTTGCTTGTGTGAATGCCATGTGTGTATGCATGTACATGTACATGTACGTGTGTGTGTGTGTGTGTTTGTTTCTTTCAGCCGGTAAATGAAATCCGTGTACCTGGCTCTCCACAGACAGCATCTCCACCACCTGAGCAGGTGGCGGCAAGCAGTGGACCCCCTTCAACTGGCTCTCAGTCTCTGCCGTCCAACTCTCTGTATGTAGTAGCTCACTGCTGTTTCCTGTGTGGGTGGCAATGGTTTCACTACTTACTGTACAAAGGGAAGATTTTGATAGGAATTTATTTTTCGGTCAATTCGGTGGCGAGGGGCATTACCTAAAATAACTCTCACGGAATAATGACTATTGCAGCCCAACTAAATATACTTGCCTTGATAGTGCTGTACTGAGAATGTCTTCCTACCTTTCTGCCAATACGAGGTTCCACCGAAATTATGTGACCACCTATCTGACCTAAGTTCTCTACTTGTACAGATAGTGCACTGGGTATAAGCTGGAGTGCATAACCAAGAATATGCAGTTGTGCTTACTGGTCAGTGCGCGGCTTACTGCCTTCATTGCGTAACTTGCCTGCATTGCGCCCTATACGTCTGCACTGAAACCCGCCGTCTCTCGCACCTGCACACCCGTTCTTGCTTGATTCGTTCGAGAACCAACCCGGTCGCTAAATTTTGGGTGCATGAAAATCAGTTTCGTACGAAAGTTTGGTTTGTAAGGGCATCAGTTTCATACTCTTGGCTCTAGTGGTGTACCCCTGCGTTCAACTGTAACTAACAGTTGTATGTCTTTTCACATGACATTCTACGTGCACTGATCATGCAAAATTGCTCAGGTAGCCCTCAAACTATTGGACAGGCATGCCGGTTGGGGTGGACAAGGGTAATTGTCAATTGATTGGCTGAGCTTCGTTGTAGGGAGTTACAGCACTTCGCACTTGCCATGAGGAGATGCTTTATTTTTTATTTTTTTATTTTTTTCTAATTGTCCGCAAACTCCAACGCAGCCACTTACACATTTAAACTTCACTTCTCAACTCCAAAACGGTCTTTTCTCTGCGATTCAAACCAAAATTAAAATTAACATCACACCAAATTTTCGGGCCTGGCCCATCATCAGGATAATGAAAATAATGGATTCATTATCCTGATGATGAGCCAGGCCCGAAAATTTGGTGTGATGTTAATTTTAATTTTAATTTTGGTTTGAATCGCAGTGAAGAGACCCTTTTTGGAGTTGAGAAGTGAAGGTTAAATGAGATGCTTTATAGAGAGAATTTTACGAATGGTATCATTCCCCGTTGCTGGTTTGCCATTGTGTTTCTGTTTTTGTTCAGCATTCCAAACTGTCTTCTAAATGTCTGGATTCCGTCCGTGTTCCTGTACGGCAAGGGTGGTGAAGGCTATCATGTCTATCAGGTATGTGGCCTGCTGTCCGCTTGTCAGTGTTTGGAAAGCAGTGATTCGGCTATGGGCGTACCTCATACCTCGCTTACCCGGGCGGTCCGGGACCGGGCAGTGCCTGTAATTTTGAAATGTCCGTGACTGCGAATCACATACATTTTGATGGGGGAAGGCCATAGATATGGCATATGGCATCACTAGGAAACAAGGAAACTGCAGTATAGCATACCCTCAAGTTTGAGTTTCGTTCAGGCACGCGGTGGACATGTTGTGTTTTCATGTTATGGGCTTGTTCACGATGAGAAACCTTTGCAATTTTATCTTTTCACTTGGATCTTGCACTGCCTACAATCAATGTGCGGTGCAGTCTGTGGCGATTTATATTCGTAAATGTGTGATGGCCGCGAAAATAGCGAAATTTAATCTCTTAGTAACGAAAGTTTCTCACTTTACAGTTTGTACCTACACGTAGTAGGAATAGCCTACAATTTCAATGCAGTCGAAAATTGTCCCAGCTTCTGTTGTGCGCTTTGGAAACAAGTCAATTGACAAAAGTAGACTCTTGCTTAAAGCAGCTTTCCAAAACTATGCTACTTCTTCATAGTGCGTGGGTGTGGGCTCCTCGATGAGCCAGTGACTTCGTCCTGTTGAGCTGGTCGAGTAGCAAGAAGATGATGGTATGGTGATCGCAATGTATTACTGGTTGGTGCTGATCGTAATGCTCTTCTTGTTGTGTTTATTTATGTGAAGGTTTTCATACGCGTGCGAGATGAAGAGTGGAATGTGTATCGACGCTATGCTCAGTTTCACGAGTTCAGAAAACACGTAAGAGAAGTGATGTTCGGCGTCTTTTGCACTTCAGGTGCACCTCTGCATGTATTTTCCTGTTGCCTGGTACTGGCAATCGTGAAGAACAGTGTGAAACTTGGAGGTGCAAAAGAACTCTCCTTGCCGCTTGCATTGTATTTTTCTGTCATGCTCTCTTGTTAGGTTGCTCTTGGTACAATGTACCTTTGGAGACCCAGTCTGGCGTCCCAATCTTCTAGCAGTGCTTGCATTTACAGACTATGGAGTTACATGGGCGTGTGGGCAGTTTTGTGTATGGACTATGGAGTATAAATCTAGTGTTCACTTTACGCTAGAGAATTATTGCCACCATTTATTAGTGTAGTGCTGTACAAGAGAGTTGGTAATAGCTGCCGAAACAGTTCTCGATGCGCTTAGAGCAGAGCATTTCACCCATAGAAGATCACCCGGAATTATATAGTGCGTTTCGAAAGTGTAGACCTCTAGACTTTTTCGAATAATTCGAATTCGGTTTGAGCTTTTTGAGAAATTTCTTCGGAATATTGCTCAGGCAGCTCCTGCAATTTGTCTCATATAAATTCCTAAGCGATTGGATAACGAACGGCCCATTTCGGAAATTTTATGCACAAAGTAATCACAGATTTTTGGTGCTGGCCTAACGGTTTTTTGAAACCAGAGGTCTGGACTTTTGAAACGCACTATAGCTGCAACTCCTACTTGTGTAGCAATCATCAGGCAAGTGCTGTGCTATGATTGTGTTCATTTACTCTGATGTTGAGCCAAAGTAATCATGGATTAAAGGAAAGGACAAAATGTTACGAGTTTTGACTAGCTGTCTTAACTGATCTGATTACGTTGGTGGACAGTTAGTCAAAACTCGTAACATTTGTGTCCTTTCCTTTAATTCATTTACTCTGCTGTACTTGTGTGCAATGTTCTATGCTATAGGTCATTCAAAGTGTACCCAGTGCTACTCGCCTGGACTTTCCCAAGAAGAAGTCGTTCAGAAACAAGGTCAGCTTGTCGTGCTTGCTATCAGGATTACAGGCGATTGTAATGAACTGACTGGTCCAGGTGGCTCTCTTCGTCTATTTGGTAGCTTCTGGTACAGTTTGGTAGGGTTTTGCACAGTCTGAAGACTCAAGTGAAGACGGCTTGTGACAGGGTCTGATCTTTAATTCTTAAATTCTTTATAATAATGCTTTTGACTGCTGAAGGGCAACTTCGGAATTGGGAAAAAGATTGAAGTCTGCTGGCTGGTTGTTTCGTTTTCGGTGTATAGTCACTAATCATGTGGTGGTGCTGGTGTGCTTACAGGAATCTAGCTTTGTTGAGTTACGACGCCGAGGCCTGGAGAAGTTCCTGCGGTCTGTGCTACAGCTGCTTGTGAGCGGTGCTGCCAAGGGCACATCCTACCACATGCCGGGTGATCAGCTATCCAAGAACCTTCTCAGTCACCATCTGCCCTTCTTCCGGTGAGCTTGTCAGCAATCTCACATTCTTGTTCTGTTCCCCACCCAGTGACCCATGTCTGTGCCTCTACCTGCTGTCTGGCTCTCTCTCTCTCTCTCTCTCTCTCTCTCTCTCTCTCTCTCTCTCTCTCTCTCTCTCTCTCTCTCTCTCTCTCTCTCTCTCTTCTTTCTTCTTCTTTTTCTCTCTCTCTCTATCTAACTATCCATCTATGCAGCTCTCTTTCCCTTTTCATGTATGCCTGCATACGCACATTCACAAGTACGCAAGCACACGCGCACACACCATGAGGCACACACACACACACACGCATGCACACACCATGATGCACACACGCATGCACACACATGCATGCACACACACACACACACACACACACACACACACACACACGCACACAATACAATACAATACAATACAATAATGCCCATCCGGAGATGATGGCAGGTCCTGAAAGGACCGACAGTGTTTCAGTCACGCGGAACAGAACTTCGAGTGGCGAGTGAGGTCCTGGCGACGGCGAAAATCTCGGCCGCAGTGGCACCTGAAATCCAGAGACACAGGTTTAGGCGGCTGGATGGTGCTGCAGGCCAGTCTCCACGCACGACGGTCCTCGGCTAGGCTGTACCAGTCATTGATGTGGCGTTCCTCTAGGTCAATCACGATGTTGTCACGCCAACGCTTGCGTGGCCCGTGGCGAGGGCGCGTCTTCTGGAGCTCACCAACCAATACGCACTTCGGTATTCTGTCGTCCGACATGCCCCAACCAGCGAAGACACACACACACACGCCCGCGCGCACACAGACACACATGCATGTGCAGGCTCACACGTTCCAATATACTTGGCGTGTGAATGAGTGGTACTTGACTACTTTCTTCTTGTATACTGGTGCTATTGATGGAAAGAGCTGTTTTCTTCTTTCCCTGTGTGTGTGCTTTATGTGCCTTATGATGTGTAGTGAGCAGCGTGCAGCACCTACTGGTCAGCAGCTGCCACATCGTCCAGTAGCTCAACGCAATTCCCCTCACTATAACGGCCTGTAGTGTAGAGGTCTGGCTCCCCTGTTCCCGTCTACGTCCCTGTCTCTCTCTCTCTCTCTCTCTCTCTCTCTCTCTCTCTCTCTCTCTCTCTCTCTCTCTCTCTCTCTCTCTCTCTGTCTCTCTCTCTGTCTCTCTCTCTGTCTCTCTGTCTCTCTCTCTCTCTCTCTCTCTCTCTCTCTCTCTCTCTCTCTCTCTCTCTCTCTCTCTCTCTCTCTCCCTCCCTCCCTCTCTCTCTCTCTCTCATAGCCATTATCACTGTTCCATGTGTAAGTATGTATACTGTACTGTACATTGTCTGGTTTGTGAATATTTTACTGTGCTACGCTGCACGTGCGTCCTCCCAGAGCCATCCGCATTCCTGTGTGAGCAGATGGTTTGTATTTTTTACACTTTCCGTAATTCTGAAATGCCCAGTAGCTATGTAACTAAGTGTGTTCTTATCTACTACTGGCCATTTTTTGCAAGTAATTTCGAGGCTTCACCTTATGTTATTTGATATCAACGCTATAAATACTGCGTTCTTAAACAGCATCTTCGCTTTTTATTCTCATCTCGACTCGTAGCTTGACCCAATCTCTTCCCTTTGTTGCCTGCATATTTATGATTTGAGATTTGTTCTATGGAGCACCGTCTCTTTTATTTGCACCCCGCATATGCTGTATGAGCATATCATACCATCTGGTCTTGTGTGTAGGTCGATTTGTTGTGCTGGATCGCAACGATTAGAAACATGTTTTAGTACGCTGCTCTGACCACCAAATTTTGCATCGCCAAGTTATTTCGGTGGCTAACCCCTTTTTTCCATAACAAAGGAGTTCTTATTTAGTACTGATTTCGCTTCCAGAATTCAGTTTCTCTTTGAATATTTCCTGTTGAAAAAACGTTATCAGAGATGTGTGGACAGTCGAATGCGTGCTGTTGAATTATTTTTGATGTGGAGTGTGCAAGTCTACCTAACTTGCCCTAGCCCCAGCCCCAGGCCTGACCCTCTGTACAGAAGTGCAATAGTGGGCAGCCTCTGTGATTCAGCACCGAAAACGCAAGTAGTCTTGCCCTGTCTGGGAAAGACACCGGCAACTTGTAGTAAAATTAGAAAAGGTAAAAGAGAAGGCACTATTTCAGTCTATTTGCATAAGAAGCAGACAATTCAAGGTAAAAAGGATTTATTTATGCTGACAAAATCCACAGCCCTATCTAACCACCCACAGCCAGAGAGTCATAGAAAAATTCAGTTGAATGAGGACATCGCCTTAAAAATCCAAGCTTCGACCGTGACCTCTGCCCCCAGGTGCAGCGGCCGCTTTGTTCGGCTTGACGGGGTCCTCTTGAGTACGGCTGGCGGTTTCCGACAAGTCCGGCGGCAGATGCAGTTTGTCAATGGAAAAGTTCTTCCGCCGGAGTTTGAACGCCCAGTCAGTGGAGTCGAGCGGGATAGGGGCTAGGCTGTTCCAGCAGGGTAGTTTGCAGATATGGAACAAGCCATGATAGTCCTTATACAGTGGATTCTGCTGTTTAGAGGAGCCGGCAAACGACTCTACATGCACAGCATAGTCAACAAGCTGACGCACACGATGAGCCAGTGGAGTGCCATTCCACAGGTGCGAGGGAATAGTCACAAGGGCAACGGCTGACCAGCGGCGTAACCGGGCCTGCAGCACGTGAAAGAACTGCAGCAGACCGGAGGATGACAGGGGATCATTGTCATCGCACTCAGTCCACAGTGGCGAACCTATGCAATGCAAGCACAGGCGAAGGACATTCGGCGAGCCCGCCTGAAGCGAATGCTCCTCGACAAACTGATCCAGCGCTTGGAGAAGCTTTGTGTATTTGCTAGAGCATGGTTGTACTAGTCCATCAAATGTACCGCACGTCGTGCTACTGGGGATATCCAACTTATGACCAAGGTCAAATGTGTGACTGAATCGATTTGGTTGTGTGCCGGAACTGTTTGCAACGGTGGCCTGCTTCTCGTAGCGCCATGCTATCTTCAAACTGTCAGCACTTGTGTCGTCATCCTCCTCTTCTCGGATACTACCCATCGCCGTACTGCCAGCAGTGGTGTCGGATGTAGCACCGCTTGTTTGCACTGTCGCTGTTGCTGCCGAAGTATTGGTGGAGCTGTTTGCGAGGCCAGGCAAGTGATCAAGAATGGACGCTGGCTGTACACTAGCTGATGCCACGTACAGAGAATGTCCACTCACAACGCCCTCGGCAGCAAACAGATTCATCAGAATCCGCGCATAGGACCCAAACTCATCCTCTTCCACCGCTATGCAGCTGCCCACATGCAGACCACCACCCAGCAGATTGTCCAATGAAGGTACACCTGACGCAACAACTGGCAGCCCATTGCTTGGAGACGGTCGACAACCAGGTAAAGTTGTGCTGGCTTTTCTGTTTCCCTTCCTACGGAACGCCATGAGGAGAGTCTACTTCTCAGGATCAATAACAACTTTTTTGATGATTTCAAAAGTTGATGTTCAAGAAATTTATATTATTATGTGTTTACTGACTGCAGATCTGGACGCTAGCGCCTCAAGACAAGTTGCCATACAGATACAGCTGAGCCTCGGGGCCCTTCAGAACAGCAACATCCAAAGCCAAACGTATCCACACTGCACAAGAGTCATACCCTGACATGAATGATACAATTGTAGGCATGAAACATCAAAACATAAAATTATTTCATTGAACGACTTTTGCGAAAGAGCCACATAAAAAATATTGTTTTTTTGGATCATCATGCAGAATGGTACGTAGCTCGATCGAGAACGTTCGAACCCGACGTAGATCTACTCGTAGATCTCATGATCTACGTGAGTACAGACTGTACGAGAGAGAGCTCGTAGGTCTACGAGTAATACGAATCATGATGTATATAATAACACATGGTACGGAGGGCATTAATCCATTATGGCTGATTTATGCCCTAGTGCGTAGCCCGAGGTCGTGCACCGTAGCCCAAGGGCCGCAGGCCCGCGGGCTACGGTGCACGACCGAGGGCTACGCACTAGGGCATACAATCAGCCATAATGCACGACGCACCATGTGTTTATTATAGTTCATACATGCCACGTGCCTAGTTGTAGACAAATAAGGTAAACATGGTCAAGGGAGGAGGAAGGTTCCAATCAGCTGTCATAATATTATGAATGAAGGGTCGAACAAGATCGGAAGGAGCTTTCTCCGTGGAATGATAGAACGTTTTGTGTCAGATTTACTTGCAGTTCCAGGAATATGTCTTTGCATTTTGGTGTTAGTGTTGCCTATTGGGCGGTACGGAAGTTAGCTGATTCGCTGCTGCTTTGGCGTTAATGTTGGCCGCAAACATCCTTGACCAAGGGGCACTAGTAATTAGACTAGTTTTGAGAGTACATTGTAAGTGTTCTTATTCGGAACAATGATACTTTTTCACATACATCTGAGATTTTGTTCGCATTGCTTTCAGTTTACTTGAGGTCCATGTGTACACTGGACAATCATGTAGCTAGGTACATTTGAAGTACAATGTAGATGTAACTGTATATTTTGTAGGAGTTCGAGATACAATCTGATCTCTTCCAGATAGGTAACTTTGTGATGCATGTTCACCTATTGACTTGTTCGTCTCAATTGACTTGAATTTAGTAATGCATGGTAAGGACATGCTGTGTGCTATTGTCACGTTGTTATAAGTTACTTCTCCTATGTCGACATTGCTAGTAAAATATAAATGTTTTGGACGGTGCACGTAAGTAGTTTCGTTTTGTGTGGTGTGTGCGAGTGCATGTGGTGTCCTTGGGAATGGTCCCATGTGTTCTATGTGCGCTGGAGTACTGCCAATTATGTACCAGATCACTGCCCAAAAGGCATGGCTTGGTGCATATTTGGCAGTGCACCAGCGTACGTAGTACGCCTGGGGTCATTCCTAATGGGCATGGGTACGCCGTACCCGGGCATTATCGTCTGATAATGCCCTGGTACGGTGCTGCTCTGATTGGCCAAATGCTAGCAACGACCTGACAACAGGCACGTGACATGTATGAACATGTCTTCATGATTGATGATCGATGTGGTGCGGTACAGCAGTCGAACCTCGACCATGCAGCTGTCGCAAGACGGCCCCGACATGTCACTGTCATTTTTCTTGACTGATTTGAGGAAGAACTGAAGAAGCGTGTATTGCTCTATTGCTGATAGATTCTGGTACTCATCGTGCAAGTCTTTGTTTTGGTCGTCGTATGTTTCGTATTAGTTGCGTGAAGGGCGTCCCTTAGTAAAGTGTAAAGTAACATCTTGGACATACCGAAGAGAGTATCCCATCTGCGGCGTCCTTTTGTTCAGTCACTTGACAGAGGAGTTCAAGAGCGTTCTGTCGGAAATAATTGAGAATGCTCACTACTTTTGAAAACCTTGATTTGTAGTATCTTCGTGTTCCGGAGAACTGTACGTTGTTGGTACATGCATCTGGGTGTGACTAGGAGTTTCATACGTAAGAGGACGGCTAGGCTCTTGGATTATCCACGGCCCTTCATTCGCTGTACTGTGCACGTGAGGTGCTGAGCAGGTTTCAGGTGCTATGAATTTGTCGCCATGTAAATTGTCCTCTCATACACTCCAAGATCAGCACCAGCAGTCCGCTTGGAGAGCATGTTCGGATGCAAGTGGTCTCGCAAGGGCCTGGCGTCTTCCAAATCGGTTGGTTCGCCCACCAAGTCATCTCCGCCATCCCTGCTGGATTGGACCAGTGCTACTGACACATCATGGGAAGGTTTGATGAAAGCACCACTATACATAGTGATCTGGTACATCTTCAGTGCATGCACTCTGTTCCTGAACAAGTATATCCTCACGTTCTTAGAAGGTGACCCAGACATGGTGGGCTACACACAGATAGTGACGACAACGCTATGCGGTTGCATGCAAGTATATATACCGCGTCTCTACTACTATCGCTCGCCGCAAAGTCAAGTCATGCAAAGTCCGGCGCACGCCAAGAAATACACCACCTTCTACCGGGACATGCTGCTGCTGGGAATTATGAGGTAATGCTGGAGCCTCGTGTGCACCCCTCGCGTATGCAATTGAGTGCATGCGAGTGCGCGATGAAGCATGCGCACGCTTGTGTGTGTGTGTGTGTGTGTGTGTGTGTGTGTGTGTGTGTGTGTGTGTGCGTGTGTGCGCGCGCGCGCGCGTGCGCATGGTGTGTGTGTTTGTGTGTGCGGGTGTGCGTGCACGCATCAATTGGCTCTGGGTTTCCAGCACTCATTTGCGGAGACAGGTTGTTAAAGTACTGGTTGTTAAAGTACTGGTTGTTAAAGTACTGACTACTGTAAGACCACAAACCTTTTAAACTACCTATGAGCACAGCACAAACTGTGAAACAAGAGTCATCATAAACTGAACTCGTAGGTTTAGTGAACTCAACGTATTGGAAGCGGTTTTCATTCGCAAACATACCCCCAACCTCTATGCAGTGCTGCGACGGCAGAACTTCACATCACGTGACATGGTTAAAAAGGTCACGCTGGCGAACAGTGCAAAGTGACCACAAGAGAGTTGAACCCAAAGCAGGGTTGCGTGCAACCCTGTATCTATCATGCACAGGGTGCAAACGATGTGTACGAGTTCGTCACGTAATGTGAAGTTCTGCCGTCGCAGACCCCATAGCTGGAGTTGGACACTCTTGGGGTTACTGTAAAACCGGAAACTTAACGACCGAAAAGTTGACGTTTTTGTAATTCTGGCATGATTACGTGCAGAAAGGTAACGATGGCTCACCCAGCTGTATACGCATCTTTACACAGACATCTAGCGATAAAATTTTTTTATATTTTTTTATTTACGAATAACGAAAAAGAATTGGTCGTTAAAATGTTAGACTTTGTGATTCGTTAGACATTCCGGTTTTACAGTATGCACTCTTGTTACTATGCACTATTTTGAGAAGTAGCAAGGACATGAAAGGCCTTATCAGAATCACTAGTGGCTTTGTTGCACGGGTGTTGATATTGTCTTTCTCCAACCACGCATGCTTTTTTGTTTTCTGTTTGTCCTTCAGAGTTGGAAGTGTGGTGCTTGGTTTGGTTAGCTTGAAGAGCGTGGCTGTTTCATTCACTGAGACCATCAAGGTGGGTCTGGAATCAGTTCTGTGAAGTGAATGGCCCAAACAGCATACTCATGTACAGGGCCTCTCTGCAACCGTGTGCTTTAATGTGCATTGATGCAATGTTTCCGCAGTGCCTTTTTGGGGCTCTGCAGCCTTTACTTCAAGGGTGCATCAATATGCTATTGCATGGCCCCAAGGATAAACGGGCATTCAGAATAGTTAACAGATGTCCTTTTTAGAGCATGAATCCAATTTCCGTTTTTCTTGGCTTGTGGACAATCATGTCATATCAGCCATTTGCAGCATTTTTATATCATTACACTCAAACAGTGCTGCCTGGGGAAATACTGCAGAAATGTGAAGGAGTAAATGGTAGTGTCTGTCGTGTGCATGTATTGTTGAATTTCTACTTCAAGTAATGTATGCGATAGTGTTTGTACGTGTTTCCCATTGCTGACTGTGTTTTGTACTTGTATGCCATTGGTGATGTCGTTTAGGCATCAGCGCCACTCTTCACAGTTGTCATGGCATGGCTGATGCTGGGTGAAATCTCTGGAGTATACGTCAACTTCTCACTGCTACCGATCATGGTCGGCCTCATTCTGACTAGCTATACTGAGCTTAGTTTTCAGGCGGTTGGCTTTCTTGCTGCTCTGCTGAACAACATCCTGGACTGGTGAGTTAGTTTAGTTGGGATCATCTGCAACTCAGAAGTAGTGACAAGCTCGGCCATTTGAAAATAATCTTAACCGTCCACCTCTCCACACTGGGATCTTGGCCCACATTCACAGAGCCAAACAGCTGTCTGGAGGATAGAGAACATCTACCCAAGAACGAACTTCCTCGCTATGGAGTGGTGTTGTGAATGTGGGCCAAGAGCGCAGTGTGGAGTGGTGGACGGTTGGGATCATCTGCAATAGTCCTATTGGGGTATTGTGACAGATACCGCATGTGTATTGCCAGACTGTTTTTCTCACTCGTTTTGGAGCCAAACACTCATGCATGGCGAGAAGCAGTTGCTTGGTTGTTGCAGTCTTTCTCTCTATTGTGAGGCAATAGTCCTTGAGGGTGATGACGTTCCTACGCATGCGGAAAACTGAGTCTAACTGAGTCTCACGCGAACCGTGAATTAATTTTATTTTATTATTTTATTGAATGTTGAATGTTATTGAATGTTGAACGGTCTCTGCTGGGATGATGGCTACACCATAGCTCAGTGTTTAGAGCATCGCTAGCTACAAGCGAGGGTCCCTGGTTCGAGTCCTGGTGGTGACAGTCAATTTTTTCTTCAGACTTCTCCCGTTTGCGTCTTCCCCTCAAACCAGTGAAGATTAATATTTTATTATGAGGCAATACATGTAGTGTGCAAGTACCTGCTTATACTAGTAAGTAGGATGTGAGTCTGGAAGTCGTAGTCTACCAATCAGCAGCTGCACTATGATCCTACTTGTACATACACCGTGCTGTGTTTATCCGTGATACTGTCTCTGCTGCTTTTTCTGCAGTATTCAGAATGTGTTCTCCAAGAAGTTGCTCTCCAACCTGCAAGCCTACACGTGAGTGCTTGGCTTTGTACTGTCTGTGACTGAGCCCGCCCCTGTGTCTGAATGTAGAAACGCAGTGCGCACGGGGCAAAGCCTGAGAACTGAGCACAGCAGGCTGATTATGACTGTGCACTGTTATGCAAGGACATGAAACGCCTCATCAGAATCTTCGGTGGCTTCAGTGTACTTCAAGTTCATGCGTTGATAAGTCTTCCTCCCAGGACTTTCGCAGCAGTGTAGTTGCACTATGGCGGGTGAAGTTTATACAAGTATGTTCCTCTGGCCATGAGCTGCCAGGAAGCCCAAGATTATCAAATTTGATAAGGGAGACGAAAGTTGTGATCCAAACAGCTTGCGTACGTGGTACATGTAGCAATTTGCGCGAATCACGTCAGCCCTGAAAGGAATAAACAGCCACAACGATTTAGGTATGCCATGTCGTGAATCGTGATACACTAATACCGTACTGTCTTGTATTAAAGCCTGTCTCATATAGAAGCCTGTCTTGAATAGAAGCCTGGTTTTCAAGATACCCTGTCGGCACATAAGCCTGATTTTAGTGTTGACAGACATAGAAATATGTGTACCTGTCTTGTATAGAAGCCTGTCTCATATAGAAGCCTTCAAATTTTCCCCCAAAAAGTCATATAAGCAGCGGCCTTTATACACGACTTTGCGGTAGGTATTTTTGTGAGAATTCCGTCAATGGTCACACTGTAGTACTGTCTATAGTATATAGTCGATACTTTTTCTCAAATCTAGGGTGCACACTATGTAAAATAGAAGAGAACACATGGGAACGAGTTATGAAGCAACTGTCCACGACTGTAACAAGTTATGTACTCTTGATGATACCGGTGGCTGTGTGTTCTGAGCTTGTATCTGTATGTGTTTCTTATCTTGTTCGTGCCGCAGCCCGACTGAGTTACAGTTCTACTCCAGCGTAGCAGCAGTGTCTATCCAAGTACCAGTTTGGTTCTCACTTAGGGTAAGGGACATGTGCCCTGCTGCCTCTCTCCCTCTCTCTCTCTCTCTCTCTCTCTCTCTCTCTCTCTCTCTCTCTCTCTCTCTCTCTCTTTCTCTCTCTCTCTCTCTCTCTCTCTCTCTCTCCCTCTCCCTCTCCCTCCCTCCCCCCCTCTCTCTCCTCTCCCTCTCTCTCTCTCTCTCTCTCTCTCTCTCTCTCTCTCTCTCTCTCTCTCTCTCTCTCTCTCTCTCTCTCTCTCTCTCTCTCTCTCTCTCTCTCTCTCTCTCTCTCTGTCTCTCTAGTTGAGTTCCCATTGTACCACGTGATGGTAGCTCAGATATCATTCTGTTCTGCCGTGTTGTCTGTGGTTGTTACACTTACAGGGACTGTCTCTGTACAAAGAGCACATGACGTGGTGGATGGCTGGCTGCTTACTTTTGGACGGCTTGTGTTTTCACCTGCAAAGCATCGCAGCATACTACGTTGTCTCAGTTATTTCACCTGTGTCCTTCAGGTAAGGGTAGCCAAGGGCATATGCGCTTATACTGAACTTGAATACTAGCTGCCCCCTCTACCCGTCATGGCACAGTGGCCTTGGATACATACACATGCATGCACATGCACACGTGCACCTTGAAACTGCCACCTAAAGGTGCTGCAGTGCCTCAAAGAGGCAAGGAGGTCAGCATTCATTCTTTGTACATGCACGCACACCAAAAGGATTACTGTAAAAGTCCGTAAATAAGTACGTATTTACTTTCGATTTTAGTGGCCACATCCGTACTAACTTTCGGGCGGGTACTGACTTTCGGACCTCACTTGTGTGTAGTGGAGAAGTCATTTTCATGTAGATGTACATGCTACGTGCTGCATGTGCGCACCGTACCGGTACTTATTTCGGGCAGCGTATTTATCGGGCTTGACTTCAACAGGCATAGTCAAAAGTATGAAGGGGGTATTTATTTCGGGCAGGTACCATACTTATTCACGGAATTTTACGGTAGTGGTATTAACTGTGCACCGGGTACCTTGCCACATCAACCATATCAATCGCCTTGATGTATCATATTTGTACCTGATGATTCCTAACATTTTCGGCTGGGTACCTGCGCAATTGGACGTGAGCGGACGACTATTCCTGTTTTCATGGCAGTTTTTCTGTGCTTGTTTGTGTGCTGTGTGGTGTGGTGTAGTGTGTCGAACACTGTGAAGAGGGCATTGTTGACTGTACTATCCGTGATCATCTTTGGTAACAAGATTACAGGTGAGCTGCATTGTTGCTGTTTTTTGTCTTGCTCCTGACTCAACTTACCGGCAGTTCTACATGTTTCCAGGAGTTTTCTTCAGGTGATTACGAACCGGAAGAGGCGAATTGTTGACTTATTGCTGAACTTAATAAATAAAGAAGAAAATGCATGGTTGGAGGTATTTTTGGCCTGAGGCCCAATCAGGTTTCACAGGCCCTGTAATGAAGGGTGCTTGGGGCAAGGAACGGTCTTCAAGTGCTTATTTGTCTCACTGTGCGATACGTGAGTTGACCTGGGTACGCGTTCTGCTGAGATACCGCGGGTAAGAGTATGCTTTATGGTATCGCTACTGGATGTGCCGCGGGTGCTTTGCTCGTGGAATTGGACACCTTGCTTTCAGAGCACAGTCTGCAACTCGCTTGATCGTGATCTGACCGACCTTGCCTTGCACTTAGGCCCTCTGTGTCTGCATGCACGCTAGCATAATGGACCTTACTTGCATGTCTGATAATATTGCAACGTCTCTCCTTTCCTTCACTCCTGTCACTGGTGCTTATCCTGAACTGGCACCGACTGGTAACCCGTTGCTGCCGTACATGTATACTATCATGGCATTACAACGCTCTGACACACGAATCGTAACGCGCACTATTTTTCTTTGTACTTGTGCCGTGTCCAGTGCTCACGCTCCTTGGTACGGTCATGGTCATTGGTGGTGTGTTTGTGTACAATTCCGCACGCAATCATGAAGCCGACCTACGTCGAAAGCAGGAGCTGTCATCGGGCGATGCTGAAACGGTGTAGAATGTGTGAGAATGTCATCAGGCGACGCTGACACGGTGTAGAATGCGCGGGAATATGAGTGCTTGGTCTTTGTGTGTTCCACTTCAAAACCATGCTGGCCGTACTGTGAGCCCTTTGGCTGAATTGACCCGATAGCAGTGCTCAGAGTATCGTCTCCGGAACATGTTCTCAAACGTACTCGACACCTTTGCCCGGCCCACGGCCGAGCGCTTCATTTTTAAGCATCAACCGTGTGCTGTGTCGTTACTGCGCGTCAAGACTTCGATTGCTGTCGTGTGTACACCCATCGTCGTCTTGGGCCCAGGATTTCCCAACACCCCAACATCAGTCTTGGCAGAGTATGTGTTGTAGTGGCGGGCACAAATTCCAAAAAAAAGTAGTGCACTCCTGGAGGGAGTGTATGAATCCAGCTTCAGTCCCTAGGAAGTGATTGATATCAAAAGCATTATTGCTGGTCTAACCAGTTTCTAGACTTTTTTCATGACTTGAGAGTTGTCTAGTCAGAAATTATTTGTATATGAGTATAATTATGTGTTATGTCTGATTTCTAAGCTTGTCTATATCTGGTATATAGATGAGTTTTTCAAATTTATTCTGCTACAGTTTCAGAATCAGTCTGCTTTGCAGTATTCCTATGTTTTCTATTATCCCTTCCGCTGCACTTCGTTGAGAACATTGCTGTGCAATGCTACTCGAGTGACTTTACTGATCTCTTTCCATGCACAACTGCCAACTCCACACATGCAGTACACATGCTGTTTGTTGTTATTGTACACACTCCTTGTCTTTGTAGTACACACCCACACACAATACTGCGTGTCATGATTGTTCCAGAGTGCAAGAACGAACGAAATCAATATCAACTTGCTGGTGCTTCTCTCCCCTCTCGGAGACCTCATGTGCTGTGTGGGTGGCATTTACCGGTATAATCTAGCTGGCCATGGCTCTAGAGGTTATGCGATTACATCATCAGTTAAGAGCTTTGACAAAGCCGTGGCACAGCGATGTACTAAGGCTGTACATGTAGGTCAAGCGAGGCCGCTGACTCACGCTGTATGCTTGGCTCCCATAAGCTAATCCGTTGATTCACCCTGTATGCTCACCACTCGTAAGCAGTTCCGCTAGTCCCCCCCCCCCCCCCCCCCCCCCGATTTCCGACAAGACACTACGAACGCACCCTGAAGCAGGCGTGGCGTTTTGCAACTTGTTTCACTTTTATCCTATTAATTTGGGCTTTCAGATGTCTCTGCCGCTACAAGCAGAGAGCAACGTGTACACTCAATAGGATCACAGCATATCCGATCTGCATCTCGGTGCACTGCTTTGTTAGCCATGATATGTGACCATAAGCCCGTAAGCAGAGGAAATGAGTGGAACGACTACAGTAGAACAATTCCGAAGAGAAGCTGAATTAGATGGAATGCCAAAGAGAATGTTGGAGAGTAAAATATTTCCATCCACACAGTGCTGCATGGCGTTTAACCCTTTAACCGTCATATAAATTTCACCCATTGAAACGCCGAACGAAATTTCAACTTTGCCAGGTCATAACTTTAGTTGTACTCACTCGATTTTTATAATCTTGGGCTCGTTGGAAAGCTCTGGACGAGACCAGCACGATGATACCACATTCTTCGCCTCAGCAGTCACACAACCAGCGCTGGAACGCAGCGACGTCGTCTCAACGCCAGGCATGCAAATGACAAGTTCAAAACTCCGCCATGGCCGTCTCCTTCATCGTAGAGTGTTCAAATTTTTTTTGAGAGATCGAGCTTTTCGTGAGGAATACGTTGGTCGCGAGCAACAGTCACAGAGCGCGTGAAGAAACGGGGAAATCCCGTGACGACGTCAGCCGCGCGCCCAGCGCAGCGGAAGTGACAAGCGTGCAGTACTCAGCGCTTGATAACTCTGATCCACTACATCGTAGCTCAACGCGGATTTCTGCAACAGAAAGCCTGGAAAATTCGCAACCGAATCGATAGTAAATTTTCTATCGTGGGTAAAAAATCATTCCAGTGCGAGTATTTCAAATGATGGGTCGAATTCGACCCACAAATGTATGGTCTGACGGTTAAAGGGTTAATTGATTGGGAGAAAAAAAAGGCACGTGCTGCATCATGCTCGGCCCTTCTCCATGTTCAGGTGTCCGGCTGTAAGCAAGTTCATTAGCTTAACGCAGTGCTTCTGTTGGCATTGTTCACAGTTATCATGATTTCACACCAGCTGGACTGACCAATAGCAGCGAGAAGATTTCACCAATCGTAGCCCGTGCTATGAATGACAACGTTCCCAACTGCTTGCCCGTGACAGTGTCATACCTGTCACCGAACGGATCTCTGGAAGGTGTCTGGTCGGCAAAGCTGTACAGCTGGTGTATGAGGACTGTCTTGATGCTCTCCATGTTGTACGCCAAGCCCAGTAGTCCTCCTTGATACTCTGTGAGCTGGAAAGATGAGCGGTCGTTGAGCGGGATACCGTACGTAGCACTCTGCTTGTTCACGTAGTAGTTGAGCTCTCTTTGGAAGACGACCGGGTCAAACACCGATACATTCATGATCAGCTGGTAGAGGAGATTGTACTTGAGCGAGAATGAGCTGTCGTCCAGATTGTACTCTCGCTTGTAGTGGCTCTGATCTGATGCAAGTGCATGCTGCATCCAGAAAGACAGCAGCGTTGGTATCATTGCTCGGTAGTGCTCAGCACCTTTGCTACTAGTAGCGTAGTACATCAAACCGGCCATGGCTTCCAGCCCCAGTATTCCCTTCACAGCCAAGTTGGTGTTGTTCGCCTCGGGCCCTTCGAAATCGTCCGTGCACAACTGCTTTGGAGGCATGGGCAGCTCGCTGAAGATGAAGTTCGCCCAGGTTTCCAGTACACCAAAGTACGGCTTAATGTAGTCGAGCAGTTTGAAGTTAGCCGTGTCTCGCTGGGCAATGGCGTTCAGCATGAGCAGCATGTTGGCTGACTCCTCCATGGGCATCTGCTCCTGTCGCTCCGGTGTCAGGTCACAGATTGGCCACGTACCGAGGTGATGCGGTGCCCAGTTCAGGTTGTACTTGACATTGGTCTCGTTGTTCGAGTAGGCAAGTAGGGGTAGCAAGGTCCGGGTTAGCAGCTCCTAAACAATACACGGTGGAAATGGTATGCCGCTCAGTACATAGACAATAGGGACGTTTAGCAATCGAACTTTTGGTGGCGGGGATATTTCGCGAAAATCAATGTCGAAAAGGTTGTGGGGTTTAGCAATACGAAATGACTTTTTCTCAAAGTTATTGGAATCATATAGTACCATACCATATTAGCAGCTCAGTCTCAAGCAGGGGGCTGTAAATTTACTGCTCCCTGTCATCAAGTGCGTACCGAGGAAAGAGGAAGTTACTTTCACAAGTCACTGCAATTTCGCGTCCAAGTTTTCGAGTTTCGAGCTTTGTTTCTGTGCTCATTCCCAGACTCGAAATTTTTTTCGGACTTTCGTGTTACTAGACCTCCCTAGTGATTGGAGATGGTGATACATGATAGATACTGTGCTAATACAGCCTCGTTCTTAGCAATCACTGATAAGAGTACAGTCATGCATCATTATGACAAGCATTCAAACTATTATAATAATGTAGAGGCCCTCCTGGGTAGAGGTACTAAGAAAAAGCTGGGATGGCATGCATCATGGCTTCCGCACGTATTGTACGTGTATATCAAGCACACTCCTTCTCTAAAGCACTTGGAACTGCATGCACCTCTAGCACTGTATCTTACCGGGCTGAAGTAGAGCAGCTGCGAGGAAGCCGGAAAGATAACGTCAATCGTGCTAACGTCGCCGTCCGTCGACATTTCCATCATGAATGCCCACGGCTCTTTCAGCACAGGGTGGTAGACTATCTTCATTGCACCCAGCACCTGCAGGCAACAGAGCATGATGATAGCAATGCGCCGACTTCAAGGGACAAATTAAGGGATAGAACCCTAACCTACCTGAGTTGATTCACAACTGGACGCCACAGCTGGTCCCGTTGTAGCCCAATCGTCTAACACAGACTATTTTGTAGCTCCAGTCGCCTAAAAAGAGAAATACGTTTTAACGAGAGAGCTTGGAAGCTCAGGGCCCTACGCTATGCTTTTTTTTGCCTTGATGACCTAGACAAAAAAAAGCATAGGGATGTTATAAATTCTTTAAAAAATTCCTTTTTTTTAAGACATAAGGCCACCCTTTGTTAATTCATTGTTTAACGTCCTTTTTTTCGCGAAAAGGTACGCGGGAGGGCGGAAAAAAAACAAAAGCCCATTCCAAAAACTGGAAACCCCAATCAAACATTTTGACCAGTGAAGCATGTGATATAAACAATATTTCTGGGTCTAACGGCACTTGCAGGCATAGAACAACACTCTTTGATGGTACATTGGAGCACATGCCTGATGAATCCAACAAAACAGGTACATAGCATGGAGTTAGCATGTCATGAATTCATTACATCTGGATTTTTACTAGGACACACACCGTACGATATTTAAAAGCCAACAAAAAAAAGAAAAAGAACACAAGACAAAGGCATGCCCGGAAGGCAAGATTATAAGTTTAAGGTCATGATCGGCACACTGTGAAACTACACAATCATGTACTACACAACTTCGCATATTATTGGTACTACTACTTTCTTGTTTTTTTTCCGGTCGGAGGCAAAAAGGTACGCGGGCGCGGACGTTAAACAACGAAAAAAGAAAGGGTGGCCTAGCCTGGGATTCGAATCCGCACTATCGCGCGCCATGCATGCATCCCCCGATACACTTCGCATACTAATTCTTCCAAGTTGCTTCACGTTATGATCTTGCATTTGAAAGCCCTATTTGAATATGCATTGTGGCCAGCCGTCTTTGATGGTACGGTACGGGACAGGTACGATCGAGGGTAATACGACACCGTCTACCGCCTTGATGACGGCAAAAAAAGCATAGGGATGTTATAAAATTTTCAATTCTCCTATTTATTTTTTCAGGCGTATCCTGGGATTCGAACCCGCACTATCGCCCTACATGCATTCCCCCATACACTTCGCATTCATACCCATTCTTCCAAGTTGCTTCACGTTATGATCTTGCGTTTGAAAGCCCTATTTGAATATTGCGGCCAGCTGTGTTTGATGGTACGGTACGGTAAGGGACAGATACGGGATAGCACCAGGCGTGACACAAACAAACAAACACACAAACAGCAAATTAAAGCTGTGTGGACCCTGGCTAGCGCCAGACGTTACTGAAGTAACGTCTTCTGCATAGCTACGGGAATGATTACATGTAGCTCCATGTGGATGTTCCCGATAGCTGTATTTCCTGGCATGCATGTTCAATTTCCTTTTCCACAAGGCCTTAGTTAGCTCTGTACATAGCCCGGATTTCCTCTGGTCCGATACTTACCTGACGGTATGTTAGGGAGGTTAGGAATGCGTATTCCGTTCCGCCGACTCGCAGGCTCTCTCGTACGACGTCCTCATCGAACGCCTTACACTTGCCCAGTACACTCTCATAGTCCATCATGGCCTGGTGTATCATTGACGTAGGACTGCTGTTGAAGGTATAGCGCCAGTAAGGCGGCAGCTTCAAGCCAAAGTAGTCGATGCTGAAGATGTCGTCCAAGAAGACCAGGACGTGACGACTGACGGCCGTGTCTGCTGTGACCTAGTGCGTTCAGGCATGCCAATAAAGACACATAAAGGTGCACACACGTACAAGCGCACACGCACACACCTGGACCTTGACCTTGACATACACAGAATTATCACTTGAGTGCTGCTGGCTATCCTGCCCCAGACATCTTGTTGACTTACGATGCACATCACGGAGCAGGTGGATCATTGTTGCAATGAATGTTGGAGTGTAGTGTAGTGTTGAGCCACGTACTATGTTTTATATCAAGTGCCCAGGGATAACATTTCCAACAGCATTGCTTCTCATGGGAATGTAGCTGGGAATTTGATGATCAATGGCCGCTCTGGATGGTCAATCAACAAGATGAGTTGACTTGGGTCCTACCGTAATAACACTCGTGCTAGGATGCATTTGATGGGGGGGGGGGGGGGGGGCTAATGCTCTCTGAAAGACGTCGGTTCAACGTCACTGAAGCTGTCTTACCTGACCAAGATCCCACTTCACTGCAAGAACTGGCCAGTCGTCATTGCATTTCCGTGGGCCACTCGTGTCATCATCCGGCAATGCCTTGCCGTGTGTGAAGGCGCATGCAGCCTTGTACCATGCGGTCATCGTTGTCTGCATTGCCGATGAGTCACCGCCATCGTCCGGTGTAGCGTAGAAGTAGCCCCAGGATATTCTTCTGCGGTCGCCCTTTGCGCCAAGCACATTCTGCTGGTGTGCACCGACTCGCATGATATTCTTATCATCACCCGTCATGCGCGACCATTCTACCACTGAGTTGACATCGTCCACCGTGATCTCCGCCGTGTTTTCATAGTAGATCTCCACCGAGTGTATCTTACCGTCGCTGCTCTGTGCAGAGGCGGTGATGTAGGTAGTACCGCGGGAGATGTCGCCGTACGTGTTGTCTGCACTGGGAGGCAGCGTTGGTGTGCTGAAGGTGACATTGACCTGCACGCCACCTGCCTCAAACACATACAGTGTGGTGGTTGGTAACACCTGAGAAACAACACATGCACGCATACATCATACTTCATCATGTTGCGAGAACTGTGGCAATATGCCCAGTGAGAAGGCCCTGCTTATGGAGCAGTAAAATAACGCTAAACAAACAAACAGCAGTGTGGTCGTTAGTAACATCTGAGAAACAACACATGCACATGCAACACACACAAAGTGTGGTCGTTGGTAAAACGTGAGAAGCATGCACATACAGCACAAGTGTGTGCATACTCTGATATGTGGCACTCGTTCAACTTGATGTGCATTTTAGTTTTACCCCGGTGATGAATACGTCAAGCTTCACAGTTAAGTCTGCTGTACCATAACTTTACTCTGAAGTACCGGCATGTGCTCTTCTAGCCCAGTCTACTCCAATGACATAATTATACATGATCATACATATACTTCGAAGTCCTTCACTACAACAGACTAGCAACTGACTGCATTGCACAGTCACTCCATACTACAGTCAGACCAGCATGAAGATCAGACATGTACACGTTGATACTGCACGTGAACTATTTTTTAAATAGCTTTTATACCACACTTGGCTGCTGTTGTATGATTCAAGTGTACACATATTACTACTTTTTAAAATCGTTGAAGTGCAAGCTATGATATACATCTGTCCCCGGGGAAAATTGCGATTCCGCGGCCGCGTTTTTTTCCGCGTTTTTTGCGATTTTTTAAAAGACCGCGTTTTCCGCGATTTTCCCGCGTTTTTTGAACTTTTCTGTTGCACAACACGTACACACAGTGCACTGTTCGGTCAGCAACGTCTCATCCGGTACGCGGTGGCGGCTTTGTACTCAAATATGACGAGCGCTTACACCAGAGACTTGTAACTGATTGATTTCACTACATACTCACTGAAAATTGCCTCATATCAACTGCAAACATGCCGCCGCGAGATGATGTCAATAATATTCACCGCATATTTACCGCAAATTCACCGCAAATTATGCCATATTATGCCGCGTTTTTTGCGATTTTTTTCCGCAATTTTCCCCGGGGACAGATACATCCCTGCACTTACCAGAACTGAGGTCTGATCAGCGTTGGGTATGGATGTTGAAGACCTCTGTCGTTCCTCACCATTGCTGCTGCTGCTGCTGCTGCTGGCACCATTTCCACCAGCATGCCTGGTACCATCGCCACCATGACCAGCACCATCACACATGCCAGTGAATGTGTCGGTGCCTACGAGCATGTACGGCTTGCCGTCCACCCGGGCGATCATCACAATCGGCATCGGTGCACCTGTGTGTGTGTGTGTGTGTGTTTGTCGGGGGTTATGTGTGCAAGTGTACAGGTCACAGTGAGATACCATTTAAAGTGAATCGGAGTCCCACCCGATTGGATGCCGCATACCCATGTCCTTGGCGTCAAGTCCAAAACGGTGACGTGTGATTTATAATCAGGAAGTAATTCCGAAGTATGTAACGTGACATTGTGAATGAGAGTCCGCTGGCTCGGTAGAGTGCTCAATTTTCATTCGAACAGAGCTATTGTACATGGGCATGAAACTACATGTATTAGTTACAAGCGGATGAGGCGCGCGTAGTGCTCGGTGACTTGTGTTTAACATGACATTGTACAGCATTTTGGAGACAGCAGCAGCCTTTTAAGATAAACTGTCACAAGAAGGACTAATTTAGCTGTAAGCATTTCCTATTAAATAATTTTGTCAACATGCATGAGTATCATGTTAAAGGCCTCCTTGTCTTCTTTGTGGTTGTACCAATTTGTTTTGGTCTGATGATTGTAATGCGGAGATCCAAGTAATAGCTAACGCTAATCCTCCTCTGGCCTGGTATGAAGTGCATTTACACAGCCATGTCGTTTCCGTCGTGTGGATCCAGTTTGCACCTCCATCCTCACTGTTCCATGGGGCTGATTCCAAGGCCGTAGATCAACGCACCCATCCGATGCAGTGGCTATGCAACATGCGACAGTTGCATGGCATGTATGCCTGGGGTTAAGTGCCGTCACCATAATTATCACATTAGGGTACCAAATATTTACTAACAATGCAACCGATGATTCCACTTGAGGAAAGTAGTCGGCACAAACATACACACATGAGCAGTCGTGGCCCGCAAAGAAATCCGACCCACAGGCCGAAAGGAGTACCAAGGCGTATGCGCCCTCTGCGGCCCTTGGACAGTACACAATGTATTTGAAATGGAAACGCTGCGCTGCTCTAGGGTCGGATTTCTTTGGCCACAGATATACCGTAAAGTACCGCCAGAGCGCCCCGTCTCGCGAGAGCACGCCACCTTGATTTTACAGCCTGGGAAAGGAAAATCGTATGGCAGAGTGCAATGAAGTTTGTACGGTGTGAGAACCTTAGTGTACTAAGGTCACACTAAGCAGGTTTTTGTGTGCAGCTGGTGTCCGCTCGAAGGTACGGATTGTCTGCCGAACGTGCAATATATGTACAATGTGCGTGTCGTATGACCTAGAGACAGGAGACCACCTCCACAATACGGCCACGAAAGGACGAGATGGTGGGGCGCTCTGGCGGTACTTAACGGTACATGCAGCCTTCACTCCATTTCAGTTGATCTCATTGCGTTACATGTAGCAGATGTGCAAGTGACCAGGGAGTAGTAAAACACCAGTAGTTTACTACCCCCTGCTACAACCCACTCCTCCCAAACATGCAAACAGGATAATTTTTGATTTATACGTTATTTTAATTATTATAACTACATGTATCTAATTCTTGCAATAAGAACGTAGTGTGATGACGGCCTTATTCCAACGGTTTGAATAAAAGGTAAAGCCATCAGATCCGTATATCACTGCCCGGCACTCACCGGCCCAGTGGGAGGGAAACGCTTCGTATGCGTCGTCAGTTCTCGACCACATCGACATGTAAGGGTCGGTCACGACCAGAGGTACAGCGGGCGGCCGAAAAGGCGGATCGGCGGCTTGCATTCGACGAATTTCATCACTGTATTCTCCGAAAGCTGTTGCCGTCGAACTGGAAATGAATGACACGGCGAGCAATGCAATCAAGACTGAAGACGAGTCAAAGGCTGTCCGACCGAAGTGCTCCGATTTGCGCTCGTGGTCGCACATAGTGCTGAAGTGAAGACAGAAGACCTCCTAAGCTGACCAAAGTCACCAACGGATTGAAACCAGCTTTTCTTCTATGATACAGCACCAAGAGTAAATTTAGGAGATCACTCTTGATCTTGTGTATCTCGTCGTGTATTTACGTTCCGTGTTTGCTGGATCCCATGGAATAGTGCGCACATGACTTGTACTATTTCAGGCCCCAACTCGCAGGTGTGCACATGGTCGACCACGATGACACTGGGGCATGGCCATGGGGCCCATTGGCATTGGGGGTTACAAGGCGGGGGTATGGTTTGACAGTGCGGAGGAGGCTGCATGCAGTGTACCATGTAATCCCTGTCCACATGGTCCATGGGTTGGTCACTTAAAGGGGAAGTATACCCTAAAATCAAATTTTCACCAGTTGTAGTCTTCTGGGTGCTGAGTCGAATGGTCTTGGTCCGAGGAAGCTGCGACGCTCCCTTCCTACTTGAATCCCAATCGAACTCGCGCACTTCCACCGAAACTGGGTGACTGCGCCCTACTAGATGGGGATTTGTATGCAAAATGTCACTAAAAGCGCCATTTCGTTCTTATAAAAGCACGGATGACCGCGATTGGCCCATATGGTGTAGTCTTTTGGACGCTGAGTCGACTGGTTTTGGTCCGAAAAGGCTGCGATGCAGCGTTCCTCCTTTATTCCCAATCGAACATGGTTGAACAAGTGGTCACGTGCTCCTGGGTGCCCAAATCACCTGGTCACCGTGCCAGCAGGCGACAACTTTCACACCAAGGTTCAACTCGAGTTCAACTCGAGTGACAGGACTGCACCCAAAAAAGGTCAAACAGGCTAGTAAGTTGTACCCTGCAGGCACGGTGACCATGGTGACCAGGTGACTGGTGTACGCAGGAGCACGTGACCGCTTGTTCAACCATGTTCGATTGGGAATAAAGGAGGAACGCTGCATCGCAGCCTTTTCGGACCAAAACCAGTCGACTCAGCGTCCAAAAGACTACAACATATGGGCCAATCGCGGTCATCCGTGCTTTTATAAGAACGAAATGGCGCTTTTAGTGACATTTTGCATACAAATCCCCATCTAGTAGGGCGCAGTCACCCAGTTTCGGTGGAAGTGCGCGAGTTCGATTGGGATTCAAGTAGGAAGGGAGCGTCGCAGCTTCCTCGGACCAAGACCATTCGACTCAGCACCCAGAAGACTACAACTGGTGAAAATTTGATTTTAGGGTATACTTCCCCTAATTGTATGCAATAAATGCAAAAAAAGTGCAGCATTTTACAGTACTACCAGGGAGTATTTTACTACTCCCTGGTACTACTGAGTACTCTAGTAGTATACACGCACAATCATGACCAGCCCGATGAATGAAGAGAAAAGGGTGGGTGTGGGGGGGGGGGGGGGCAAGAGAGAGAATGTGTTTTTTCCTTGTTTTTGCAAGAGTCAGTTGTACAATAATATACGATACACAACCATGAACACATGTACTTCAAAGTACATACATGTGCGTGATAATAGCAGTACTGCACTGAAATAGAATGAAACAATGTTCTCAGTACATACGAAATGTGATCCGTAAAACCTCAGAAATACTATACTTTGAAGTAGAATAAAGATTAGTAATGGACCAGTTACTTTGGAGTGCGATAGACCAGCTATGGCAAACGGTTGGTCGGTATTTCAAGTAAATCTCCAGGGGCGGGCCAGCAACAGTTGGAACATTACAATGATGGCCGAGTCTTTCGCAGCCTCCTAGTCTTAGCCTGTAAACATGTGTGTGGACACAGTGTAGACGCAGTGTAGGGCCAATCTACTATCTAGTTTAAAGTCAGAGCAATGATTTTGGCCAGCAAGCTCAGCATCTGCACTGATTGGAAATCTGCATGCACTAGTAGTAAAGCGGGTTCCACTACAGCTTGGACTGGTCAGCAGGCTGCAGTTCGCCGACCTGCACCATCTTCTGGCACTCCTCCGCCAGGCGCTGACTGGCCAGCGCGGCCTCGTCCAGTCGCAGCAGCTGCGGGTTGAAGATGACGCCCGTTGCGGTGGTATTGATGGCAACACACGGCTGACCATTGGCAAGACGGTGTGCAAGGGACTTGGGTGGGTCGGTCGGCCGAACAGTCAATGGGCTGCCATGGTCTACATCATCCTGAAAATGCAAAATAGAAATTTTAAACGTGATTTCTCAGTGCAACATCAACAAGAGTATTCAAGGCATCGGTGTACGGTGGATGCGCATACTGTGTTATGGCTCAAATCAGTCAGTCCAATGCAAGTGATGGATATCGTAAACGACTAAGCGTGCATGTTGTTATCGCTCTCGTCCCGGTACAAGATAGATCTCCAACATGTTCTTCCGCGGTGCTAATTCTTTGTAGCTTAACGCCATCACATTCAGCTTTTTAAAGCTGAATGTGATGGCGTTACAAGTAAGTTTCTCAGTGCTCAACCCCCGCTCAAAGTATTTCTCTATCACTATTACCTACTCACCCATAAGCCAGTGCAGCTGACTTTGGCTTGAAAGATAGCACAACAGCTACAGAATAGACCAGCGTGTTCAGGGAAATTGCTTACACAGCTATTCATGATTTACAAAGCAAATGTTTGATTTTTTCACTAGAGCTATGGGCTCTACTGCCAGTACTGGTATATCTCAGTCTGGTCTGGTCTGGCCCTGACCGGCCACCGTAGACATACAGGCTATAGCTTACCTTCATGAAGCCACCTTTGCTCTGGAGAGGGCCCGCTTCGGAGAAGTGCGGTCCGGGTGGGTTCAGGTCGATGTACAGTCTAGGTATGCAGCTGGGCTGTATCGCGCCGTCTGAACGCTCTACAACACGTATCCTGCTGATACCTATCAAAACAAAGGAGAAAAGCAACAGGCCACACGGAATCACTCAGTTGACTTGCCTCGAGAGGGTCTGATTCATGGCAGTACAATTTCAATAAAGTTTAGCCCCCTTCAATATACATAGGAGCCCAACCTAAAATACATTATAATGTAGATGTCTCCACACTAACAGTTACTGGTTGTTCAGGTTTGGATTAAGAACATGTAGCAACATGCAATCTACCTGGTACATTGCTCAGTCTCTTGGTCACAGTCTCCAGCACCTTCCTGTAGTGAGCAAAGTCCTCATCATCCGAGCCCTGCAGTGCAATCAAAGTAAAGGCAGAGCAGATCCAGATGCTAGCTGTGCAACGTCGATCACCACACATGCAGTGGTCGCCTTTTTTTTTTACAGCAATGACTATGTAGTGGCTGTGCAAAGTGACGTGCCGTTGGCAAGCGTGACAGGTCACATGTATGCATGCATAGAGGCTGGCTTGGACACCAACTACTTATACTAAGTTACAGAGACCCAGTTTGCTTTGCTTGCACCGTGGGATGGTCATTAACTTCCACTGTACATATGAACTAGTGAGTTGGTCATCTTGACCAATCCCAAGTAAAGTATATCATTTAGTTGGCATTTGACAGGGTTTTGAAGAGTGATTGCAAAGCCAAAAGCAGGTTGTCGCCAATTTGAGCAGCGAAGAGGGAACGAAAACAAAGCATGCACACGTGGGCACGGACAAGCAGACACTGTCACCTTGGTAAGTTGTGCCAAATCAACTGGCTTTGTCTTGTTATCGCAAATACAAATACTACCCCAACAATGAATGGTTAAGACCAACGATCTTGTAATTACCCCACCATGTGTGACTGAAAGTCTGACTACTAACACTAGGCCAGACGGCATTTCAAAATAGGCAATTTGCCCCGCACCTGCATATACTTCTCGACAGCCGTGACCAGTCCAACCATGTCCTCCTTGGAGCATTTCATTGGTCGGCAAACGGTGCACTCGTTCGGCGACGTGTTGAGGCGCATGGCCTCGAGCAGCTCCTCCTTGGCCAAGATGATGCCGCTGGTCTGCGGGCCGCTGAGCTGCTTGCCACCACTGAATATGACCGCATCGACGCCGCGCTCCGTCCAGTGCCACAGGTTGGACCGCGGCGGAACCTGCGCGGCCGCGTCCACCACCACGGGCACGCCGTACGCCTTAGCCAGCTTCAGCACTGCCTCGAGTGACATTGCCTTTCCATCCGCAAGAGTCTGAAATAATACGAAAGAATATCTTTTTTCAAATCACGGATTTCATGACAGTCAGTCATACTGACCGTTTAAAGGGATATCCATCATCACACTATACTACAGAAGGTACTTCCCCGACAGCCCTGGAGCACACTTTTAAAGCACATCGTAGGTCATTGTAACCAGAAGGACAGTGAATGATTCAAGTGTCTTCAATAACACTACGGTGACACTTTAGCTTAACCTTTTTCCAAGGGCCACAGAAATCTGTACTTCATATCCAAGGTCAAATAGCTGGCATAGGTGTATAACGCAGGGTCGTCAAAAATGGTACTTTACATCCCATGGAATGTTCTATCTGGTGCACTGTAAACTGAACTGTCTCACTGCACAAGGATCACAAACCTTGCCATAGAACACAAACCTTGTCATAGAACACTATGCAGGCGTGCAGGCCCCGATTGAGGCTGGACAGCTCGGATGACAGTAGGCGCGCGTACATCGGCTGTTCCTCCGTGCCCAGGTAGCATATCTGCGCGCCAGTGGTCTCGATAGACTGAGCCCAGCGTCTGTCATTGCCACCGTCCATGATCACAATGCGCTTGTCGTTGCTGGAGGTTTTCGGAAGACGGTGGATTAGATCTGGGTTTGTGCCTATAAAAGAGTACATGTACAATGAAAAAAAAGATCGCCATCATTTTTTCTGGACCATTATTATTAAAAAAATCACATTAGTTGAGGGAATAGAAAAGGGAAAAAGTCCGAAGAAAAAATTGACTGTCACGCCAGATAAGTGGATCATTTGTAACTATCAATGTTTTATGGTACTCGTGATCCCAGTGCAGACTATGGTGCAAACCTGCACTGCAGAGTGCTGTGGTATTGCAGGACATTGTTGTTTGGGCTCATGGATACAGTTAGGTGCCTGGAACTAGCCATTGAGTAGCAGCAATACAGTTATCAGATCACACATTGCTCTCCCAACTGGAGACTCATAACATAGTTGACGTTGAAAAGGCCCCGACTACAACTGCGATCGACATTCAGTCCGGTTGTATGGTACAGCCATGCATTACAGCCAGGTCACTGCTGGTGCATACTAGCTTCAGTCCCCTGTTGCCTCTCTGGCCTTGCCTCTTCATGTTTAAATTCTCGTGCCAAGGTTTACTGGTCCTGGGCTGTACCATCATAAAGAATGTTATAGCAGCCTATACAGTAGCTATACCATTACTCAAGTCATCAAGTCTTGGTGTCAATGTGTGGCTGGATGAACCCATGGCACTGTGCCAAGCTTTCCAAGTTTCTAACACGCGTGTTAGTAGGCCATTGATCGAAGTAAGTTATGAGTCGTATAATACCATGGACAATGTTGATGTGATGGACTGGACTTCGCCCCACACCCCTTACCTGCAATGCAGGCTGCAACAGTCACTGCCAGACCTGCAGATGCTCCAGTGGTGAGGAATGCACCATAGCCAGTGGGACACCGGCACAGCTTGGCAATTCGCTTGCCGCACTCGCGTTGCAGTCGGTTCAAGTCAACGAAGTGCTCAGAGGCCTCCACCATCGCTTTGCTCTGCTCACATGCATGCATGTGTGACCCCGCGCATGTACACACGCACGCACACACACACACACACACACACACACACACACACGTGTACGCACCACACACAACACACACACACACACACACACATGCACACGTACATGCACGCACACACACACACACACACACACACACACACACACACACACACACACACATACACACACACACACACACACACACACACACACACACATGTACCAAATCAAACACACAATCAAGCCATGTACATACACCTGGTAACTGTGCTCTGTAGGCCTAGATTCCACACCTCAGCCTGATTCCTTCTCAGAAATGTCCAGTGGTCATGTGATCATGTGACCATTGCTATGGCTACGGGCACTGGGAGTGATCACAGCCAGTCTGTGATGCACTACTGGCTACGCTCAAGCAGGACAACATAGTAGTGCATAAGGCACCCAGACTACTTGCTCGACTATGCATGCAGCCTAGGACAACAAACCAGGACGAACCGCTTCTGGCGGCATGCGTGAGCCGCCCAGAGACGTGAAGCTGCCGATGCAGTTGATGATGCTTGGCATGCCGAATAGGCGTTCGTAGATGTGCTTGCTTTCACCGCCGCTGCTACCTTTAGATACGTCCATGCCACCTGTGACGGGTACACTCTGGCCGGGCGGAGTGAGTACTGGCTTCAACTCAAACTCTGCCTCCACCTCCACTGGTATGTTGAATGGTAATGTGCCAGCGCCAACAGCCGATCTAGCTCCCACACCAAACTCAGGGCCAAATACATCTCTCATCACCTCACTGAAGCCGTCAATGATGAGCGGGATGCTCTCTGCGCAGGACGGCTCTGCGTTCACCAGGCCAAACGTTCTCACGAGTCTGCCGATGCGGGACAGCGAGCCAAGCTCAGCGCGCAACGATGCCAGCATGCAGATGGCCGTGTGCCGTGCTGCCGCCTTAGCCTGTTGCACGGTCAGCTTGTCTCCTACCCGGCCCGTCATCAGCGCGAATGTGCCGTCCCTGCTAAGGGCAAACGGGCCATGGCCACAGACAACACATCGATTTCCCACCACATTCACCAGGCGGTATAGGCCAGCCTTTTCTGGCACAGGAGGCAGCAGATAGTCCAGCTCCTTGAGTCTCTGGTCAGGATCCCCGCTCATTGTGCAGTAACAAAATCGACTACTTGCACTTCTAGCATGCAGGAACCTTGAGTCGCTAACTATTACTTGTGGCGCTATTCCGTATCCGACTGCGGACCACCCGCTATGTATGGGTACAAACTATGTCTGCAGGAGTGACAAATAGATCTAATCCCACCGAATGAATAATCGCAAAAAATAATACTGGGGTGCTGGGTCAAGACTGTCGTCGTCGTCGTCTTCACTGGTTTGATCGTTTCACCAGGCAGAGACTGAGTGAATCTGAATTTCGTACTTGATCTCAAGTGCTACAAATTCCCTGCGTGCTGCTATCCTTCCAAAGACAGAGGAGGTAGATCTGCAAAGAGTTGATAGCACTGTGTTCGCGACATGACACATTTTCACATCAACAACAAGACTCAAGTCGCACGTGCCAACTTCCCGATGACCGTGGCGTTGGCAAAAATCATTGTTCGAGTGAAACTACATGACTACTAGTACAAAGTACTCTACAAGTACAATGATTATGACTGTATACCCATGTAGTTGCACTGACGCAGTGACGGCTAGCTGACGTCGACTTCACTGACATGATCATGGAGCCTAGCTAGCTAGTGAGTAGTGTTGACGACAACATGGCCAGGCCCATGGACGACTTGATCGTCTTGTAAGTACATGTACAGTGTAGTTGTACGCATCATGTATGCGCTATATAGTATTACTATTAGTACAGTGGTCCCTCTATAATCCGGCACCATTTGTGCCACGAAAATCTGCTGGATTAGGGAGGGTGCTGGATTAACAAATCTGATTTACTGCTGCAATGTGCATGAAGAGGACATTTGGCTACTGAAAATTGTGCTGGTTTATCGAGGGTGCTGGATTATAAAGTGCCGGATTAGAGAGGGACGACTGTATATGCAGGCATTGCAGGTCTTGATTGTACGGACACTCATGTAACTATTGTTGCGGCCGTTTTCCGGTTGATTACCGATAGAGCCGACTACAGAGTAGGATCTCAGGACTGAGCTGTCCTCGAACGGTGAATTATTATTTTGGAGGATGGGGTAGTCACCGGTTAGAGCTCTGGAATGGATGTTGCAGAACAACAGAATGCCGTCTCTCTCTCCTCAGTTCTTCGCGGCTTGTTTTGGAGGGGCAGACTGAGAGCACTCGGACCCAGTGCCCAGGCTCTGCAGTATGCAACGTTTCATCGACAACCGTTTCGAAGGAAGCCAGCATACTGGACTTCAAGACTGATACGATCGTAGTGAAAATAGTGCAGTGTGCTCCGATCCGGAAGAAGTGAGAATGAAGCTCGTAGATACCAGAACGGATCGCGGAAGAGCTTGCTGTGTAAAGTTAGTTAGTTGCGTGTACGTGTGTAGTAGTAATATCCGGGAAAGCATCACCACGGCATATCTGTGACAACGTCTAACCGCTGTGCACGCTCTTGTTGGATGGATGCGTTCGAGCGACAACGACTTCAAGTCGTCCTTGCGCTTCGGAGCATGCCGTGAAGGTGGTGAACCGAGTGTTGTGTAACGGCTTTCTAGCTTCGGCTGAACATATCACCGAGCAGACTGTACTAGTGTAGTGTATTACTTAGCTAAACTAGAGCAATCAAGTGAGCAAGATATGGCCTACGCAGGAATTCGTTGTCGACCACTCTTTGTGGGTGTTTTGTTTATAGAGTGGTTGGTAGTATCGTATTTGACGAGTGCCGCGTCCAGCCTCGAAGCAAACCCAACGTCACACGATGGTGTTCGTGTCCTTGTGAATGAAATCTTCATTTCGGACTTCAGCGCTTCAAGCGGAGAGGCGAGGTCATACGTCGAACTCGCTTGGATGCGCCCTGAGGCCAGACTTCCGTCACCTCCACCAGACAGAATCAGCGTTCACAACACCACTGGCACTGCGACTTGCGTTCTAACGTTAGCCTATGTTGTTGTACAGGCTCCTGCAGCTTCAACTTCAAGCAGGGAGCGAGGCAGTTTCCCAGCTCGCCAAGGCCAGGGGAGGCCTGCAATGTCACCTGCAGAATCTGGCAAAACGCTAGTCATATCGGAACAGCGATTAGCTGATCCTGAACCTGATGAACCCAACGCTATTGATTATATCCTTGTTCGCGAGCACCAGAAGGATAGAGATACAGGCGATGAGGAGCTGCTGGGAAAGGGGCAGATTGTTTATTTGCCGGAGGGAGCACTGCTTCCACGTAGCTCACCAGGTCTGATACGGGTGGAGTGCAACGATAGCATGCAAGCTGCCGCCCCGTCTGCAGACATCGTTCTGATGATGTGGAACGTGACCGACGACTTGGCGTTGTTTGCCAGGGCTGGACTGACGACGGGCGGTAGAGTACATGTGATACGCAGTCCGCCGACAATGGAACGTTCGTACAGCCGCTGTGCCAATGGATCGCTGGATGTTGCTGCGTCAAGTCAATCTCCTAGCGCCGCATCTGAGCAGAAAGCAGAGTTGTTCATACAAGCCGCGCAAACACCGCTGGAGTCCAATGCATGCGTTCCGAAGCCCAAGAAGGTTCTGAACGAGTTGAGCTGGTACCAAGTCCATCAAACTCCCGGTAACTCCTACTCGTGGAGTCTGAGTTTTGTTGAAGTAAAGATCTCGTACGGCGCAAGCCGGCAAAGAGATCGAAACGAATGCGCACGCCATAACTTTGTTCTACGCTTTCTCCATGTGGGCGATGGAGCTACGGCACCGGTATCAATCGGTCGTATAAAGCTTAGCGCTGCGGACTGCCGCATAGCCAGTCGACTACATCCTGACCTGCTCACCTACCAACTAGAGACAACCCTGCACTTTAGAAACGTAACTACGCACGTCCCACTTGTTTGCATCCTGCTCTATGACGAGGATTTCTCTACTAGACCTCAGAGTGGCGAGCCAGGAGTTCCCGTCCAGTCTCTACTGGATGCTGTCTGCATTGCTCTGCTTGCAGACCGGCTGAAAGGAAGTGAGCGTGAAGAGGACCGACTTCAGATGGCAGAATTTGCAGCACGGTTCAACCTCCCGTTTGCCACGTCTGCAGACCAGGCCAGCGGAGCGTTTGCTTTACTCACTCCGTATAGAGCAGTGATCCGATGCACTTGCTGCCAGTCTTTTGATCTGCTCTCGTTCCAGTTGAGCCGGAGGCCGACGTCGGGACGAGACAATGCACATGTATGCCAGCTGCCGGCGCCGATCAATGACCAACCTATTAACAATCTTCCAACTCAACCTACCAAGTCAGTGCCAGCAGTTCCAAGCCAAGCCACTGCTGACTTTGGTCCGCACACAGAATCCATCAGCCTCAGTTACATGCTGGCCACCTCATCAGCAGCAATGCCTACACTGTCCATGACAGCAGACCAGAGCACAGGTAAGCAATGGTGATTGATAGTCTGGGGTATCCCCTGTCCTTCTGAATTACAATTTATCCCCTCTGAAGTCAGTCGAGGGTGTTCTATGCAGGTAAAGAAGCAAAATACTAATGTTCTTGCTATACTATTGTTCTTGCTATACATGTACCAATTGTACATCTTATAAGGGTGCAGGCTGGGTGAGCTAGTGTGTGTGCGTGGGGGGGGGGGGGGGGCGTCCGCACATGAGCTGGGAGGAGCATGCATACAGCGAGAGGTAGAGACACGGGTACTTGGAACTGGCTGCTTCATGATGAATGTTTCGATTCGACTACAGGATAATGGAATTCATCTATGATTGAATACTTTGGTGGTGAAGACACACCTAGCAAAATCTAGGCTGCAAAGTCACAGTGCGTCATATATCTCTCCTTCACACCACCACCTGACTGAACTCACGGTGGTGGTGTGAAGGAGAACTGTGCGCCAAAGTGTAACTATGCAGCTTAGAGAGCTTTTGTGAGCAGGTGTATGTTCACCGCAATTTCGCGACGTGTCTTTACAACCATTTTATTCAGCCATGAATTTGAATACAAACAAACCAAACGCACTTCCGTAATGTCATGTGCATACCGGTAACATTAATTTTGTATACCGTAAAGTCGCGGATAAAAGCCGGGCGTATAAGCACATAAGGGGTCGTCCGCAATTATCGAAAGTTTTTTCCAATCCGTAGTAGCTTCAAATTTTTCCTCACCCACCCACCCACCCCCCCAGTCCGTAATAAAATATTATTGATGGACACACAACGCAACACATATGGAACAAACTCAATCAGTGCTGGTCCATCCTTGTTCGTCGTCTTGGACAACTGCCACAAGCAATTTATTGTTCTGTAATAATCAGAGTCACCAGCGGTTTCGAAAAAGGGCTGCTTCTTCACCGCCTTTCCAAACAACGTCGCCTGTCTGGACATAGTCAATAACAGTCGTCAGCGCCAGCGCTAGACGGAAGGACTTCAAAGGAGTGCATGGAAGACGGTACTCTGGACGAAGGAGGCAGTGAAACTCAAAAATAGAAGGTGTCGACTCGCCGTCGAATGCGCCGAACTTTATGATCCCCGGCCCAGGAGGAGCAGCCAAGGAAGCGCGCGCGGGGGCGCAGAAACTGCCAGAACTACAAAAATACTTAGTATTAGTAGTAGACAGTTCGCGCGCAGCCGCGCGTGGAAAACAGGGGCTACACGTAGACGTACACGTGGCACGCGCACGTGTCATTTCGGAAGTTTTTCAATCCGTAACTGGCCTTGACCCACCCACCCACTTTCGAAGCTACTACGGATTGGAAAAAACTTTCGATAATTGCGGACGACCCCTAAGCCGCTTTCTGCATCAGGCTTTAATGCAAGCCAGGCTTGTATGCAAACCATGCTTATATGCACCACTGATATTTTTGCCAGGCTTTTATGCACATAGAAGCCAGGCTTCTACGCGCGACACGCGTAGATCTACCACTGACAACCGGTATGGCGGCAGTTTTACTATGCACCGTACATAGCGCATGCACTCTTGACCCACCCGATCTGCGCTTGCATGGAAGCCAGGCTTCTACACGCGACAGGCTTATATGCATTTGACCCGTTTGATTTTCAGGCTTCTATCCGCGATGTGCTTGTATGCGAACCCGGCTTTTATCCGCGACTTTACGGTATATGTATTTGCTGTAGACTTGCAATCAAGACTAAACCCAGTGGAGAATGAAGTCAATGATGATGATGGTAGTTCTGGAGACGGCATGCCTGACATCACCATTCTTATAGCTTCTTCCTTCTCCCTGAGCTTCATCCTCATTCTCCTGCTGATATGCGCAGTCATCTATTTTAACAGGTATGGAACTGAAGCCTGTGGACCATGTGTGCACCACTTTCCACTAACACTTTGAAGTAGATTCAGGGAAACGTCTTTGCACCTCTCTTTGGAAAGTTTCCAACCTTATCCAGCCGTGCCCATGGGTCCAAGCTAAAAAGTCACGGTCTGTACAAAACATCCTCTAGAATATCTACTGTGCTCTCTCCAATGGAATAATTTCCCTTGCAGAGGGCACATCATAGTTCCTAAACTTTGCGACAAATCCTAGTTACTGGCCTGTCCATTCACATAGCAACAAGATTGCCAGTTCTAGGTCTATACCTGACCCTACACACGGGTGATCCTGTATAGTCTTCACGTGCCGGAACCAGCACAGCTCTAACCACCAGCACACTTTCAGCACATGCATGTCAAAATTGAAATAAATTGCTGTGTACAACTCCGAAAGGCCTTCCGCTCCTAATGGGCCCTATGGTCGCGTGTACCATGCACACCATTCTTGCTTATTTTAGCTTCTGATTTCCATAAGTGTAGCACAGTGACATAAAGTGTAGCACAGTGACATAAAAACCCTCTGCTCACTATACATGTAACTCATATGACTTAAACAAACATTCAAGGTGAAAACTGGCAGCTGTGCTTTTTGCATTGTGTTGATCTTGCAAGATAAACAACACAAATTATGAGCTTTTTTAAAATGTCCCCCCTCCCCCCTCCTCTCTCCACATACACAGCCACACAGCTAAGAATGTGAACACTCTCCTCTAGTACACAGCATGGCGTGTTTGTATTTTCTTCTGAATACTGTAGGCAGTTGAAGGCCAAGTCTTCCGAATCATACCAATGTGCAGCATACATCAATCCAGCCATGCTTGGACCGAGAGAGTACATCGCCCCGGAAGGACCTGCCCCGGGTAGGTACATTGGCCCGGATACACCCACCCCAGGTGGATGCATCGACACGGAAACACCAGAGCCAGGTGAGTACATTGACCCGATCTATCTTGAGCCAGTACGGAACTCGCAAGTACCGACCCATGACCAAAGGGGCCGCCGCATAGATAGTCCACAAGACAGTGAGTGCTTGCCTGGCAGTCATCCGATAACGCTTCGTCAGCTAAGCCGCACACACCGCAGCTCCCCAGGCCCATCTCTTGACACCATCACGGAGAGTGAAATCGAACGGCATTGGCACGAGCGCACCCGTCATATCCGCCATCCCATTTCCGGTACAGGTTCGGGCAGAAGTCATAGCCCGACCCAGCACGAGGGAAGCCTGTGCAGTCCAATGTTCGGCGAGGGGGCACCGTACCAAGCCGCCGTGATGCCCAGCCAGCTGGACTTTGCATCCAGGGTGGAGGAGCACGCCGTCATACAGAACCCGTTTTTCCGAGCTCCTGCAGATACGTCTCCGGACACCACCGCCGAACCACGACACGCGGCTACTGCTGATAACGAGGACAGCGACAGCATCACCGCAGAGATCGAAGTGGAGTTCAGGAAGACGACAAGCGGAAGAAACTTTCGCCGCGCAAGCAGCCGCCGGGATACCTAGCCGGCACGGTTTGGAGAATGATTATGAATAGAGCCAATGTGCCCCATTCTATGTTATACACTAAATTATCACCATAAAGAGGGCATTGCCCATACTTCGACGTAATATTATTGTGGTGCTCATTGCATTTCATGCCACCGCATCATCTGGCCCAGTATTGCCCTCTTATGCGAACTTATCTTTTTATAATTATTGTTCTACACCGGAGCCACCAGAGCACACCACTTCTCGATCACCAGAGCAAGTCACACAGATGTCACGCATGTACAAGGTACTGACGTTCTACTTATTGAGAATAATTTCAACCAGCAGCAAGAATACTAGGGATCTCTAGGTGATTACAGCAAACACAAGCGACCAAACACAGCGAAAGTTAGTTGTTGAAGATGTGCCATACAGACTCTATGCACCAATGCAATATCAGCATGGAGAGTGATGTACAGAAGGTGCAATGTGGCCATCTCATGTCCAAGCATGGTGAGCGACGAGGTACAGAGAGCAGTGTACATGCTATGCCGTCGTGTGCACACACGACCATATCAGGTCCGGATTATTTAGTTGATATTATATGCCAGAGTGACAGATGAATGCAAGAGTTTAATTTTGGAGATTTGTACAAGTATGATGTAAGATGAGTTTTGACAATACAAATGTATTTTGACAACTTTCGACTACTTTAATATCTAGATACACAGAATTTCGCGAAATAAAGTACACTCTAAAACATTTCACGGTTGGCGTGAGACTCGTCTGGATTCTCTAGTTGATGCGTAATTCTTCTCCTCTATGTGTGCAAATGGGTTGTTGTTCACGAGTTTGGAAGGTGTTAATATAGCGTGTAGATGTGTGTGTGTGTGTGTGCGTGTGTGTGCGCTCGTGTGTGTATGTGTTTGTGTGTGTGTGTATGTGTGGCCGTGTGTGCGTGCAAGTGTGTAGAGGGCAGTGCAAGTGTTGTGTCCGTGAGTGTGCGCGAGCATGTCGTGAGCTTGCCAATGGAGCCTTGGGATCAAGTTATGTGCCGATGGCAGCCACATTCCCGGTCCAGGCATACACCTGCTTTACCTACAACCCTGGAAAGTGACTGCAATGGCACACCCGCCAGCCACCACTGTGGCATCACTGCTCTCCGATCGACATGCCCGTGCACTGAAGACTTGTAGTGTTATCTAGAGCAATGGTGGATGATTCATCATTGAAGTGAAATTGGGATGATGAGCTTCTCAGCTCACCATCACCCTAGGCCCGGACTGCTCACAGAGAGGGCTTCTTCTGGCACACACGGCATCGGCTGACGTTCTCACGAATGTCGTTGTTCTGCAGCTTCTGAGGCTCTGGAGCCTGGAACTGTGCCGTCTCTTCGATGGTTCTCAGCCAGAAGTTGAGCGTCTTCTCGTGGTGCATGCATGTGCCGTGCACGTCACATTCAACGACCGGATTGGTGCGCAGCTCCTCCAGGCAGGATCCGGATGAGGATAGAGACTGGACACCTCCCTGCGCACCGTGGACGGTTTGCTGTAGATCACACACACACACACAACGAGTAGTGTACAATGTTTTAACCCAGGATACGCTTCTCCAAGCATTCGACGGCTGGTGCACAGCACGATCAGGAAGAGATGCAATTGGAGACAGAGTTCTACCCGTTCCAGAGAACACCAGTGAGTTTTTGATCCTAAACCGGGCTTGACCAGGTCAATCACGAACCTCAGAGACAATGCTGATGTCATTTCCGCGCATTTTTATCGAATCTTTTCAAAATGTAAGACTTTTTCCAATTTGAAACATTCAATTTTGTTAAAGGGTTCAATATAAAAAGTGCAGATGTTTTCTATTAGCCTTGTCTTACTGATAAGAAGCTATAGCCGGTCCAGACGCTGTCATAGTTGTTCGGGCAGTCAGGAATCAAGCTATCTTGACTGTGCACGGCCAGCATACGGCCAGGCGCCTCGCACACCACACACCGGCTGACCATGGAGTCCACGTTCTGGCCCGATGTCGGCTGGTCTCCGAAAGTGGTCTGTGTGGCCAACCAGTAGCTCAGATCACCATGCGGCGATGTGAAGCAACGCTGTGACACGAGAAAATAGATATAGTCAAAGAGAGCCAAGTTCATTTCAAAGAGTTCCCGAGCATCTAATGCGTCCTAGTGCAAGTTCAGACGATGGGTACCATACTACAAGTAACACAATTACACCACCACCTTTTACAGGTCATAGAATCTGTCACCGCTATGGAGAATCAAAGCATTTGAAATTACTAGTAGTCTAGGACTATCACACAAGAGTACGTTTATGCGCAGCAGCAACAACGACGACGACGCTGACAACAACGCCGACGGCGGCAGCAGCAGAAACAGCAACAACAACAACAGCAGGAACAATTTGCAGTGAAATACTTCACACAATGTGGTGATGTGGACAACACACCAAGTGGTACTGAGGATGGGAACAGCACTGCAAGCACAGGTACTGACCTCGTTGTTATTCGTGCACTGGACAAACGGTGCCATATTGAATTTTCTGAGACAAGAGCCTGGCTTGCCAAGGTCCTGGCCAATTCCATTGCCACCGCCGTGAGTTTGCAAGTAGCTGTAGCCGGCGTACATCTGTCGCCAGCCGTTCGGGCACACAGCCTCGAAACGTGTCTGCGAGTGACGTACGACCAACCAGCCGGCAAACAGTGAGCCGCTGAGTCCCTTGATGCCACGCTCTCCCTCCGAGCCCTGGTCTCCCTGGAAACCCTTGTCTCCGGTCTGACCAGGTGGGCCCACATCTCCTGGGAAGCCTGGTCCACCCTGGTCACCCTTCGGACCTGAACAGGACGACAGGCAGTAAGATGTGTGCAAGACTATTTTCTAAGCCATTGCCAATCCGTATTGCATGTATAATAGTACCACCGTTCATGCCTTTACCATAGCAACACCTGATTTCACCATGGCAACACATGATGTCACCACGGCACAAGGTCAACCTCTACTCTGCCAACACAGAAGTATTTTGTGTTGTATTTGTATTTATGGATTCTCCGGCCACAGGCGCTAGCCAAAATCAAGGGAGTCTCCGTTTTTACAGATTGGTTGAAAATGTATTATGGAGCTGCAACACTTGCCCCGAACTCTTCTAGATATCCAGAACAGTTTGAAAAGATGTGGCGTTCGTTACAGCCTGATACTTGGAAGAGATCTGAAGGTTTTGAGAATAGATACATGTATGCGAGTGATCTTTACCTGGGAAGCCTTCATCACCGGTGTCCCCCTTGGCTCCGCTCAAACCGAATCCGCCAGAGAAACCCTCAATACCCTGGTCACCTGCACACACACAGACACATACACAGAAAATGGGAGTTAACCGCCGAGATCTGCATGATCGTCTGATAATACAATGGGAGTTTACCGAGATCTGCATGATCGTCTGATAATACACATACTTACATTGACTAATACACACTACATTCTAAAATGCCTTTACTGAGGCTCTGCCTGGCAGCAGCACTGGTGTTCTAGCTTGAGTTGGCTGCACCATTAATTGGATGAAAATTGTAAAGCCAACTGACTTTAATAATACTAAATCAATTTTAAGCATATGAAATATTATTGAAAGAACCAGGCACCTTGGTGGTTTTTTTGTGGGTTTGCTGGTATTAGTCTTCGCTTTTCCATTCCCCCAACGTATGCGTAGTGTATGATGTCGTGTCATACACCGTAACTCGTACACTGACTGTGTCTGAGTATAGTATACTTCAAAGTACTGTTTTTCCCTTTGCTTAGGGGGCAATGGGTACTCACCCTGTTGCCAGTATTCTGGAAGTCCCACTCACCTTTGGCACCTGTTGCTCCAGTGAATCCTATTCTGCCACGGTCACCCTTCTGGCCTTCCAGTCCTTCTTCTCCCTTGTTTCCTGGAAGAGAGAGAGAGAGAGAGACAGACAGACAGACAGACAGACAGACAGACAGACAGACAGACAGACAGACAGACGGAGAGAAATCGAGCAAAGCACATTTTTCAGCAATGGATCATTTTCGACAAGGTGAGTGCTCAAACAGAAATGCGAGCGAGCTATGTGAGGCTCAAACAGCAAGTGACTGCCCCGCGCGAGCATGCTCTGCCACTACAAGAGTGTGAGGACAAGACCATTTCTGCATGTGCAGTAAAGTTCATCCTCTGTTCCTATACTGATTAGTACCACGGTTGGAAGTCAGAACAAGGTTTAGTAACAACTTGCAATTCAGCAGTTGCTAGGCAACACCAATAACATCACACGCCATATCAAAACATTTCAGCATAACTGAGAAAGGTGCCCGGGATCATTATCATCATGGCTAGCCTAGCATTGGATGTCGGGCACCGTGGGTTTGTACCCATTGAATGATCCTCAGGCATTACGTCGTGTTCACCCTTCTTTGTCTGCAGAAGGGGAGAATTCTGTCAGCCAGGGATATTGTCAGATTTTCACCTTGAAACCCAATGAAAGAGTTCGCCTTGATACAGATTGTTCGTGAAAGTCAGTATTTCATTCCAATTTTATTTGATGACTGTACTCGACTGCTCACCTTTTGGTCCCCGGATGCCGATATCACCCTTCTGGCCAAAGAAGCCCTTGTCGCCTTGGAATCCTTTGTTTCCAACATCTCCCTTTGGACCTTGGTCACCTTTGCCTCCTTTGAATCCCTTCTCACCTGACAACAGAAGCAGACATGAGAAGAACATAATTTGTTACATTGCTTTCACCTAGAGAATGGCTGGGCGTCTATGAAGGTTTGGCAAATGTGAAGATACCAAGAAGTTCAGATACTCAGTACATGATCTGGGGAAATGAGGTTCAGCGCTAGTTGAGGTTGTCTTCAACCAAGGTTTGTATGATGAAGCTGTGTAGAACATATCTTTACAAAGTCGTTTCGCTTCATAGTTGATTAACGGCGATGCATGTCACCAGCACACAAAGTGAAATAATCATACTTTATCAACCATAAGTTCAAGCATAAGTCAAGGGTTCATTGTTCAGTCCTCTGTCAATTTTCGCATTGCTCTAAAGGCTCATTACTCTCAGCATAGATATTCTCTGACTGGAATTCCGAACTTTTCCGTTTGAGAATTTTTTTTCCTTGAAATTAATCCTTGCTGGGTTTTTTCATCTAAATGTCCCGCTATTATCTGCAGAGGTGATTTCTTCCCTCGTCGATTTCTTTCCTGCTTTTATACCTCGATATTTAGGTACTTGTTTCCCTTCTTCCCATGCTTCATCTTCCACTCTCCTCTCCCCATTTCCCCATTTTTCTTGCGATATTTATGTGGGAGACTTCCGTGATAAGCATCCATTTGCTTTTGGAGAATCCTTTTAAATAAATACAATACAATACAATACAATTTTTGAAGGCTATGTGACGTGCAATTTCATCTAATTCTGGACTGGCAAAGCACAGTCAACAGACTATAATTATTATGTCATGTGAAAAACAATAAATGCTCTACTAACGTAGTCCTGATGAAAACCTTACCAAAGTCTCCCTGAATTCCATCGTTGGCTCCATTGCCCTTGTCGCCAACACCTCCCTTGTCTCCCTTCTGTCCGGCCTCACCCAAGAAGCCAATGGATCCTTTGTCACCAATGTCGCCAGGCTCTCCGAATACTCCTTTGTCGCCTCTGTCACCTGGGAAGCCTTCAACACCCTGAACACGGATGACAGCGCAGATGTTGTTCACAGTCAGAAGTATGTCACACGTTCGTGTCTGCTGCCCACATATCTATTTGCTTGAACTTTCCCCAGAAGAAAATTTCTTTTCCCCAAAAAATGTATGCGTGGGTGTGTGCGTGCATGGGATTAGTTTTTACATACCAGAACCTTTTCAATGTCCTTTTCAAATCTTCATGTCCTCCACGGAGGTATTTTGCACGAGAATAATATCATACTGAATGTTTCAACAGAGACACTCCGAATGGTGATGATTTTAAATTGCAAAAGCTTTTAAAATAGGCCGGATGTCACTCACTGGAAATCCTGGGAATCCAGGCTCGCCTTTGTCTCCTCCTGGCCCTGGTCGGCCAAAGTCTCCTTTGTCTCCCTTGCCACCTTCTTCTCCGGTTGTTCCTTGTGGACCTGAACATGAATTTAAAAAAGAGAAATGATACTCACAGTTCCGACACGGTAAGCAGCAGCCGTCGGTCTGTTTATCAATAAAGTGATCAGTTCCGGTCGGCCAGAGAGCACATGTGTGGTAGTGGAGGTGGAATTACTTCACACTTCCCGTTGTCCAAGAAAACACAGTCGTGACACGGAGATGCCGCATGAGCATACTTCCCCTAGGGCCGTGGGGCAGTTCTGCTGCATCCATTGTGCTGAGTGAGAGTTCAGTGTGGAGACTGCTTTCTGAGATTTAAGATTCAAAGCCACACGCATTGCCTATTACCCAGTAAGACCTAGATAGGGGCAACCAGTGACAACAGTGACGGGGCATTGTGCTCACCTGGCAGGCCAATGATTCCCTTTTCACCCTTCTCTCCATCCTCTCCCTGCTCGCCGACTTCGCCCTTGTTACCGTCGAGACCGGTGAATCCCTTCGATCCGGTTTGTCCTATTGCTCCTGGTGAGCCTTGGCTTCCCTTGTCTCCCTTCTCTCCTTTCTGTCCCAGGAAGCCGACATCTCCCTTGAAGCCCTTAGCACCTGCACACAGATGAGAGACACCAGAGGCATAGCGGTACATCTGCACAAGTAGCTACACACAATTGTCCTAGTCACTGCACCCGTGTCCATCATGTAGGGCATGTGTATCCAGTATACTTACAGACTTACACAGTTCAAAATGTTTGTATATGCCTGATCACTCTCGCAGTGTGAATCAATAGTAAAGCAACACGGGCTGCGTCTATACCCGGCATCCTGATGAACTTGAGGTGATTTGCTGGTGACCATTAGCCGGGGAGTTTGGGACACTCAATGCTTGGCTTCCTTTCAGCCCAGTCATGATCGACTTAAAATGCTGGTTCATTATACAATGCATTTTGTCTGAGAGAAAGAGAGAAAGCGATGGAGGTAGCGTGGGTGAGGGTGCAGCAAGCTGATAGGAGCTGTTTTAGAGGTGAACGCCATGATACGGTGCGACTTACCATCAGATCCAATCGCGCCTGGGTCACCTTGATCTCCGAGGTCTCCCTTAGGTCCCACAAAACCTTGCTCTCCTTTGCCACCCTTTGCGCCCTGTTCACCCTTCTCTCCTTTGATGCCCTGCGGTCCCTGGATGCCAATCTCGCCTTGTGTGCCAAGGTCACCTGTGGCTCCAATCTCTCCTGTACACAGAAAACAAAAGGACAACATTGTTAGCACCGGCAGTCACACAATCCACACACTCCAGTTGAGCAAATGTTTAACTGAACATTTTCGATCCGTTCTCATCATCCGTAATTGGCAATTACCGGGGCTAATTGGCAATTACCGGGGCTAATTGGCAATTACCGGGGCTAATTGGCAATTACCGGGGCTAATTGGCAATTACCGGGGCTAATTGGCAATTACCGGGGCTAATTGGCAATTACCGGGGCTAATTGGCAATTACCGGGGCTAATTGGCAATTACCGGGGCTAATGGAAATATCGAATACCATAACTGTATAGGCAAAGCAGAACCTGAAACTAAAATCTTCAAAGGGCACTAACATTTACATCAGACAGGGAAGAGAGCGGTACACTCTCCTTCCCCGACGTTAGCATCAAACAAAATGTTTATCGAAAGCCAACATATCACGGATTTGTACACTTCATGGGGAAACTACACCCAACAAAGCCAAAAAGAAATTTGATCCAAGTCATGGTATATTGTGCCAATCGAATATGCTCTCAGAGAAGAGTAGATTGAGGTTCCTTTCACAGTACAAGGTGTTCAGACAATAGATAATGCACCATCAAACAGCCATTCCGACTGACCCTTTGATCCGACATTGCCTTGAACTCCTTGCTCGCCAACTTCTCCTTTCTGTCCTTGGTCGCCCTTGTCACCGGTCAGGCCGACAAATCCCTTCGGACCCACATCGCCTTGTGAGCCCGGCTCTCCTTGACTTCCCTTGATGCCCTGGCGACCCTCTGGGCCAATGTCTCCAGCATTGCCTTCGAGACCTCGCACTCCTTTCTGGCCTCTCACACCGACGTCTCCCTTGCTTCCTGTTTTAGCCAGCAATAAGATGAAGGGAGAGGGATTTCATGATTAGTGCATGAACTACAGTCCGGCATAGTACACTGTACCATGATGGACACATGGTTATGTTCCTGGGTGTTCAGATCACAGCATACGTGATGTTTCACCATTCATGTCTTTGAGTGTGTGCATGGCAGGAAGCAGCAATGCAGACTGGCACACCTCACCTTGCACATACACCACCAAGACCAAGCCCAGCACACAAAGGAGAGAAGTATGCTAAAATTATTTATTAAATATTCATTTTTAGCACTTTAGTTCTTCACAAATTTTGTGTATGGGTCTCTTCCTACCTTTGCCTCCCTCTACGCCTGGAGTGCCAGCTGCACCCTTTGCACCTTGAGCTCCTGAGCAGCACGAACGAAAACACAACACAACAGGATGGAGCAGCCGCATTTAGGAAGCAACCATTGAAACTGAGAAGATCACAAGTCAGGTTGTGGAGGGGATTGCCACCTTACCAAAACAGTGTATCAAAAGGAGACTGTTCCTTACTTCAGATTGTGGAGTGAACTTGAAGCCAACTCTATATTCTCAACACTACCATTTGGTGCGAAACGTTTGGGAAGTTAACCGCAATGTACGGTACCGTCACAAAAGAATGACTTCTTTCAAACCAGTTCCATATTAGTCTGCTGTGAAGATCAGCTTCCTTTCACAAAACGTGCCCAGGGTGATCAAGCCATGCAGAGAGAGAGATCACTATCCGCCTGTCGAAATCCACTTCATTCGCACATATCCTCCCATCATTTCAGTCAGGGTCTGTAGTGCTGGTGAAGAGTAGTGCATACCCCCCCCCCCCCCTCCCCATCCTGAAGCACAGTGAGGATGAATTCATCTTTAAACAGTGGCAAATATATCAGTATACTTGTAGAAGGGAAAAGGACATAATGGAAACGAGTTAAGAGTAACTCTCCATCACCGTAACCAGATACTATATACAGTCAGAAATACTACATTTATGATTGGCTCAACATCCGAGTTTCAAATATCAGTATACTGTTTGTAGACAAGAAGACGTTCTATTTACCTGCAAGTCCGATGTTGCCAGTCTCTCCTTTGCTTCCTTTGAGGCCATCAAGTCCAGCTCTGCCTGGCAGACCAGCGTTTCCTTTGTCACCGGACCCGCCCTTGCTTCCTTGGACTCCCTTGGAGCCGCGGATACCGACGATGCCCGCATCGCCCTGGTCTCCTTGGATGCCCTTGAGACCGCGCAGTCCTTTCTGTCCACGTGATCCTTGCTCACCAGTTTCGCCTGTGCAAACCAAAGAGCAAGGACATTGAGACGGGGACACATGGATGAAACATACCCTGATGTGGGAGTGCAGTGATCACTATTACCTTGTAGCTGCCTTACCATCCTATCTCGTGACCACCGTGTTTAACTTGAGTACTGATGGGTAACGTTGTTTCGTACAGTACAAGCATCTATGTCTATGTCTTCAGCACAAACAACTACTTGAAGACGATGCTACTCTGTCTCCAACTCTATACACCACTTAGTAGTGCAATGTACTGGTGATTGGCATCAGTCAATGAGGTACTGCAAAACAAAGTCATGTAGAATAAATGCCCGGGCATCAATTTCAAATCTCTTGGATTCTTATTTCTAGCACACCAGTCTGGCTTTACCTGTGACGCCGATGCTGCCCTTATCTCCCTTGGTACCCTGGACGCCGTCAAAGCCTAGCAAGCCCTTGATACCAACTGCCCCGGTGTTGCCCTTCGCTCCAACAGTTCCCTTTCGTCCGGGTTCACCTGGACACATCGGGGTTCGAGAAGAAATACAGGAAAAACAGGTACTCGGATGTGACGCACTATGAAGAATCAGTGTGTTTGTGGAGTTTTTTTTGTGATCCATTCACCACAAAGGTCTGCAACACACAACCCTAAAATTGTAACCATTGTAAACTGCATTATACTGATTTTACTAATGTATGGTTGAATAGTAGTATGGTGGTAAAGACACAGCTGGCGAAACAGCGGTAACACACACTCCTAATCACACAAGTGGCTGGACAGTTTCACTCTGGCGCAGAGCTCTGTTTCTGACCACGAACACCACCATCAGCTTGTGCATGGCACCTAGGCGATGCATGGCAATATTATTCAACGATGATTAATTAATGCATCTGCAGTGGAGCTTTCAAATCCTTTGTAATAATCTAGACCAACATAATGAAGATATTCCAGCAACATGCCTTCTGACCATACCTTTGTCACCCTTGTTTCCGTCCGGGCCGTTGATTCCCTCTTCACCGGTGTCGCCCTTGACTCCCTGAATACCCTGTGGACCGGATGGGCCGATGATTCCGTCTGGACCTTGCTCTCCTCTGAAGCCGCGGAAGCCAGTGGCACCTACCGGGCCCTCTGGTCCATTCAAACCTTCCTCGCCTTGGTCACCCTTGAATCCTGGTGGCAACAGCAAACAAGAAACCGTGGCGGAACACCTCTTACAATATGTACCCGCTTGGGCAGAAAAAATGCACAGCATTTTGAACTAATGCAGGTTAGACGGTCTTTCAGATTTAAGAGCACATAGATGTAGGCACGATGTACATGTACAGGAATGTGCAGTTTTCTATATGTTTTCCTCATGGCATTATCACCACAGCGTATGTTGCTCTCCAAAGTGGTTCAGGGCGTTACTAGGCTGTACTTCGAGTGGCTACGTTCTTCAGCGCCTGATCTAACCGTGCATATAGTACATCATGGTCGCACCATCAACCATACAGATCTTCATTTCAAACGGGAGCAAGCCAGCTCCTTGCATGGGCTGAGCACAGTCCTTCTTCGTCTTCTGTCTGTGTGCCTGCTGTGACTGGGAAGATACTAGTATATCAGTGCCAGGGTCATCAACTATCAATAAAGTCCATCAATCAGTTAATCAACCGCATGTAGTGCGTTCATTGTTGCGCTACGGAACTCTGACCACTGAAAAGAGAAAGAAAGTTGCCTTTCACCTTGAGGATTATTGTATACTGCATCGTTTGGAATATATACCATCTCAACCATGTGATCAGACCAGAAGACCGAGCTGCAAATGTTGAATCCTGAAGTCAACCATCTGATTAGACCAGAAGACCGAGCTGCAAATGTTGAATCCTGAAGTTAACAGCAGACCTGTACACTTACCTCTGAATCCGGCATTGCCCTTCTGTCCGTCTGGGCCTTGCAGACCCTTCACGCCCTTGGGGCCGCGGAGACCACGGTCCCCGGTCCTGCCGCCCAGTCCCAGGAATCCACGGTTGCCCTTATCTCCTTGAATGCCGTCAAGACCTGGCGCTCCGGCGAAGCCTTCCAAGCCCTTTGCTCCCTTGCTGCCTTCTACGCCTTGTAGACCACGCTCTCCCTTCTGTCCTTCTTCTCCAGCTTCTCCCTTCAAGCCTCGTTGACCAGAAATTCCTGTAAAGAATAGGACATATTACTAGTTTCAAGAAAAGCTGTTTTCACAAATTGACTGTACTACCATCAATGTTTTTTCAGTTTTTTTTCAAGTTTACAGAATGATTAATACCTACTACGGTGCTTTTAAAAAGTCGGCGTGGACACAAGAAACCTAATATCGATGAAAGTAAAGTGAGCACACTCATACCACAAGAACAATGGAACAATATTTTAAGAGTTGAACGTCACATAATTATATCTTCCCTTTGTAGTCCAACTCTCAGTGTGATGTTCCATTGTTCTCGCGGTATGAGTGCTTGCAGTGCTTTTAATTAGTTTTAAATCAAACCCTTCCTTTACAATGTACAAGCTGGTCGATGAAGTTTGAATATGTTCGACACCCTCTATCAGTAGAGCAGTTGGTCCACCCAGTATTCAGAGGTTTGGAAATGCACAGCGCCCAGCGATATCTTCCTGGCCCTGTCCCTGATGATGCTGATGCTGTTGATTGAATTTCATTGACCGGTACTGTAGTTGAGCTCCTGCCACTGCAGCTCTCCTGAATGGCAGTGATTATGATGTTGGAAATCCAGCAGGCAACGGACGGCTGCTTCGACCACCGCTAGTGCCACGATCATTACGGCGCAATATCAAAATATATACGATCAATTCAATTCATGTTAAAAACGGCTACTTGCCATCTGCTCCTCGATCTCCTTTGATGCCGAAGACTCCCTTCATTCCTGGTGGACCTTGCTCTCCCTTGGAACCCTTTGGTCCTGGTTGTCCAAGCTCACCGTCCTCCCCAATCACTCCCGCGAAGCCTGGAAAATTCACAACAACAACACCAGCAATGGTTACATACTATAGATTATGTCTGGCCTACAGCAGTTTAGCTTGTGTAATCAACAGTAGATGAAATGACTTGGTACAGCACAAAGTGTTTTGAGAAATGTGGAGTCCCTATATACCAACTGTGTGTGTATGCGTGTGTGTGTGGGGGGGGGGGGGGTGCGTGTGTGTGTATGTGTATGTGTATGTGTGTGTGTGTGTGTGTGTGTGTGTGTGTGTGTGTGTGTGTGTTTGCATGCATAATATTATGTGTATAGTACTGGCATCATTTTTTCAGACTTGACAATACATTGCAGGAATCGCAGACACCCACCACGTGCCCGTGAGTGCAATTAACAGCACTGTGGCATTCAAAACAAGCAGTATTCTTCTCTCTAACAAAAGCAAGACACCACTGTCTAACAAAGCAAGACATGCCATTCTCTACCTTACCATGAAGTCCTGCCAGTCCCTGTATTCCACTTTCCAAAACAAGACCTGTCCCTCACTAGCACAACAAGACTAGATATGTTATGTTACTCTCTGATCTTACCGTCAAGTCCTGCCAATCCCTGTATTCCAATGTCACCATTGGGGCCCGGTGGTCCGGGCAATCCCTCCTCGCCCTGGTCACCCTGTACACCCTTGCGACCGAGCGGGCCGGTAACACCTTGTGCACCGATTGCCCCTTGAAGTCCTTGCTCTCCCTGGTCTCCTTGGTCTCCTACAATGAGAACCACCAGCATGAAACACCAGAATAGTCAGCTGCTTGACAAACACACAATTGTTCTATAAAAGCTCATTTATGACTGCTAACACGCGTGCTTAGAACGTCATCATTATCACCTTTGTTGATGGCCTCCTATGGTGTCATTTGGGGTCCTGTGGCTCGTATCAGGAGTGGCAATGTGTTTTTCACCCAAACAGTGCGCTTTTCTCCATACAATAGTTTTTTTGTCATGCTGGGTTTTCTAGACACTGTCAGCGCTCCTCACGTTCCAGTCAGGTGCACAGGCACTTACTTGACTTAGGAACAAGCAACATTTCAAGATCCAAATATAGTGTACGAGCAGAAGAGAGACAAAGAAATCCTACACTATGCATGTTTAATACTCCACTGCCCGCGGCTTTCACCGGCTAACCATAAGGGCCGATGATAAGGCACCCCAATGATGTGCACATGCACTGAACCACTTCAAGCACACCAGACCACCTCAGGATTATGAACATGTAGCTTTGGTCTGAAGGTCACTGGTGGACGAATTGATTCACCTACCTCTTCTTCCATTACGACCGGCCACACCAACACGTCCCTGCAGACCAGTGAAGCCTGGCTCTCCTTTGTCACCCTTCTCGCTGGTCGTTGCATCTCCTTTCCCACCTTTTACTCCTTTGAATCCTTTTGCAGCGTTAGGTCCGGAGAGGCCTTCTTCACCAACGTCACCCTATGCAAGTCAATGGACCAAGCACAGGCAAGGATGTTAAAAGCTGACAGTCATGCGCATGACAAAACCCATACCAAAAAGTTTTTCCTAACGAAACTAGTCGAAATGCGGGTCATTTTGCTGCAGAAGTTGTGACAAGGACGAACACTTGATAACCCAAGCTCTCAGTCAACTACATTCCATTATAAATTATAAGCCTACCTACAACTATTCTAGAACAAAGTCAAGTTCGCATGCATTCATGTAATATTAACACTTTAAGAAAAATCAATTCTAGCCAGGCAAAAACACTGCATGTGCCACTTACAGCTGTATTCTTACCTGGAATCCTCTCTCACCAGCTTGCCCGGCCACTCCATCAATACCGTTCTCTCCTTGTCGGCCCTCTATTCCTTGAAGTCCTCGCTCTCCCTTTGAACCTCGCTCTCCAATCGAGCCTGTCTCGCCTATGATGTAGTCAATTGTCAGGATACCAGCTTCACCAGACAGGCCTTCCTCACCTGTGTCACCTTGAGGTCCCGGCTGACCCTGGGTATGAGAATATTTTGCAGCACACAGCGAGAGAAAAATAGATGTTGTTGATACGCAAAACACAAGGCTGAACTTTACGATGCACCCGTACACCTTGCGGAGAGCTCCAGGGTCTTGCTTGGTCTTACAGAGGAGGGCATCTAGACTGTATGTCAAAGTCAGCACTGCAAGATGTACACCTTCAATTCATGTGGTGTGCAGTTTTGAAGGCAGAACCTTTGAAGGCAACTCCCTCCAATACATTCACCATGGCTTCCATCACTTGCCTCTTCTGCAGTGGAATTAGCCCATCATCCCAATGATTAGTCATTTGTATCTTTTTTCATTCCCTCAAGCTGATGAGCATACCGGTTTTTATTTGCCATGCTAAAAGCAGCCCTAGCTAGATGATGAATGTAATAATTGTTGTACTGTACTTCAAGTAATTGTCTCACTATCATTGTACTGTACTACATCATGTACTCTACATAGCGTATGATGAATGCATACCAAAGAAAAATGAAGTTTAGTACAACTTTTAAGTCCAGCCCTGATGTAATACTTCCCAAACTGAGTCCAGAACGTGCTCAGCTCAGTATGGGATTATTAATCAATCTTGACTCACCTTCAAACCCTTGCCTCCCTTTACTCCCTGGCCGCCCTTCGCTCCTGCTTGCCCATCTGCACCGGCATCACCGGTGTCTCCTCTCAAGCCTTCGTCGCCAGCATCGCCTTTCACACCACGCTCGCCTTTCTGTCCGTCAGCACCATCCTGGCAGGCCAAACATAGTCTTCCGTCGATTCCTTGCAGCCCAGCGTCACCAGGCAAGCCTTTGAGTCCGTCCACTCCGGGAAAACCATCCGGGCCTTGCGCTCCCTTGAAGCCTTTCTCACCACGTCCACCGGCTACGAGCGGTCCTAGTGGTCCTCGTTCTCCTTTCTCGCCGGCATTTCCCTTCTGACCGGTGACACATGGTCGTGCTGGTGCACCGGGCTGACCTTTCTGGCCCTTGGGCCCAGAAATTCCAATGCCCTGTGGTCCCTTCGGGCCTGGCTCTCCATTTGGTCCTTCCTCCCCTTGATCACCCTGGACTCCTTTGAGGCCATCAGGACCTAAAAGTAAAAAAAACAGTTGAAAAAATAGGAAGAGGTAACAATGAATTCATCTATTTGTGTTGCTCCTCGCCACTTGAGGGAGCATCCAGCTGATTTACTTGATAACTTTGAAGTGCAATTTAGGCACGCAATACATTTTACTTGGTTTTTACCCTCAATTGTTTTACTTAAAAGCGTTTTACTTGATACATGATCTGCGATAACTAGTTGTCATGCCTGTAACTTATACGATATGGTTGTGTTTAGTCTACTGACCAGGTGAGCCATCATTTCCTTTGATTCCCTTCCGTCCTGTTTCTCCCTTGCCACCGTCGACACCCGTGGGTCCCTTTGCGCCCGTTAGTCCAGCCAAGCCAGGTACTCCGACTTCTCCTTCTAGGCCGTCGACTCCAGGTAGGCCGGGTACGCCCTTCAGGCCCTTGGGTCCGGCTGACCCGGCAAGGCCAGGTTCCCCGTCCACACCCTTGGCGCCAGCACCACCAGGTGGTCCGGGAACTCCCGCTATGCCCTTTGCACCGTCAGCGCCCTGGAGAACACACGCGATGGACGGAGAAAAGATTTAATTATCTTGTTGTTATTATACTGCTATACAAAACTTCAGAACACCAGCTGTAGATGCGCAAGACAAAGGTCACTCTAGAAGGAGATGGAGTTTTAATGATGAATGACTGAATGCAGAAGATAAATATCCTAATGTTTGCAGCGGTCAACATGGATTCATCTGCTTGACCACTAATTCAGTGCAGCAGCAGCAAAACATGATGCTGTCACTTCATACTTGAGCTATCACTGACTGTATCAGCCACTCACGGGTCGTCCGAATTCACCAGTCATTCCGCTCGGGCCTTGATCACCTTTGCCGCCCTGAGGAAAAATCCAAGGAGCAGGTTAAACAGACCTGTCAGATTCCCTTACTTCAAAGACACGTCGATGGAAATTTTAAGCTCATTAGTAACAAGATTGCAGAGCCATTCAAGGCCGTAGCTCATTGCCGCTCAAATGATCGTATCTGATACCACTCTGGTTGTGATAACATTATACAATCACTGAGCAGGCATGGGGTGAAATATACGAGTGTATCCTCAGAAGAAACATTGGTGCACTTTTAATGATAGCCAAAGGCAAGACACAACTAAAACACCAAGATAATATCTTGGTGTTTTAGTTGTGTCTTGTATATTATACATGTATGAGATATATGTGTGCTGGCAACATACTTCTCGTCTAATTCCATCAATCATAAATTCAAGCACTCATCATAGATTGCACATAGAGCTAACTAACATTAAGAAGCAGTTATGTAAATTGGTTCGAGAGTAAGATGCAAACGGGAAAAGTCTGAAGGAAAAAAATGGCTGCCACAACCCGGACTCGAACCAGGAACCTTCGACAAGCAGTTATGTACTTCGAGGTAGTATGCATTCCTTCAGCACTGTATAGAATGAAATAGCACAATCCAGGTTAGTGGAGGAAACAGCTAGAATCGACACTTACCTTGCTACCAGCCAGGCCACTAACACCTTTCACACCTTTGTCTCCCTGCGAGCATATACAAAGTGATAACATGCACAAGAAACATGAAAATGTTTGGGCTACTACGCCCAGCTCCTCTTGCACCCCTCTGATTTCTTCTACATGTATGTGCATGCATTGTATTTTTTTATTTACTTCAGTGAGATCGGATACAAGGCCCATAGACTGCTGCGGTTCTGAGCTTCGAATGGTAAGATACGGCACTGTACATTCACCCATAAGCTGTTTCTGTTCCTTTCTCATGTAAGATTTGGGCAGATATAGCAGGCATGACTAAAACCTGCTCTTTGCTTTATTCTAATGTGTACTATAGGAACACACACTTGAGAGGAATCAAAATCGTTTCTGCTGTATCTCTGAGTTTCACGGTTTTAACCGATCATCAGACAGCAACTTGACAACAATTTTCGGAAGATATGGTTGATATAGGCTGCACGCTTGGATCATGGCGTATTGAGCACTGTCACGAGCAACCACTACTCCCTCTGAGCGTGTACTATACATATGCATCAAAGTTATCACGCACAACCAGCCAATAAGACACAATTACAGTATTCATATTGAACCTTCTCGTTGCCTTCTTGTCAAAATACTAAAGGGATTGATGCAAAAATCTTTGCTTTATCTTGCTACTTCTTAGTCCATCACAAGCTGTGCACCCTCATGTCTTGACTAACAGAAAATAGAATCAACGCAGCAAGCAGATGTGAAACTTCCACAAACTCTACTCGAAGTACTTGGTGTGAATACAGACATGAGTAGTGCACAGTATTCCCACATGCTGACAGGTCCTTAAGAGCTTGCCTGCAATCCACTGTCTCCTTTCATTCCCTTCTCGCCTGGTCCTCCTTCCTCGCCGCGGAAGCCCTGAACGCACAAAAGAAGAAGCACGATTATACATGCCAGGTAGCTTGGTTTGGGCCTGGGCTGGCTATGTGGTGGTGAACAGGCCTGGGCTGGCTATGTGGTGGTGAACAGGTCATGTGATCCCAGGTAGCTTGGTTTGGGCCTGGGCTGGCTATGTGGTGGTGAACAGGTAATGTGTTGCATAGATTATTGCATGGTTGGAGGAAAGCAAATCAGCACACGAAGCCCAGAAGCCATGTAGTTTTGACGAAGCCTTTCGTACCATTACCCTTCAAGTCGAATACAGTGGTGATTAACAAGGTAGCAAGCAAGTCCTTATAATTATGTTGCCTCTTTACACTTCTGTTTGTGCTTGTTCTGCTTGATGAACACACTTGCAAAGTAATTGAAACTACAGTGGTAGAAAATGAAATGTGACTCCAGGATTTCCACGTTTGATACAAACGCTCCGGAACTAAAGCGACTACCAGTGCATGCCCCGGCCCTGGCATACCATCAGCAATGTGTGAAGATCATTGTTCTGCCATTCGCACTCTGGTTTTGCATATGTGTGTGTACTATTCTGCATACCTGTGTACCATTGTACTCTAAGGGGGCGTTCGAATTGTCACTCTTTGACTTTTCGAGAAGTTTCATTTTCTGGAGAGGTGGCTTATTGGCCTCTTCGGAACTGAAATTTTCCTTGAAACTCCTCGAAACTCCACAACCTTATCCAACGGGAGAGGTGGATTAGTTTAGAAGGGTTTGAACTATTCCCGCGAAAACAGGCTTTTCGTATGCATTTCCCATAGCACGTACGGCAAAACTTGCACGTACGGCAAGGGAAGCCCATTTTCACTTGGGAGACACGCTTGGAAGATCTCATTGCTATGCCAAAGGAAAGAGTGAGGCTAACAGCACCCAATCTATTGGGATATTTCAACAAATCTCTTCTAAGATCTTAGTGTCGTGGGTGGTGAGGACAATTCAAACGCGCCCTAAATCCCTGGAACTCTCCATGTGCATGGTTTAAAGAATTGGTATGCATTATACAATCCAGCAGTTGTACATTTCATGCACGCAATGTCCGTGCTTGGAGGCTGGTGTGGTCGCATGCTGTGTTGGTGCAGTGCGAGCGTACCTCTCCCGGGGTCGGGTTCCACTGGCCACCACGGCAGTTTCGGTGGTTATCATGCACATCATCCAGAGCCATGTTATATCCCTGCCGAAGACAATCTTTGTTTTTCAAAAGACTTTTAAAAATAATAATATGAAAGGTGGCACGGTGCCCGCATAAAAAAATCATACGGGGGTCATGTATCTGTCAATGATCGTTAACCAAAGTTGCTTGTTGGTGGCGAGATTGAGTCTGCACAAATATAGAATCTTCATAAATGTAGAATATATAAATAATACGTGCTAGGTACGAAAAGGCTGCAGGCCATCACATTGACCATCATCCTTGTAAGGTGTTAGAGGTAGCCATTGGCAATTTGGCTGTACTTGTACTCGTCACTCTGTACTTGTAGCCAGTTATTTGAAAATGTCTTTGTACCCTTATTGTGACCTTACCTTGGGTCCCGCAGGTGATTCTCCTCGATCTCCCTTATCACCCTTGAACAGATCTCCAGGACTCGGCGGTGCCACAGTGTCCAGGATTTCTACACCATCCTGAAAACAGACACCATTCAAAGAGGAAAAAACGTTCGTTTTCTCAAGACCCTGTATGGGCAGATATTCTGGGAAAATAGAGAAGAGCGTGAGAGGGAGGAAGACATGTACTGCCAAATGGGTTGGATAACTTGTCAAGGTGGATAGGTGGAACAAGTTTCCGAAACATTCTGCAGTCGTCACTCTATCATTCCTTGAAAACTGGTTCAGAATCCAAAGATGGTCCAACCAGAGTGGAAGGTGTACAATGGAGAATTGTCGTCGCCGCCACCATTGCCGTTGTTGTTGTTGCTGCTGCTGTTGCTGTTGCTGTTGTCGTCGTCGTCGTCGTCGTCGTCGTTTTAGTTGTTGTTGTTGTTGTTGTTGTCGTCGTTGTCGTCGTTGTTGTTGTTTCGTTGTTATTGTCTTTACTGGTGTTACTTTCATCATCTAAAGTAGTGAAGAGAAACCTTCTTTGCAAGATGTACCACGCTCATCGACTCATCTTGCTGTAGAATTCTGATAAGACGTACCCCCATAGGCAGCAGGAACGTATCCGAGGTACTTTCTAGCCCCCCACACACATGTACTTCAGTATTGATCAATACCCCCGTGCTCTGAACATAATTATAGTCCATGCTAAGCAAGAGTGTGTATTATCAGAGTGCGTACTAAGCAAGAGCGTGTATTATCAGAGTGCGTACTAAGCAAGAGTGTGTATTATCAGAGTGCGTATTAAGCAAGAGTGTGTATTATCAGAGTGCGTATTAAGCAAGAGTGTGTATTAAGCAAGAGTGTGTATTTAAAGGGGAAGTTAAGGCAAAAATTAAAATTTCACCAGTTGTAGTCTTCGGGGTGCTGAGTCGAATGCTCGTGGTCCGAGAAAGCTGAGACGCTCCCTTCCTACTTGAATCCCAATCGAACTCGCGCACTTCCACCGAAACTGGGTGACTGCGCCCTACTAGATGGGGATTTGTATGCAAAATGTCACTAAAAGTGCCATTTCGTTCTTATAAAAGCACGGATGACCGCGATTGGCCCATATGTTGTGGTCTTTTGGACGCTGAGTCGACTGGTTTTGGTCCGAAAAGGCTGCGATGCAGCGTTCCTTCTTTATTCCCAATCGAACATGGTTGAACAAGCGGTCACGTGCTCCTGCGTACGCCAGTCACCTGGTCACCGTGCCTGCAGGGTACAACTTACTAGCCTGTTTGACCTTTTTTGGGTGGAGTCCTGTCACTCGAGTTGAACCTTGGTGTGAAAGTTGTCGCCTGCTGGCGTGGTGACCAGGTGATTTGGGCATCCAGGAGCACGTGACCGCTTGTTCAACCATGTTCGATTGGGAATAAAGGAGGAACGCTGCATCGCAGCCTTTTCGGACCAAAACCAGTCGACTCAGCGTCCAAAAGACTACAACATATGGACCAATCGCGGTCATCCGTGCTTTTATAAGAACGAAATGGCGCTTTTAGTGACATTTTGCATACAAATCCCCATCTCGTAGGGCGCAGTCACCCAGTTTCGGTGGAAGTGCGCGAGTTCGATTGGGATTCAAGTAGGAAGGGAGCGTCTCAGCTTTCTCGGACCAAGACCATTCGACTCAGCACCCCGAAGACTACAACTGGTGAAATTTTGATTTTTGCCTTAACTTCCCCATTAATATCAGAAAACTAACTAAGACAGTGGAACTGTACATGTAGGTGCACCCTATTTGAATTACCCACTACTTGTATACTTGTAACGTTAGCTACGGTTCAATTTGAATGCTTGATTGTAGTTCTGCAGGATCAGTGAGATGATTCAGACATGTTCACAGAGTGTGTTCTTTAACGTGAGGATGTTTCAATGACTATAATCAAACCTGATTATTTGAGTTGCTGGATCTTTTACAAAATATTCAATGAAACTACAAGTACATGAGATTCTAGACTATTGATAGTTTTTCAGAACACTGTTTGACTTTGGTCGAATCTCACTACTCGAGCTGTATAATTGTTGATTGTAAGTGGCCACTACTCAGTAACTGGAACACGAAACGTACCTGAGCCAGTGTCGAGGTGACCCAGCACGCTCCTATTAGCATACACGTTATGGCCAATTTCATATTGGCGTTTTCTCTTACTCCCTCTCTGCACTACAAGACGTATCAGGCCACAGGCCGCTGCTTTCGATTGCCTTGCCACGCACGCACTGGACTTCTCCGAAGCCGCAGCTTCTGGCGGTGTCCTGACCTGCGCCCAGACGTAGGTCCGCTTTCCTGGTCTGTGTCTTCCTAGTGTTTTGACATTCCTCCTCCTCGCCTGCTCGATGTCAATGAAACTGCAGGATCCACCGGAGCGCACAGGGCTTAGAGATGGCTGAACTGAACTTTGCACTTGAAATGGGCGGACGCAATGGACGCCTTGCGCTAGAACTAAAGCCGTGAACTTGCGCTAGTCCTGGACTTGGATTGAGCGGGCTCTAACGTATTGGAAACGACAAGACAGTAAGGTTCAGTTGAACCTGCACAGGGAGAAATCAACGGCTTCGTGTTCGCCTTGTTTTGCGAATTTTGGACCTAACCTGTTTCCAGTTGAACTTGGAGGTGTATCACAACGATCACTAGATCTACAGTGAACGCTGTACTAAGTCAGGGTAAACAGCCTGGCCACATCGTGTCATCGCGAAAATTCAGCACATAGTCCGCATCGGGCTCATGGGATGTGCCCGCGGCGCCTCTCAGCTGTTTTTGGCAATATTCGCAGATGAGGCCACAGCAGACTCGACAGGAGTTTTTCGTCGATTGCTCGACTATCAAGCGGGCAGGATTATGACTGAATAAAACGCTGAATAACCCGAGCACGTGCTCAGAGGTGGCGGCTGGAGTTTCAAAGGCTTCTTGCGGCTCCAAATTGTCACAGCTGTCTACACCGATCTGACAAGAGGAATAATACTTTAGCAGAGCAAGGTCCTGGATTGCTGACGGGACACTGAAGGCAGGGTGTCATCAGTTTGCAGTGTACCTTCACGAGGAACAGATTGCTTACTGTTCGATTACAAAACAATGCTTAGGTATCTTGTGCAGTTTTCTGGCACTAATTCCAATCCTTATGATTGTGATGGTTTATAGTCCATTTCTCCCGTTCCTAAGCTCTCTTGCTTCAGGAGGAACGAGTGTTGAAGCGGTTAGTTGCACTTTTGATTATTCCGTGCTTTGATGTTTTGTGGTTGCCTGCTTGTCAGGGGTCTTTCCCAGGAGAAAACATAGTTTGACAATTATCACAGTAAATTGACCGAGCTATTTGGTGACAATGCACTGATGGTCCCAAGGACAGGGGCCGGAGCTGAGGCACAGGGCTCCGACTGACATGTGCTGTCATCCAGCTGAATGCCAATCGACCGGTCACAAACTCTCACAGGTGTTCGACCAAGAGATCACATGAACCGCCGTACACTGACTGAAGATCTGCAGCATCAGCTGACTGTAAAGCGGAGATTACGCCTACGGAGAATTCAGCACCACATAGCGACCGCCACCTTGAGCTTGCCACTTTCTTGTGTACGGATTTGCGCATTGTTTTTGCAGTCCGCGAAAAAGTATCGAGGTTGGTCGTTGGCGGAGTTGAACAACCAGCGGAAGAAAGTCAAATCCTTGTTGCTTGGCCACTCATCTTTGACTACCGCCAAACAGGACTTCCAGGCTATGCCAATCATTGGATCTGAGTGACCCTGTGAACCAACTAACCAACTGGTCTGGAAGAGTCTCTGGTTGTGGAAGCGCCCTCCCATTGAGTTTGTGAATCCAGATCATTGTAGTGACTGACATCTACGTATAAACAAAACTCTGAGGACACAAAATCTTGGTTGGCCACCGCTTGGGCCTTGACAATCGGGCGCATTGCGCTCCGTGCTTGTTCCTGGATTAGTTTTTCCCGCACACTGTAACTGGAGAGCGTGGAATCTCTGCATGCCTTGCACAATGCGGTTAGGAAGGTAAGGAGGTGTGGACTTTGCACCAATGATTGCAATGCCGAGCAGCGGGAACACGTTCGTATGTATGCAAGCTGTGCGAATGGTTTTAGTCTAGTTTGACTCGAACAAGTCCCTTCCTTGCGATCATGCTAGTAGCATTGGACCCACTAATGCTCTATCCAGGGTAACCAAACTCATAGGGATCAGGGTTGGAGGAAGAACCTGGTCGTACAGTAATAGCTCATCTCGTAGTACACTCGCCACGATTCGAGGAGTGCTGCACTGCACTGCACTGTCAACTCTGACTAACATGCAGTTGTGATAAAATTATCAGCATTGATCACTCTACAAATCTTGAGGTTTACATTGGACGCTGTATTCAGAACTGCCTTGCACTGTCAGAGGGATTTATCCCAATGGAAGTGCATGGCAATCTGCAGCCCATGTGAGTTGTGTTTTTCACACACCATCACCATAACTTCATAACTATGATACATCCGGCATGATTCGCGCTGCATGCAGGACTGGAGTTTGAAACCAGGCTAACACCAGTTATATTAATATTATTATAACTTGAGACTGTGATATTATCACTGAGCGAATGTGTGAATTGACTGAACACTCAATGCCGAGTACTAGTAGCCTATCTGTATCAATGAATAGAAAGTAACTGCTAACGTTAGTGACCCAATCTCAACAAATAGCCTGTTCATACAATGGATACCGATCTCTGACTGGAGAAGGGATCATTGAGGAGGTGTGGATCTTGGGTTGATCAACTGCCTTTATGCTAGCATTGGCCGCGGGATTGTGTGTATTCGGGAGTGCTCCACAGTTTGACAGTACATGACAGTACATGAATATAGTGCTTTGGATTACTTTCTTCACCAGACCGCATTGGTTTGAAATGGATGTCTGTGTTTATGTACATTGATCCGTACGGTAACGCTTTGGAAGTTCTCAACCCTTGCAACTAACCTGCTGGCCTGTGGACACAGGGGAGGCTGGGTAGAGTCGTGCAGTTTTCAGACAGATCATTTCCGATGTGACCCAACGCGGATGAGAATCAGAATACTGCAGGGTAGTTGAAAGTAATTGATGTGGAGGAACATCGAAATACAACCATAATACTATCATGAGGTTGGACTGGTCTATATGCCGTCTCACTATTTTCTTTTAATTTAACTTGAAACTCCGAGTGACAGAGAAGAAAGACTTGATTGAATCATTGCTGCATGACTTTCTATTGACTAAATTGCATGTCACGGTGTATCTGGACTTGCGATGAATGTTGTAATCGGCAATGTTTCTGAAATAGACAGTCCCGTTTGTGTTTGCTGTGGCGGTTCTCTGCAGAATATCAGCAACACTTCTCATTGGACTATGTCTTGCAGGTGCTAGCCATGCACAGATTTTCCAACCACCGGTAAGATAATGTGAATACCATGATTTGACTCCAGTGTGAGTGAGATTTTGCAGCGCATATCAACAATTTACACTATACATGTAATATCACTTTTGTGAGATCCTCCACTCCAACAGCTTCTGGATGCAAGGTGTAAAATACCATGGCTCCAGTCGAGACTTTCAAACCTTGCATGTACATCAAATTTTCCTTGTCCTTTTGAGCGGAATCAACCAATCAGCTTTGTGAATTTATCCGCTTCGACAGCTCCTAGAGGCAAGATTTCAAGTACCCTTTCCTCCCTGGCTGGGGCTGTTCACGAAGGAGTGATGCTTGCGATTTAGAGTATGTGTGTGTGTGTGTGTATGCCAAAAAGGTGTCAAAGTGGAATGCAACAAAGTAACAACGGCACCATGGCATGATTGATTGAGGCTTTGCAGCCCAGAATCCCTCCAAGAGGAACACAGACCAGGCAGGGGGGTGTGCTAAGTTCAGGTTTTGAAACCCGCAATACATCCAAAAAGGGAACACGGCGTCAATAAACAACCTCCAGGCTGCTTGATTGATTGATTGCCCATGTGGATGTGACACTACCCTACAGGGCAGAATATGCTAGTTACTCTGCAAGAGATGCATGCAGAGCTTGGCCACTCTCATACATCAATCACTGATCAATGGTCAGTACTAAGTTTAGCTTATCAAGACCGTGATGCTAGTACTGCGGTCAGTTCTTCTCCAGCATGCCATCATGTACATGCACATGCAGTGGTTAGAAGCTATTAAAGTAAAGATGGCATCGCTGCAGTGCGAGCTAAATCTGGTAGCTATTTTCGCATGCAATTACTGTAAAAGCCGAAATTTTCGGTGGTTTAAGTTAATATTTTCGGTATTCTCCAAAATCGGCAGATCAGTGGAGGGAAATTTTCGGTAAACCCGTTTTCCAGGTATACTAGTACCGAAATTTTTGGAGGTTTTATTTCCGGTAAGTATTTCGGCACCGAAGTTACCGAAAATAAAACACCACCGAAATTTCTGCTTTTACAGTACATGTGTGCAATAGCACAGGGTTGAGCTGAAATCTGCTCAAAAGTTAGGAAATGTTGAGTAATATTCTACCATCTCTCGCACAATGTCTGCAGGATCTTGGACCAGATGGAGATCCAGGCGACAGAGGGATACCTGGACCACCGGTAAGATAAGTATGATATCAAGCCGTCATAAACCTGACAGCTTAAAAACATATTTGTTTGGCTGGTCACTACCACTATATTATTGGCGAAGCTGATGGTTGACTTCTCGTTCGCTATGATTATAATTTCGTCTGAAGAATACCCTGGTGTGGCTGAAGTCTATCTTGATAACTTATAGTATAGCTGTTCCCAGAGAGACAAGTCACGATCACCACATTGTACATGACCATTCTAGCAGTATTGCCGTGCAAGTGCCCTTTGAAGAATGAGGTCCTTAGTCGTCACAAGTACTAGCTCTGAGCATGGAGATTGTTTTCTTTTGCAGGGTCCACGTGGAGACGCGGGAGAAGAGGGACTACGAGGAGCGCCAGGAGATCCCGGAATGGTAAGCCATTGGAGAGCAAGGGTACATTATTAAATACAGTATTTTTAGTCTACAGCTTCACAGTGACTGGCTTGCACCTTGGTAGCGGTCAATTAACTAGTGTCAGGCAATTTTTGTATTGTCCTAGTTTGGCTGCATTCATGCATTGTACTTACATAGTAGACATTCAATTCGACTGTTTCTTTCCGTTCAACTTTCCCGAAAGTTCAACTGCTCCTCCGACTCTTGTTCCCAGTAGTTGAACCGCATTCCAAAACTCGAAATGCATAACGTCCCGTCTACAGTGCGGATTGGTTATAGTGTGGTCATGTAAAAGATTACATTGCCTACAAGAATGAACTCTCATATTTTCATAATCATAACATGGGTTTCATGTGTATATTCATTCTTACAAGCGATGTTATCGTGTAATAGAATATATCGGTCCTAAGAATGGACTTTGTGTAGCAAAACATGCCAGATTAGTACAAAGTGTATCGCCTGTAGTAATAACATCTGCCCGATATAGTTGTGAACCGACTCTTCGAGCATCATAATGCTGCAAGTGCAGCTGTTGTAGTCATGTAACTCATGTTGCTCAGTCACATGTTGAATCTATGGGCCAGTATGGGACTACCTTGGAAGTACGCATACACAGCAGCACTACGTTGCATGTATGATGATCTTCTTGGCTACGCGCACATGCATATGATACGTCACACTATATTTTATCGTGTGTAAGAAATATCGGAAATAAGAATAGAAAGTCGTTTTTCAAACACCCACTCCATAACCGATACCTACTGTACTATTCAAACCCTAACTTCCTACTGTTACATTTGACTCCTGCGTGAACATAACACTATGCATACTCTGTAGGTCTTCACTTTAGTGATAGTGTTCCTTTGTGACACATCCGACCCCTGGCATCTTCATTTACTTTATGGGGTTCAGTAAAGCCACTGCATGATTAGCTAAGGTCCCATCAGTTGGGCTAGTGGACTGAACAGTAGGCCTGCTAGCATTCCTGCATGCACTGTCAGGTTGTCTAACGTTATACTGAAACAGCGCCAATATCAACCCGCCCATACCACTAGTGCACATGTCCATCCCCATATTGTTTCTGTTGCATTCCTATGTGTGATGTGCAGAGTGCAAAGGGAGTTCAAGGAGATCAGGGTGAAGAAGGACTACCGGTAAGTTATATTGGCTGCCATATCCTGCTCCAAGTATCAAATGCCTGAACATTGGTAAAACATGGAGCAACGTATGCAAGATCCTACTTACTTACTTGCCCTTCATCCATCCTAGTTGAAGGGGGGGGGGGGGGGGTTAACACATACTTGCCAACCCTACCGGAATTTCCGGGAAAATCAAGGAAAACTCGCTTTCGTCCCGGTATACCGGAAACGTTACAACATCTACCGGATTTTCGAAAATGTCCGTCCGACACCATTTTCGTTGATTTTCAGTATTTTGGATGCTCGCTCGCAGTGCTGTGCCCAAAACGACAGTCTAGCGAGCGAGAACTTTTGAGTTAGCACATGAAAAAGTACTTTTTTGTCGTACATGCTGTACTATTTTGCGAATGTTTTGTGGTCATGGTGATGTCACTATGATGTCATATACAATATTTTGCACAATTATGATGCAAAAATTGCAGATCAAGGAAAAAATGGGCAAAATCAAGGAAAAACGTCATCAGTGTCAAGGAAACTGTTTGCCAGGTGTTGGCAAGTATGTTCAGAGCGAGTGACACCTGACACATTACTGTGTGCTCACCATCATGTGCAATGATAACAGACATAAACAGAGGGTGAAATTTGACACGGTTTTGAAATAAGACACCAAGCCCTAAAAAGTGAAGTAACACTTCACCAACCGTGACAATGGCCAATCAACGGAGTTGCAAAGTGATCTCATGCATAACGCCTCATGAGTGTTGCTATCACTACTGCGCAGCCCTGTTAGTCACGCCTTCCAATGATTTCCTCTCGGTCCTTGATATTTTCAGCCTCTCCCATCACCTATTTCTTCAACTCCCCATTGAATTTGCTGCCCTGCATCGCATCATTCATTCGTACCATTTCGGGCCGAAAGGCACCACTTTGTGGAAGTTCAACTGTAAACATTAGCACGGCATGTTGTTGAACCTTGAACGAAGTCCTCCTCCAGTCAATATCTACAGTGTATGAAGGGCTTCATCGCGAAGCACCAGTTCTCCATTTTCTTACTCTTTAGAAGACAGCAAGTGGATACTTTTGATGTACGCTTTGCATGACATCTCTAGTCAAAGGTCGTTTTGAGCAGATAATGCCAGGGAGTTTCAGTGTGAAAATGAATGTCACTGGTCAATGGGATGCTCTGAGGGCAGCCACTTACATTTCAAATGGCTAATGATTGGAATTGTTCACTTCATTATCTTTTTCTCTGGTGGTATATACACTTGCAGGGTCCGAATGGAGATACCGGTGAAGAGGGATTACCTGGTCTGAAGGGTCCTCAGGTGAGCTGAGATATCCAGCATGACGCGATAGCTATGAACTGCCGGCTGTGTACATGCCACCGATTGTCTACTTTTTTTTCTTTTTTTAGATTATACGCAAAAATGATGCATTTCTGATCAGACTGACACGGGCAGTCCTAGGTTAGAAATGTCAGAAAATTGTTGACTGAAATCAGTTGTGGAAGAAGGTTCTATGAGATGGTGTGTTTGAATTGCGTCATATTCATACTATCAGCATTCCAACTGTACGTGATAATTTTAGGGACCCTACTACCTTGGCTGCTTAGTCTCAATCTCCATAGGTAGCCTCTGCAGTTCAGCACTATTTCTTCCCAGTAGCACAGCACAAACTGTGAATGTGGCAATCATGCCGGATTGATTGCTTCTACTCTTCTGTGTGAACTGTCAGACCAGGCATTGGTTAAAATACTATTCCCGGGCACATCTTTTCGACAAAGATTTTTAGTGACATCGGCTAAACTAGCTTTTCTTCCCTTCTGATGAGTTCATTGTTTGGAGCTCATCTAGCCTAATGTCTATGCTCACTTCCACCATTTCTAGGGCACCCCTGGATTCGGCGGACAACCCGGAGATCCTGGTCTGCCTGGAGAGGTAAGAAACGCGAGTCCACTAGTTACGTATCAGTGTGTTTTCCATGAGCATTGGGTTCCTGTATAGCGTATGTGTGCCCCCCGGCCTGTCGAAGCATTGCATTGTGGGATAATCCAGGGCCCAGGGGACTTGGAGCACATGTAAGTTGTACACTCGGCCTCTAGACGGAAGTTGCAAGGAATTATAGTGACTACAACGAAGCCGATCACTGATGTACTTACAATGAAAGTAGCCATAGCACAGTGTATGTTGTGATGCTTCCATATCGAGTACCCTAGATGTAGCACACATTCTCTATTTAATTAAATCGGATCTGTACAAGTAGCATTTTTAAGCACCCTACGTATTCTTCTCTGGTCATTTCCCCCGAGTATAAAAGTATGCCTGGGCTCAGTTTTTTCACACCTATTGTTATATCTCTGAGGGGGGGGGGGGGGGTACATTGTACGTTATGCAGAATGTCATTGCAGTCAATTCTTGCTTGGTATTCCTCTGCAGGGCGTCAAAGGCCAGAAGGGAGAACCTGGCCCGAAAGGTGACGGTCCAAAAGGCGAAAAAGGAGACCAGGGCGAGGAAGGACTCAGCGGAGCAAAAGGCTTGAAAGGAGCACAAGGAGCCGATGGCGTAGCAGGTGGTCTTGGTATGGGTGGTGATCCTGGCTTCGATGGAGTTGCCGGTGACAAAGGATTTCCTGGTGACACGGGGGAAGAAGGTCAGATCACTGCACAACCATACCTAGTGTTGTAGTCTTTCGTTTCGATGTCTCTACTGTTCTAAATTTCAAAACCAGCCTGGTCTCATGCCTCCATCCCCGGGTCTCATGCAACCATCCCCTGGTCTCATGCCACCATCCCTGGGTCTCATGCCACCATCCCCCCCCCCCCCCCCCCCGGGTCTCATGCCTCCATGCCCTGGTCTCATGCCACCATCCCCAGGTCTCATGCCTCCATCCCCTGGTCTCATGCCACCATCCCCTGGTCTCATGCCACCATCCCCTGGTCTCATGCCACCATCCCCTGGTCTCATGCCACCATCCCCTGCCGGTCTCATGCCACCATCCCCTGGTCTCATGCCACCATCCCCGGGTCTCATGCCACCATCCCCGGGTCTCATGCCTCCATCCCCTGGTCTCATGCCACCATCCCCTGGTCTCCTGCCACCATCCCCTGGTCTCATGCCCCCATCCCCGGGTCTCATGCCAGCATCCCCGGGTCTCATGCCACCATCCCCATGCAACAGTGAGAGTACATGTGCCGCACTCAGTGTTTCATACACCTGTTATTTGCAATGTGACCAGACATGAATGGTGGCCAGTCTTGAGAGAATTGAGAGGAGGTACATCCCTTGAGAACAGCGGATGTGATTTGTTCAGAGTTAGATTTTACTGAGGTGCCTTCTCTCCCATTATCTGCTTGTGCTCTGGAATACTCACAAGAGCGGATTTGATTGCCTGCCTTTGATAGTGGATGCATGGATATGCTTTGATATGAGTATTATCATGCTTAGCCTCCAACACACTGGGCGTGTGCGTGACAATGTATGTGTGTGCGTTTTTGAATGTTTGTGAGCATGTGTGCGTGCGTGCGTGTGGATGTGTATGCAAGCGTGCATGCGCATATACTTATGGATGTGTGTATATGCGCGTGTGTGTGTGTGTGTGTGTGTGCGCGCGCATGTGTGCGCACACGCACGTGTGCTTGCGTGTGTGCATGTGTACGCGTATGAATACTGCAGGGCTTGTGGGTCAGCCCGGCCCCGGAGGTGATAACGGTGAAGAGGGAATTCCTGGACTTGCTGGCCCTAAAGGAATGACTGGAGACTCAGGAATTGGCCTCGACGGCATGATTGGTACCCCTGGTAAGGATCATCCAACACCTTATCGGCGGTTGTGTACACTCGCCATTAGAAAAATGACACACTACGGATTCTGCTAAGATGCTAGCGCGACGTATTTTAGAACAGCTGTCGGTTTAGTTCTGCACTGCAGAAGGAGCCAGTCCAAGTGTAGTGCTGTGTGTCTTGTGTGTGTGTGTGTGTGTGTGTGTGTGTGTGTGCGCGCGCGTGTGTGTGTGTGTGTGTGTGTGTGTGTGTGTGTATGTGTGTGTGTGTGTGTGTGTGTGTGTGTGTGTGTGTGAAAAGCCACTTCATAGCTGTGTGGTGTAGACCAGGCTGAATAGTGGTGGTCAATTCTTCAGCCTTGCAAGCTGCTGAATGGTGCAATCCCAGCACAAGCTGCTATGGCTTCTGCTGTAGCATCGCTATCATCGCCTCCGGCGATGGGCGTCCAATGGTCCAATGGTGTGTGTGTGTGTGTGTGTGTGTGTGTGTGTGTGTGTGCGCGCGTGTGTGTGCGCGTGTGTGTATGTGTGCCACTCTTACCTCAGGTGAACCTGGTCTCGCTGGTGGCGACGGAACTGAAGGTTTTTTCGGCGATAAAGGTGTTCTTGGAGACCAGGGCGAGGAAAGCATTGGTCCGAAAGGCGCTGAAGGATTCCCTGGTGATGACGGCGAAGAAGGACTACCGGGTCCACCCGGTCGTGATGGTGAGTGCTTATACTAAGGTATGCAAGCTAAATTTACCTGTGTGTTTCATCTGCACTTAGGCAACCCACTGCTGCGTATAGAGTGGTTCACCGGTTCCCTCGCAAACCCACACTGACATCAGACACAACCATTGGTAATACAGTCTTCTAAATAGATCGATGCCTCCAATGGTTGTGTCTGATGTCAGTGTGGGTTTGCGAGGGAACCGGTGAACCATAGGGAACCGGTGAACCGTAGAGCGTTATGAATATGTGTTTATTATGATGTTGATGTGGTGCAAGGGTCTGTTGGCTTGTTATGCCTAACTTTCTATGTGATTTTCTAAAAGACACGAGGTCTGTCTTAAAAATTACAACACCCAACCACACGTACACAACTTGCTGGAGCCAGAGCAGATATGATATGTATTTTAGTGGCAAAGCTCTAGATATGCTTTTTCCATCATACCACACGGTGGAACGTAGACAGGGGGCTTAGTTAAGCGCTGGAATTGAGGCCGTGTTATTGCTTTCCATGTGTGTGCAGGTGCCAAGGGTGAGGTTGGTCTGGCCGGTGCGAAAGGAGCCTCTGGCGGTTTTGCCAGCAATGGCCGTGCCGGCGCTGCGGGCATGATAGGAGAGCAGGGATTCCAGGGTGACGAGGGCGAGGAGGGACTGCGGGGTCTTGACGGCGCGAACGGTGCAGACGGTGCCAACGGAATGGCTGGTGACATTGGATTCGCCGGTGACACGGTGAGAATGATTTGGGCCATGTTTAGTCGTGCGGTGTGCTGTACTGGCATGCATGTTTATGACAATGTGCATTTTCGTGGCGCCGCGTAGATTAGTAGATTTGGGGTTTGACTGTAGAACTACACAATCCTTGTCAACATTCATTTGTATGCTTGTACACACAAATTTATGATGCCTTTGCTACGCTAGAAATTTGTGGCACCGCACCTGTTGACATCTGTAGATATTTGGCTGGTTTTATCAGCATGAACTACTCAAGTAGAGAATTTCATGTTGTTTCCAGAGCGAAGAATCTTGTCATCACCCTGGCAACTGCCCTCATCTCCAATTTCTCCCACAAATAAACCGAAAGACAAAGTCTTCTCTCCCAATCTCTTTCAAAGCCACAAATCAATTTTACTGCCCTTGAAAGTACATGATTGCACTCGTATTCCACTATCGGATGGAGCGCAAGGGCTAGAACACTGTCACTGATATGCATGCATAAACAAAGCGTTAGTACTCGTATTGAACACTAAAGCTGTGTTCACAACTGGCGCGTGGACGCCGTACACTTGCGGTTCATGCGTGCCCAAACGCGCGTTCAAGCTTTCACAAAAACAGTAATTCGAGTCGTATTCAGCGCGTGCGACACCTTCGAGTACAAATTCTTTGACCCCACCAGTGAAAGTGACTGGCATGTACGCTGGTACGCGCCTGATACGCGCTGAAAATTCCAACATGTTGGAATTTCCTTTTCGGCGCGTTTCCGTACGCATGGCGCCCCAAAAGCCAGCAAAATACGCACAAACGTGTGGTTTCATGCGTACACGCGCCAGTTGTGAACAGAGCTTTACGATTATCGATCGCACTCTTAACAATCGATATACGAGTTATCGGTATAATTGTTTCAGCCCTAATCACAGCAGAACTCTTCTTTATGCCATGGTCAATATAATTATCATGCTAAGTTTATAGTCTCTTCCCCAGCCCAAAGAAAGTGCCACGCTACTTTGCATGGTTGTTTTCGGTGTCTGTCTGCAGTCTGCGGCAACAGCAGCAACTGTTGTGCATAATGACTGTAATGTTGTGATCACACTCTCGATTTCTATCAATAGGGCGAGGAAGGTGAAACAGGACCAAAGGGACTTGCCGGTGAGCGGGGCATAGCCGGAATATCAGCCGTAGCCGATGTGACAGCAGTCGCCAGCGAAGAGTATCGTGGAGTCAAGGGTCGCCAAGGCCTCCAGGGCTTCAGTGGTGACGAAGGAGAGGAAGGATTACGTGGTCTAGCCGGTCTGGATGGCCGCGACGGACAGAAGGGTGCCAGGGGACTAATGGTCAGTAAACAGTGTACTTCTTTAAATGGATGTCTTTTATCTTGATCTGCCAGCACAAATAGATGCCCTGGCCTGGGGCTTGAATTGTCTGCTAGAATATTTAAACACATTCAGTCACTTTAGGTCAGTGCATAGCCTGAAGACATATGGCTCACATCTTGACCACCATCACCACCACCACCACCACCACCACCACCACCAGCACCACCACTACCGCCGCCACCACCACCACCAGCAGCAGCAGCAGCACCGCCGCCGCCGCCGCCACCGCCACCGCCGCCACCGCCACCACCACCACCACTACCACCACCACCACCACCATCGCCGCCGCCGCTGCCGCCGCCGCCGCCGCCGCCACCACCACCACCATCACCATCACCACAACCACCAACACCACCACCACCACCACCACCACCACCACCACCACCGCCGCCCCCGCCGCCACCACCACCACCACCACCACCGCCACCACCACCACCACCACCAGCACCACCACCAGCACTACCACCAGCACCACCACCACCACCACCACCACCACCACCACCACCACCACCACCACCACCACCACCACCACCACCACCACCACCACCAGCAATTTCAGTAGGATTGTTGTGGTGTGTACTTCATTGTTTTTGATGAGATTCTTTTTAATAATACAAAACAAGGTCCTGACAAATGGAGCTCCATAGGCAGTCAATCACTTCTTCAGTACTGCATGGAGCTCCATAGGCAGTCAATCACTTCTTCAGTACTGCATGGAAGTGCACAGGCATTTTATCAATATCAGGAGGGTTATCACTGTAGTTTATCATGTACAGCTTTGGCATTGTGCACCTGGGTCTAGTTATGTGTGATGACTCTACTTTCATGGTGCGTCGTCCTTCCTGACTGATGAACTGCAGGGTGCCAAGGGTGTTCGAGGTGAGGAGGGTCTACAAGGCCTTGATGGAGAGAAAGGAGATCGAGGAGCCGCAGGAGAGCCAGGTGACTTTATCAGCGTGAAGGGAGACACGGGAGAAGAAGGTCTGCCCGGACCTCCAGGAGACCCAGGTAAGGGAAATCTGTCGCGAATCTGAACACTTAGCTTTTCGAATATTGAAAGAGGTGTAGGGCGCCCTGTGACTGCCTGCGTTTGCACCAGTGTCTCCATAAATGTAGTGTTGTCATTATGGGTGAGGTACTAATTTTCCAGGACCGTTATCAAAGTATGCTGTTCTATCTCAACATAAATATTATGCAGTCTAGCCTGACACACTGTGTTTGAGTGAAATTCTGTAAGACATGTTATTGTAACGAGTCGCAAATTTAACGATTGTCCAAAATTCATACGTTAAGGAGAAGATTCGTTAACGGTCTTGCAGTCTTCAGGCATATCCCGCACGTAACTCATATGAGGCATTACAACCTCAACAAAACTTATTATAATGAAGAAATGTAACTCGTTAAAACGTTAGATGTACTTCCTCGTTAGATTTACATGTCTTGCAGTAGTCCGCATTGCACCTGTTACAGCCACCTAACCGAACAAACCGATCTCACAACTTATGTTCATGCCTTCCCTGTGTCACTGATTGTCATGGTGCCTTTGCGTGTATGTATGGATACGCATTTACCCTCTGTGTTTGTGTGTGCGGCCGTGTGTGTGTGTGTGTGTGTGTATGTACGTGTATGTGCATGTGTGTGTATATGTGTGTGTACGTGTATGTGTATGTGTGTGTGTACGTATGTGTACGTGTGTGTACGTGTATGTGTATGTGTGTATATGCATGTTTGTGTGCGGGTGTGCATGCATTATCAGGTATTGACGGAACGTCGCAGAAAGGCTCACAGGGCTTCCAGGGCATCCAGGGTCGCCAAGGCAACAGTGGTCTCCGTGGGCAACAAGGACAGGACGGACCTAAAGGCTCAAAGGGAATTGAAGGCGTGGCAGGTCTACCCGGGTTCAAGGGCGTTCAAGGTGCCAATGGTCTAGTTGGATTACAAGGTGCTCAGGGCGCGCAAGGACAGCGCGGAGCACAGGGAGGAACGAGAAAAGGTTTCCGTGGTGATGACGGTGAAGAAGGTGTAAATGGCATGCCCGGTGAGCGTGGAATGAAGGGAAGAAGAGGCAACTTTGGTTTCCAGGGTGAAACCGGTGAGTTTGGACAGTTCGGCGCCCAGGGCGAGGCCGGAGATGAAGGATTCCGAGGTCTGCAGGGCGTCAAGGGTGACCAGGGAGAGGAAGGACTGAGTGGACCTCCAGGCCTACGCGGTGCCGATGGTATCCAAGGTGACCAGGGTCTGGCTGGCAGTGTTGGCTCAAAGGGCATCACTGGTCTCAAAGGTGTTGCTGGAGACACTGGTGAAGAAGGACTTCCAGGAGGGCCAGGTGACGAGGGACAACCTGGTAAGAGAGTTAACTTTATGCTCTGAATGTTCTCATTATTGCTTCAGGTATATTTTGTGCCATTTTTTGGATTCATTCAGCATTTCAATACCTTTGATTTTGCCCCGGTTCAGCTAATAGTGCTTGAAAATGATGATCTCAAACATGACTGGGCGGTGGGACTCGTTTTGCATAAAGTGCTAACTTAGTAGTTGGAATCCACCCTAGCTTGTGTATGTGACTAGGAAATCATGCTGTAACCTGATGTGCTTTCTCTAAAAGAAGTGCCCCCCCCCCCCCCCACCTCTGGCCAGGACCTGGACCAGTCAGTCCCGGGGTTGTGTCACCCCACTATGGAGGAGGCCACTTCAAACATGCACAGGCACCGTTGAAACTAAACCTGTATCCAGAGATCAAGGGTGTTGCCCATGGCAGTGGCGTAGCACTTTCAAGCCTCATTGTTCACCCCGCCCTGGGTCTACAAGATGTGAGCAATTGGCTCACTGTATGCGGGCGTTGTAATCACAACTTTCCCACTCTGTTTTAAGTATTCTGACGCTCTTTGGGTACACTGTATGGGTGAAAGTTGTTGAAACATGTTCCCGTCGGTTTTGAAAAATGGGTAGCTACAGTGGAGCCTTCCCATCATGAGAAATGGGTAGCTACAGTGGAGCCTTCCCATCATGAAAATGGGTAGCTACAGTGGAGCCTTCCCATCATGAAAAGTGTTTTTTGCTAAGCCACCTTATACTGAGTAAGAGTGGTAAGGCTACCTGCAGCGTCATACATAGAAATAGTGTACTTCAAACACCACAGGCCTGCTGTTTCAAGTCCCGATCAGTCTGCAATCAACGAACTTGGTTGCATGGTATGATCCGTTTAAACTGTGAAACGTTGTAATAATTGGCCATCATGACAATGAAAACAAAATTTAACGATTCAAATTCTAAAGAAATGCCTTTCAAAACCACCGCTATGCCTCCAATATACCAGGTCAGAAAGGAGATGAAGGCTTCCGCGGCAACACGGGACCAGCAGGTCCCATGGGTGCAAAGGGACAAGAGGGTCGACGTGGACCGGATGGTGAACAAGGCAGAGTAGGTGAGTACACTTGTGGAGCCTCCAGTCAGGTGGACAGGAACAGCTTCCTTCCTATTTTTCAGTAGTAGATTACGATCAATGAATGATGAATCTCATGGATTCAAATATCTTTAGCAATATCCACCGGCCTGCTGGATGCTTGTTTACGCGGAATGTGTTTCACTCTTTGCCTTTCGGAAATTTTGACCATGTTGCACTCATGGGAATGTCCCTGTCCCTTGCATTAAAAGTCTGGATTGGCTTTGAAAAGTCTCGCATTGTAAATGTTGCATGCTTGAACATGTTACGCTGTATGTGGCTGTAACAATGGAGCCACACATGCACTTGAAGTGCGCCGACTGCCTCTGGCTATGGTCATATACATAATTGCATGGGTGCTTGGTGCGTTTCTCTTTATTCTTTCGCGCCATGCGCTTGCTACAGGTCCTGAGGGCATCGGCGGCACCAAGGGTGTGAAGGGAGATCAAGGCGAGTCCGGTGTGGCTGGTCCAAAGGGTTTCCCTGGCGACGAAGGCGATGAAGGTGTTCCCGGTGACCAGGGTGACGAAGGAGAGAAGGGTGGCATGGGACCGGTTGGTGAACGTGGCTTCCAGGGTCTGGTTGGACTTGAAGGTAAGCAATGTCACCCCCTAAAAGACCTTGGGTATGGCTATATAGCCGCTTACAGCACTTGATCAAGGAAAACACCTCCTGCAGTGGATAACGTTAGACATACAGAATTGTGAATGACTCGTATGCACTGCCTGCATGCTTTAATAGCACTAATAACAGAGCCAGGTGCTTGCGCTGTGTACCATACATGTAGCTCGCTACCGATGCAGCTCTGAACTCTATAGATGTACCTCAGTTAGCAGCTGCCGTATAGCTTATTTGTCAATGCCCTTATATGTTTCACTCTGTGCTTCTATCAACACTATAAAGGTGATGCTGGTGATGAGGGTTTCACGGGTGCCAAGGGACCGATTGGAGAGCAAGGTTTCCCTGGAGATTTTGGTGACGAGGGAGAAATTGGCCTGAAGGGTAAGTCCACGCAGGCCTGTGTACTATGAACTGACCTTCAAACTATTGTACTGTGCACATGTATGATGAGCAAGATCGGTATTGCTGTATAATGTTATGCTGGCTGATGGGTTTTTTATACGTACTCAATCTGCAAACAGCTGGCTGGTTTGACCCGTTTAGGTCTCCTCTGCGGGACTTAGAGCCAATGGCTGATATTTGTACCTACAGTTCATTGACCACTGGCATGGCTTGTGTATAACGCTGCCGTGTTGTTATTGTGCAAGGTAATCCCACCTTGGATTATGCAACCAATGTGCATAGAGTTCACTGACTATGGCTGGTGTAACATTGCCGTGTTGTTTTTTATTCTTTCTTCTCACGATGGCACCAACGCCAATAAGAGAGTGTTGTTGTTGTTGTTGTTGTTGTTGTTGTTGTTGTTGTTGTTGTTGTTGTTGTTGTTGTTGTTGTTGTTGTTGTTGTTGTTGTTGTTTTGCAGGTATTACCGGCCTGGAAGGAGGCGCTGGAATGGACGGTGACGTTGGCTTTCCAGGAGATACTGGCGAAGAGGGAGACAATGGCGGAGACGGATTGCCCGGTGTGGATGGAGAGTTTGGTGAACCTGGTGAACGTGGGCCGACTGGTGTAACCGGCGAGAAAGGTTTCCCTGGCGACTTTGGCGATGAAGGTGTGGCTGGCTTTCCTGGCGATATCGGAGATGAGGGTCCTCGCGGGCAGAAGGGTGCCAAGGGAGATCAGGGACGTCGAGGTGCTAAGGGTGTCCTGGGCCCGATAGGAGTCACCGGAGAAGAAGGTGACTTCGGCGTCCAGGGCATTCAGGGCTTCCCTGGCGACCAGGGTGACGAAGGAGTCTTGGGCGAGCGCGGCATGGTCGGCGACACTGGAATCAAGGGCTTTGATGGCTTCCAGGGAGTACAAGGTACAGTATGTGCATGACATTTCCATATAAATTTGACAATACATGACAGTCTTGCCTTGGAACTAACATACTACAACTATAATACAAAGTACATATTTTCGGGACCTTGCACATTGCTAAGCCAGGCATTTCACCCCTGGATGTAGTGCACCTGAGATATGTGTGTGTGTGTGTGTGTGTGTGTGTGTGTGTGTGTGTGTGTGTGTGTGTGTGTGTGTGTGTGTGTGTGTGTGTATGTATGTGTGTGACCATTTGCGATACGTTTTGATTGAAGTTAAGAACATTGTAAAACGATCCAGCCAAGCTTTACTGATCACCCATGCATGTCGCATGGAAATCCAGTCTGTACCAATTCCTTATATGACCGCTCTCCAAAGGTAAATGGAGTCTTGTTGCAACGATTACTTTAGATGCGGTTTTCTGTTCATGTAGCCCCTCGCTACTAGCCATTAACACCTTCTGATGCATCTCCTTGTGCTTCTTCTAATGCTTCCCAGGAGACAAGGGCTTCAGGGGCGGTCAAGGCTTTCAGGGCTTCCAGGGTGTCAAGGGCATCCTCGGCATAGACGGCGACCTTGGTGATCTGGGCTTCCCCGGTGATGAGGGTGACGAAGGCCTGCAAGGACCGCAGGGCACCCAGGGGCCTAGTGGCTTCTTCGGCGTCACTGGCTTCGACGGAGACTCTGGTAGGATATACTCCAGAGTAGTTGTGTCACATGATGTTTTGCTGCTTCTGCAAACTGCTGTCCTCCTGCCACTTCTCACAGCCATGTTGTCAGGAAGTCCAATGATACCTGAGTAGAAGTTACAATATTTGCTTTTGACTCAAAACAAAATTTTGCCTCACTTGCTCACATCTAGCCACAGCAATAAGGTGTGGTTCGATTTCTTGACTCAAAACAAAATTTGGCCTCACTTGCTCACATCTAACCACAGCATTCAGGGGTAGTTTGATTTCTTGTATTTTGGATTCCCCGTCATAAAAGGTGAAGATGGCAAATTTTGTTATTACTAACGACAAGTGACTAGTTGAATACTAACACCAGCATTAAATTTCCGGTGCTTTGGTGACCGCAGGCGAACCTGGAGAGAAGGGTGCAAAGGGAGGCCCAGGCGATTTCGGTGACGGCGGTGAGTTTGGATTCCCCGGCATAAAGGGTGGAGATGGCGAACTGGGCGACAAAGGAAGGCAGGGACCCAAAGGCAATAAGGTACGCTCATCATGGTGAAGCTCTGTCAATAACCGTGGCATGCTGTATCTTGATGTCCAAGTCAGCTGCCTGGCGACCGGCACTTTAGGATACTTTAGCTAAGAAGTTAGCTAGGAGCACATAATAAAAATAATAATAATACAGGTCGCATGTCTCCCAAATAATGGGTTCCACGCATCTGTCAACTGTTTCATCATGAAAAAGATTGCAGCAGGAAGAATAGCATACGGAAAAAAACCATATACAGGTTCTAGCACATGACAAGCACACGCCCTTTTTTCTTTTTTTTTTGGAGCACATGAACTTCGAAAATAGTATGTTTCTGTATTTTGTGAGCATGGAGTGTATATATGCATGCTAGTTTTGAGATTCTAGGCACTGTTATAGTTAACTTCATGTCAGAATCAATGCACCAACATCTAAGTCTAAGACCAGTTTCAAGTGACAACTAGTTTGTGTTTTTGCTCTTTACACTGTGCAGGGAGCTGAGGGATTCCAGGGCCCGAAGGGTGATGTTGGCGACGAGGGACTACTCGGCATCATTGGCGAGGTCGGGGCAACAGGATTCACTGGTGATGTAGGAGATGCTGGAAGCAAGGGTGCCACGGGAGCACCGGGAGAGAATGCACCTAAAGGTAAGAAGGCCATGACTGCCAAGGTCTCGACTGGCTCTCCAACACTGCCGGAGAAGGTGATGATGGGTTCTGTTGATTACAAAAAATGATTACATGTGGGAGCCTTGTATTGTCATTCATCCCTATCAGACTGACATTGATGAAGCATCCGGTGTACAGCATCATAAGTTTGGAATTGCCCTCTCAGTGTTGTACTTCATCCATTGGAAATATTCAGACTCATGGTGATTGCACTAGACCCCGGGAAGAGTTTGTGACCAACAGACCATGCAGCATCCTGCTTCCTTTACAGGCCACAACAAGATAGCATACCCCTCCACGGTGCCTCCGCGTTCCTGGTCTACAAGTTGAAAGAACCGGGTATTTACAGACAACTTTCATGTAAAATCTCTGTTTCTTGTAGTGGATGTACATCCCACTGTTTGTCATTGTATCCTTTTATGTGACATGTATGCATTCATCCGACCGCGCTGTCCGGCATGCCAGTTGTACGGTACGCACTTTAGCTGTACCTGCCTGCTTGGCTTTGCCCTTCATCTCTCTGCCGTTCTCTGTATTCCCACACACTTGTGATTTGTTGGAAACGAAGCTAGTTACAAGATGTCTTTGGTGCGTTTGTAGAACCACTACATTTCCTATCTGTGTGTTCTTACACTCACCTGCAGGAGAGCAAGGAAACCGCGGTCGTGAGGGCGGCATTGGAGACCAAGGAGATGAAGGTTCCCAAGGGCAAAAGGGCTTTGTCGGAGACCAAGGAGATGAGGGCGTCCAAGGTGTGGAAGGCCAAAAGGGTGACACCGGCTTGCCGGCTGATATACCGAATGATGGAATCAAGGGAGAACAAGGTACGTTTGTGAGATCACATGCCAGCTGACTTTACTGTGTGTATGCAGGGCATTGCATTTTTGAGACCCGAGCACTTTGATGTGCTATATGTCTGAACTGCCGCATGGACCATTCACATACCAGCCCCTTTGTAGAGTTGGAGTATCACTTCCGTTGTACATTCATCAAGGTACCATGCTATGCAGTGTTCTGGTGTTGGTAAAAGGATGGATATCATTCCATACGTTTTACACCGTGTTGTTAGCTGGTGTGGGTGGTAAGCAATGTATTGTCAGTCTTGTATTCCCGGTTTGTGCCATGCATGAGTGAACTCTGCTCCCTTTCAGTACCTTTACTGAGTTTTCTGGTGTCGCTGTGTTCATTTCTACCTACAGGTGGTGTGGGCAACAAGGGAGAGAAGGGATCAAAGGGCTTCGGTGGCGATCAAGGCGATGAGGGTGAAGTTGGAGAGCCCGGCAGCATCGGTCTGCAAGGAGATACTGGCCCCCAAGGCTTCAGCGGAGAGTTTGGTGAGGTTGGACTGCCTGGCTTCCAGGGAGAGAAGGGCTTCCCAGGTGACCGTGGCAACAAGGGACCAGTCGGTGACATCGGACCGAAAGGACAGCCAGGACCGGTCGGAGTCCGGGGTGAAAAGGGCAACAGAGGCGAAGAAGGAATCAGTGGAGAAGGCGGTGATTTGGGCCCTGATGGTGCGCAGGGAGCCAAGGGTGGTATTGGACTTCCGGGTGGTCAGGGCGACCCCGGAAGCATCGGCATCAAGGGTGAGATCGGCTTCCGCGGTGCTGCCGTCGACGATTTCTTCATCGTCCGCCACAGCCAGACGCAACAAGTGCCCGATTGTCCGCCGGGCCACGAGAAGCTTTGGGACGGCTGGAGCTTGATGTACGTGCGTGGTAATGGCCACGGGGCTGGACAAGACCTGGGCGACCCCGGCTCGTGTCCACGTCGCTTCAGCGCCATGCCGTTCATGCGCTGTCACCCAGGAGGCTTCTGCCAGACGTCCGTGCACCACGACCGTAGCTACTGGCTAGCTACGGTCACTGAGATCACACGCCCAATGGGCTCCATGCTGCCCAACACTGTGACACCGCATGTATCACGATGCTCCGTGTGCACTGCACCGGCGGAGACCATTGCCGTACACAGCCAGGAGAATGTGCTGCCCGACTGCTACCCAGGATGGAAGTCACTCTGGGAGGGCTACAGCTTCATGCAGGTAAGCCTTAGATTAATGTAGGCATGTGTGTTTGCCTGTTGAACAGGGCAATGATGTGATCGGTATTGCTGCTCCGCAATAGTGGTGTTACAGCCTAGTGAGCATGTCTAAAGGACAAGCTCAAAGGAACCCTAAGTAGGCTCACGGTTGCAGCTACTAGCATTCATGTAGTCTGATTTTACCAATCCATGTATGCTGAAGACTGAAACTTCCCTGATTCCACCTTGGTATAATGCTCTCAAATCATAGTAGTAGAGCTATGGTGGTGGAGTTTATCTGGTAGAATCATTTTACTGACCCGGAGTATAGATCATTATGGAATTCTGGTGAAATAATCTAACTAACTTTACTGTTCTGGACCCTGCGTTTTAATTCTCTCAGGGAACGAGTGCAGCTGCCGAGGGCACAGCTGAAGGCCTCGACTCACCGGGTTCATGCTTGGAGCGATTCCATGCGGCGCCGTACCTGGAGTGTTTCGGTGGCTCTGGACGCTGCACGTTCAATGCGGTCAGCTTGAGTTACTGGCTCACCGCCTTGGACTCGTCTCAGCCAGGGTCGGTCGTCAGTGGTGGTGCCCTGGGTAGCACTGTAGCGCGCTGCCGTGTGTGCCAGAAGGACCCAGTGCCCTTGGCGTAGGTGAGAGCGTGAGCACACTGGCTACGGGGCTCAACACTCAGTAATGATACTATGACACACATCGCTCTAGATTCATACCAACCCTGCTGGACTGGGTATGTCACCAGGGCTGCTGCTGGTAACCAGCCTGCCTGGTGACTGCCCATGCACCATGGACAACTGAAAGGCAGATGGTGAAGTAGTACTGGCCTTTCAAGTTGGATAAGAGTGGTTCACTGGCTGCTGGAGCTGTTACAGCTCTTTGTCAGCCTTGGACAACTACGGCGAGTGCACCATTATGCTCGTATATGAGAACACGGGAGCACTCACACCCACACGTGTGCGCACACGCACACACACACACACACACACACACACACACACACACACGCACGCACGCCGCACACACAGAGTAGACACACGCCTCAACATACATCAGTTTAGAAATAGCCTCAGAAACGCCTTGTCCCGATCAGTCAATTCACAACCTGTTTTGCTTCTTCTAACAGCTAGCTTCTGTAAAGGTTCTGTCACGATACTGGCTGCAGTTAACGAATAGATGGTAATACTTTGCACCATGCTCTTGTACAATACTACTAGACTCATCAAGTAGACAGTCCCCCATTCAATACCTTAATTAAAACATCCGAAAGATCATTACGTTCACGGCACTGTAAGACATATTTCTACGTACTGCCCCGTCAGGTTGTGGAAACATAATCGAAACTTTATCCTGCTGCTGCCACACTGTAGCCCATTGACTCTTGCATGTTCTTGACATATACTTCTCATGCTAACTTGGCTACTCAACTCAACAAGATGATCTGGCTAGGCCGCTATTCCATATTGTCTTTGCTTTCTTGGCACGGCTTGGACTCCGGCGTGCCACGCCGGTCAAAGTGAGCTCTGCGGCGCATGGCGCTTTGTTCTCGTGGCTTTTCCTCTCATTACCGCTGTAAATTGCTGCCTAATTGTAAGATGAACTCAACTGAATACAGTCATGACTGATTGAGCGTGCATTGGTTGTCATGACGGTGAGCACTGACACTAGTTCAAGTTGTCAATGTGGCACATCTACCGGCTCCGATCGGATCATACGGTCTGGTGAATCATCTTTCAATGGTGAATGCTGCACTGAGTCACGGCTTGCGTCTAGCACTTCCTTGGGGGGAACGACACATGATCATTTCTCATTGGAGTACATGATCACAGAATTAGTACATGATCCGGCATGCGCGGCTGTCCGCTGACCAAATGCATGGTGACCGATCGGAAATGATTCACGCCGCGGGACAATCCCGAAGAGCGAAGTATAACTGTGTGTTTATGTCTGAGGCTGTGCACACAGTGCTGCCCAAGTGTTCCCGAACTTCCGAGTCAGTGCCGACTGCGAAAACGTCCGTCGAATGTTATGGGCATTATGCCACCAGAGTTTTATATTAGTCACTTCTGTGCCCTCGGGGTGTCGGATTGCTTAGTGCATGCCAGAGCTACAGCTTGTAGCAGAATCAAACTTTCCCTCTTGTTCCTTAATTCTGGTTTATTTTAAAGTTAAAAATAGTATTACTGGTATGATATCTGGTATGCAACCGAGACATGAATATGATTCTGAAAAAATTAAATGCATCCCCTGACGTATTAACGGTTTTTACTGCGTGGCCACCCCTCAGCCTCAGGTTTTGTTGCAATCTGAGATGAAAGGTAGTTCTTCCCATTTTATGCGGGTTCGTCCAGAGCGGCGTCGCTGGTGTAATGGTCAGCATAGTTGCCTTCCAAGCAGTTGATCCGGGTTCGATTCCCGGGCGACGCACAGCCCTTTTTTTCTTCTCACCACTCCCACAGTCTCCCAGCGAGGGCATGCATGCAGCTAGCTCTACACAGCGCGAGCGATACGATTGGCCACACGCGATATGCATGATGTGTCGTGGAAGACTTTTTTTGCAGCTTTGTTTTTTGTTTGAACTGTGAACTACTGCGGACTCCACACTGCAGCAGTGCCAGTACAGTGCAAGGGGCATCACTCGTATCCTTGTATCACGCCATTCAGGGCGGAAACTGTCCAGAGTTTGTGCTCCGTTTTGAGGTGTTGTGAATCGCTTGAATGCCCATGGTCTCCAGGTCACCTTCTTGATCTAGTGCTTAGAATTTTGAGTGACCACCTATTGTAGGGTATAAAAATAGCAGTCTTTTCCCCTTGAGAACATTTGTAGATTTCCCTTGCAAGCAATTTCGTAGCTTTCCAGTCAATAGTAGTCCAGTTTGGGTATGTAGTGGATTACCATGTACATAGGTGGAACTTCTGTTCTAGCATGCCCGTAGAATGGCGGCCGGAGGGGGACGAGATGGAGAACAACTTCTTGAGGAGCTAAGAGGTAAGCTAAACACAGTCAATCTTAATACCCACATTCGTACATAATTTCGAGGTAGCCTATTTCAGATACTCTAGTAGTCAGTAGCTTATTATTTTACATTACTTTTTATAATGAATATCAATAAAGTGTGAACGGTACCATTCGGCTGTTTTATAAAGCAACAATCTCTTCTCCTCTTCTCCTCCATGCGCTCTCACTGCTGACACATGGCTACCCTCGGTAGCCATTACACACATCAATAAACAACAAAGGGGTTACGGTTACTTCATACACTGTTAAATTCAGTTGCTATTCACAATCGCCGCATGCGCTGGATGAAAATTTCTTTATTGTGATGTCTAAAAGTCATGACGTTTCGGGCCAGCCACCAATCGTCAGAACAATGTACAAGGCTGCTGTTTTGCCGACTAAAGGCTCGTTAGAGAAGGTGATGCTGAATAGGATATTGTAACAGCTGTCAGAAGGAATATTGTCAGTAACAATACTTGAAGTACCCGTAACCCCTTCCTTGTTTATTGGTGTGTGTAATGGCTACCAAGGGTAGCCATGTGCCGGCAGTGAGAGCACATGGAGGAGAAGAGGATGAGAGATTGTTGCTTTATACTGAATTTGGAAAATGTCTTGGGCACAGGGGGGGGATAAAGTGTTATGTTAATTAGGCCCAATCCGACCATTTCCCAGCAGAAATCGGTTGCTGGCTTGGGCCTGATCAGTAGAATTAATGACTGCTCTACGATTCAGCGCCAGCCGTCGGGCCTAGTTTTACTCTTAGGGCAAGAATCGGCAATCGTGGCCTTCTCCAGCACGCTGGAATTTCTCACGTCTGTCTGCCAATCGATCGTCTATTGAATCAGAGTGTCATCGATTGGCGAATCTGGATTAAGTGCGAGCAGTTGGTGTGGTTCATTTCATTGCATGCATTTCATTGCAGGAAATGCGAAATGCAGGAAAATCTCCATTGTGATTTCCCGGTAAACGTGGATTTGCTCGTCGTGTGAATTGTATATTAGTGCCAACTTAGTGATCCTGGATGTACTGCTATGCTTTGGGTGTTGTGTTGATAATGTGTATGGCACTGAAATTATGCAGGGTGGATAATTGGTGTACATGTATATTGTACATGCATGTGAGACTGTGGGACAAGTCACACAGCCTGCATACTCTAACTCACCACTATGGAACCCCATTTAGGGTAGTGATGAAGCCAGCACAGTCTCACATGCTTGTGCATCGATTCTTCACACTGCTAAGTATCAGCGCGATACACACTATCAGCCCAGCACCCAAAGCATAGCACCACACCCAGGACCACCGACACCTCAGCCCTCTCTCTTTCCTTATATATATATACTCAGTACTGGCATGACCAACAGCATCCCCATGTTGCCTGATGATTTCACTGAGTATGAAACTGGTGAGCTACAACAAACTAGCCTTACTCCACTGTTATACTGCGTACTACGCTCTACCTTCGCGGCATCTGAGCACTTTCTCAGCACACTAGGTGCATTCTTATGTGTCTCCATAGTAGTACTGGATCAGTGAATACGGAAACCATCGTCGCGCTGGCAGTGACATAGCACTTTCAAACCCTATACTATCAAGAGTACAAGAAAGCCGGAGTGTGCAGCTCGAATGCAATGGTGTCGATGAAAAATGCCTGAATTACATTATTTTTAGTGATGCAATGTCGGAGTGCATGCAATCAGGATTCAAGCAGGTCTTTTCCTGCACACTTACAACTCAGCGGCATGCACTACACCACTACTCGCTGCTGCTGCTGCTGCTTATCTGTATCAAGTATGGTGTAGTTGAGGAGGTTCGCCACCATGGGTACCCAATCGAGAGCTGCCCATTCTGTTTTTCATGTGCTCTTTTAGTACTCCAGGAGTGTTGTTCCGGTGTTGGGAATCTGTATGCTGCGCTGGGACAACATGCAAGCGTGTCTAGATCTTGTTCTAGTCGTCTACATTGTCTGTGTGAACTGCGCTGCTTTCTTGTACTGTAGCCGGGTACTTACGCTTGAAGGACTCGCCAACGCCGATCCGGGATGGCCAGCCTCACCTGGTTCCATTCTGTGAGACGCTGGAGAATATCCTGAGAGTTGGACTGAAGCGTGAGTTCTGCTAGTGCTAGTACCTTGAAACTGGCTTTACTCCTTAGCTAAGTTGAGATATTTTTGCTGCAGTGTATAGATTGACAGCACTGCATGTGTTTGCACTTGGTTTTGTTGTTACTTTTGATTTTTTGGTTTTCCCCACTACCCTTGTTTGCGCTTGCCTGCTCTGTCTTCTCCATGCTCTTCTGAGCAAGTGTGTGTGTGTGTGTGTGTGTGTCTGTCTGTCTGTATGTCTGTCTGTCTCTTTGTTTGTCTGTGTCTGTCTGTCTGTGTCTGTGCATGTCTGTGTCTCTGTCTGTGTATGTATGTGTGTATGTGTGTGTGCGTGTGAGCCTTGCAAGCTGTTGAATGGTGTAATCCCAGCACAAGTTGCTATGGCTTCTGCCGTAGCATTGCTATCATCGCCTCCGGCGATGGGCGTCAAAGGTCAAGGTCAAGGTGTGTGTGTGTGTGTGTGCGCGCTTGTGTGTGTGTGTGTGTGTGTGTGTGTGTGTGTTCTGGTTGCTGACATTGTTTAACTGCTGCTCTTGTGCGTGTTGACTCTGTTAGAACCGGGCTCTATCCTGCGCGTCACCCGTCGAGATTACTGGGATTGGATTGAAGTTCTGCCGACAACCAGTGGCTGTAATGTCAAGTGAGGAGTAGTACAATATTCGTCAATCCGTAATACTAGCCTACTTGCAATGTTCTTGGGTTTACCTTGCCGAAGCACCGGTATTTGAGCCAGTAGTAGCAGTCTAAACCTATGCTTCTCCAGTTTGATCAAATTCATCAATTTTAGTAATGAATTTCGTTGTTCTTAATATTGCAGATTAGTACAGTGGTCCCTTTACAATCCGGCACCAGTTGTGATACGGAAATTCTGCTGGATTAGGGAGGGTGCTTGATTAGAAAATCCGACTTACTGGTGCAATGCGCATCAAAAGGGCATTTTGGTTACTGAAAATTATGTTTGAGAGGGACGACTGTATATCATCATTTCCCTCTATGTCATTGCAACCGTTTGTACCTTTCTGTATCCTTTGCTTGCAGAAAAAATCCCCTTCTCACCGAGGCAGTGGATTCTGTTCGCAAGTCACCCGTTGTAAGGAAGAGAGATTGTATATTGTTCTTGTTTTGTCCTGGTGGTAGTAGTATCACACAGACTTCTTCTGTCCTGTAGGTTTGTGATGTGCACTCTTTGTTTTCAGTGAATTTACTGTTGACTTCTAGCCAGATGCAGGGTTCCTCTTCTGGATATCAGCCTTTCTTTCAGCAGATGGCACATCTGATGTGGAGACTGAGTACGTGCTTGTTCTGCTCTGCCAATCTCTGTCCATGTTCTAGCTCAAGACGCCTCAAGGCCGCGGCCGCTGCTTCTTGCGCATGGCACTCGTGCAGAAGTTGGTACCAATACCGGTAGAGCATCTCCGCAAGAACCCTAAGCTTCTCTCGGTAAGCAAAGCACCTGTACATGTATATTGCAAAGCTTCAAAGATATACAGTCGCATTGGCAGTGTGAGACTATAGAGCTTTCCATTGTTCTTTCGTGTACCTTGGCTAGGAAGTGTATTGTCCTCTCTTACTATGATTGTGTTTTGATCAGAGTTGTGCCTTTTAGTGAAACAAGTTTCACTGTTTGCACGAGACCCAGTCAGACTGAGTTTTCCGCATCCGTAGTAACACCACCACACTCAATGTTCAAGGAGCAGATGTTCAGGCGCAGAATTATGTCTCACTTTTAGTAGTTGATTTTAAACGCCAACGTGTACTGTTTATGAACGCTCAAAGCTGCTGTTGACAAATTGTATGTGTATATGTGTTTGTTGGTTTGGTGTGTTTCTTTTTGTGGTACAGTATTGGTACAGCAAGGACTCAATCATCCACCATGAAGAGCTTGCAAGTACGTGTTGGTTAGGTAACTTAGAAGTCAATATAAAGCAAACAGGAAGATTGAATACATGGGACAGTGGGTGAGCGAAAGGACAGGTGCTAAGATGATTGGCATGTCTTGATGTTGGCACTTGTCCGCTCAGTCCCTGTGCATGGATTTTTGACATTCGTTTCCAAATTTTATTTTCTTCTACGGTGTGATAACCAGTGCAATACCCGTTTTCCTCAGTCCTGGCATCAAAGTAAGTTTTACTTGATGTTTTCTTTTCTTTTTCTCTGTGCAGGTCAGCTAGTGCACATTCTCTTTGAAGTTACTGAGATTGACTTTGAGCTAACTGAACGGGTACGTGACATTTTATTCCTCTGGCCAGTGTGGGGACGAGCATTTCTCTGTTGGGCCAGAAAAAGGAGAATGGAGGAACCAAGAATCCCTATTGAGACATGGTTAGGGTTAATTTAGCTAAACATCAAAGTCACTCGGACCGCATGCTTTCAGTGACTGTACAGCAAACAATGACGTGGCACCATGGGTTTTATGGATCTTGAGAGGGAGGCTCTTCATCCTACGGTAGCCAATGTACTGTAACTTGCTGTGCTCACTTAAAGCCTGAGTTGTGTTGCACTTTCAACTGCACTGCCTGGGAAAAAGAGCTCGCTTTTGCAGACCACAGGGTACGTCTGATTACTATGCTTCAGTCTCTGCACTGCAGCCGTTATCACTTTTATATCTAACTTTCATTTTGCTTGCCCTGCTTGATTCTTCTTCTCCTCTTCAGGCTAGTTTCCTGGACGAAACGTGGATCATCCCGGTAAGGCCGCTCTCATGCACTGTTGTCTTCACAGAGGCTGATTCCACTACAGTGCATTTCAAAACTATAGACGCGTAGGGTTTTTGAAATATTTCAAATTTGGCTGGAACTTTTTGAGAATAGTTTTCGGAATATTGCTCAGGATCGCTCCACAATTACTCTCATAATTATAGTTTCTAAAGGATTGGATAACAGACGCCCAATTTGGAAAAATTTATGCACAAAGTGATCACAGATTTTATGTGGTATAGATGCTGGCATAACGGTTTTTGCCTAGGTACGCGTCTATAGTTTTGAAATGGACTGTACATGATGCGGTGCTGCCCAGCACTTGGGGAGCTCAAAAGGTTTTTTTGTTTTTTCTCTCCAAGTGCTCATACTCAATGCACAAGTTCAGTGCAAACGGTATAGCTTCATGGTTGCTGTGTTCAGTGCAAACTGTATAGCTTCATGGTTGCTGTGTTCAGGGGCAGATCAATCCCGATTCTCGTAGCTGGTTCATCACTGCACTTGTTTGTAATCTTACTAACTGTACTGTATATTGGAGCTGAGCTGTAATGGTCTTGGGCTGCGGGTATGCAGCTAATCTGTACTGGTGTGATGGTTGTGATGTTTGTGATGCCCTGTAGGAATATGTTTCCGTTGAGCTAGAACCATGCGAGCGTCTCGGTCTGAAGCTAGTGTAAGTTTATCTTGTAGCACTGTTTGGGTACTTTGTCTCGGCTAGTGGTAGGCTGTTGTGCAAGTTGCAAGCTGAGTTATCCGCGTTTTTTTCTCCTGTAGCAATCTCTGAAAGTCGAATTCGCTTCCTTTTCACTCATGTGACGTGTGCGAATGTGTGTGTGGGTGTTTTTGTGTATCTTGCATGTCATTGTGCCATGAGTGGGGTTGCACCACTCCCCCCCCCCCCCCCCCTCAAACACACACACACACACGTGTACACTGCTATTGTGTTCAAAACCACTTTTGCCCTGGCTGGTACGGTGGTTACTCTGTGATCTTCTTTCCACGTTCAGAGTTTGCTGACGTAGCAGTGCCAATGGTCAATGTGCAAAGCTGCACAGGCGCTTGATCGCCAAGCAAAGGTGGCGGTTTGAAGATATTGGACGTTGTTTGTTGTGTGCACAATACAGGCATATGAGAAACCGAGTGCTGGTCGATGGACTGGTCAAAGGCAGTATTGTAGAGAAGGTCAGTGTCTTTTGTTCTGTTTATTTATTTTTATTTTTTTAGTTTTACAATGTCAATGGCACACTAAATGCAAATATTTCAGGAACCAGAAACTTACTTTTGTTTTGGGAAATGTTAGCTATGATTGATCCATTGTCGTCATGGTTCCTGTCATTGCTTTTTCTATAAATCGCATGCCCTTTCCTTTTAGTTTTCAATGTATGATCGATTTGTTTTTCGGTGTTCTTTTGGCTCAGTGTGGCATTGAATCTGGTGACATTGTGGATGAGCTGAACGACGTTCGTCTCTTTGGCGTCAAAGTTGGTCAGGTAATGTCCTGTAGTATTTAGAGATCATAAAAGACTCATTATCCCGAGTTTGTTTTATGGTTCTATGTGTGATGGCATTACATGTATTACAGTCCTTGCTGCCCAGGGTGATCCCATGTTTATATCCTCATTGTCATGGGGTGAGAATGTTGTCGTGGCAGGCATGTACTGGTGCTGGTAGTGAAGTTTTGCTGTTATGAAGTAACTTTACGCTTGGCGTATCTCAGATTCTCCGTCCTTGGCTAGGACATGCCGTGTTATGCGTTTGTAGTGATGCGTTAACACATCGTGTTGAATCTGTCCATGTTTCCCCGCATACTCGTGTGGGCCCTGCCTTACAACAATTCATACCACATGTATAAGGTAAATAGCAGTTTGCGTCCATGCCATTTGTCATTGCGTTGCCATCACCTCATTGGTCCCCTCATATTGTTGTGTGCTATCATCTTGTCCACGGCTGCAGGCTCAGAATCTTGTATCTCGACACAGGGGTATGATCACCATGGTCATAGTCAAGGTGAGTTGCTTTGCTTGCGAGTGTGTTTGTGTTTGTGCATGATGCTGCTGCAGATATGGCTTGCACTTATTCCGTGTGTGTGTCTGTGTGTGCGTTTCTGCGTGTGTGTGTGCGTGTGTGTGTGTGTGTGTGCGTGCGTGTGTGCGTGTGTCAAAAAAATGAAGAAAGAATGAAAAAAAATGAAAAATAGGGATTCACTGGGCCAGAAAAAGCCACTTCAATCAGCTGTGTGGTATAGACCAGGCTAAAATTACTGGCGGTCAATTCATCAGCCTTGCAAGCTGTTGAATGGTGTAATCCCAGCACAAGTTGCTATGTCTAACATAGCTGTTCGCTATCATCGCTTCCGCGATGGGCAGGTCTGAGGTGCGGTGAAGTGTGTGTGTGTGTGTGTGTGTGCGCGCGCGTGCGTGCGCGCGTGCAAATTTGGTATTGCATCGCTAGTTTCTTGTGTTGATATATGACACATTGATGCAGCAGTCAGGAGGCAAGCTTGATGCTTGACGTAATTATTCAAGTTATCCTATTGTGTCTGTCCTCTTGTGCGATACCTGCGTGCAGAGCAGAATGAAGGACGGCACGCCGTTTGCTCCTTGTCAGCTGCGGCAAGCGCAGGTGGAAATGCAGCGATTGCAGAGAGCTAAGGACGGCACTAGCAAGTCGGGCAGCAACAGTTCTGATTCACCATCATCACCCAAGGATGTTCTGGACGTGTAAGACTGGCTGTGTTACTAAAATGCCGGGTGCCACGTGAAATCCAACCCCTGGACGCGTGTAAAGCTGTGATCTAGGGGTGGATTTTACTTGGTACCATTGCATTATACTGTGGTGATCATGAAATCCAACCCCTGGACGTGTATAGCTGTGACCTAGGGTGGATTTTACTTGATACCATTGCACTATACAGTGGTGATCATGAAATCCAACCCCGGGAAGCTTGTAAAGCTGAGATCCGGGTTAGAATTTACTTGGCACCACTATTGTATAGGAGTAGTGACTAATGAAATCCAGTCACTGGAAGCTTGTAACGCTAGGATCCAGGGTGGATTTTGCTTTGCACCACTAGTGCAGTATTCTATATTCGACATTTACCCTTGCTAGAAATCAACGAAATATTGTCTTGGATTTTGGCAAACTTGATTCTGGCACAAATCAGTAGTTGCAACTTGGGCAATAATCGTAAGAAGGCTGGTTGATTAGTGGCTGCTCGCACTTTTCCCGTCGACTTGACTTCACACTTGACTGACTCACGGCTGACATCCAGAGCACTGTAAAAGTGGTTCTCTTCAGACACATTTTTCCTCGGCCTACTCAAGCTCAAGTGATGAGGGCGACTTCCCTGAAACACTGCATACAGCCAACTTTGCGTATAACGACACTCGGCGGGGCATCAGAAAAGTGTCCTTATTCGCGAAGTGTCGTAATACCCGAAGTCTCATTATATGCGTTACAGTTATATGGGGCTTTGCTCTGGGCATGGAAATTCTGTCGTTATTCACGAATTGTCGTTATATCCGTAGCCGTTATTGGCGAAGTTGACTCTGTACTGAGCAGGGGAGTGGTGCTTTCTTGCAGGTTTGCCGAGTCGAAGGTTTGCTGGACTTATCGCATGCTCAGGATGGCATTCGCGAGTCAGCCAAATGTTGTCAAGTCGGCAGGGAAAGCGCGAGCTCGAATGTTGCGAGGAACGAACCTTTTGATTCTGGCAGTGATCGAATTTTACAAGCTATTGTTTCGTTTTAACTTGTCGCTCGGCCCTAGGCCCTGTACTTCATCGAATCTTCACCGGTCATTTCACTTAAAAATAAAAAAGAGGTTGTGGCGACTTCAGCGATGCTTGGGGAACAATTCTCCGGCTCGTAAAAGTATTTGAAAAGATGCTGTGACCGCCTAATTCCAAACTGCACCTAAAGCCTTCATCACTTGTAGTGACGTACCGTGTTGTAGCATGCCCTTTGCAGAAGGCAGTTCTGAAGCATCCGCTCTCAATCAATTTCCTGGTCTGGCATGCATTCTGCATACGCTCCCTTCCCTCATAGCGAGTTCTCTTCTTGTGTCCTAGTTGTTGGGATGCACTGCTGTGTGTGCTGTACAGCCTTCGCTTCGATGTGGTGATGCTGGGTGTGGCGGCCATAGACAATGTAAGTAATGTGTGTCCTATGATTGGTGTGTGTGTGTGTGTGTGTGTGTGTTCGTGAGTGTGTGGTGTGTGTGTTCGTGCGTGTGTGTGGTGTGTGTGGTGTGGGGGAGGGGTGTATGGTGTGTATGGTGTGTGTCAGTGAATGTGAGTGTGTGTGTACTGTGCTGTGCTGTACAGTGGTATGACAGACACTGGATAAAAGTGATCTCTCCACTGCCAGCGAATCGGGTCCAAAAGTTAGACACGAGTATGGCCACTATAAGTACTGTATTACATGTCATTTTAGGTGTCATTTTGGTGTCAGGCACCTGATGGGACTTCCAAGTGAGATTATGTGACCAGCATTCCCTTCACATACCGTGCATGCTCTAGTACCTTATAGATGTAATCGAAAATTAGGCGCTTGGTTTCTCTGCCGAAATTAAAGGTGCACTGAAAATAACGTGTTATACAGTGCGTACTTATTTATGGGCTTTTTCGGCTGTTGTTATCTGGGGAGAATATCTTGTTGCTTTTCCATAACTCTTGTACACTGAGATGTTGAGTTTGTAATGCTACTCAAGCAGATGAGCGTGAATGGCTACAGCTGGTCTTGAATCACTGATTTAGGGAAATCCGAAACAGAATCTATCTGCAAGAAATCACGGTTCACGTTAGACTCAGTTAGGCTGAGTTTTCCGCATCCGTCGGAACGCCACCACCCTCAAGGGTCAAGGCGCAGATGCAGCTATAGCGTGTCAAATTCGCTTCATAATTATTGGTTTCATGCTTTCCTTCTACATGAGTGCGAAGATGTGACTTGTGAAGTATCATCAAGTATTATGGCCGGGATCGTAATACAATTTTCAACGGTTTCTTGGACAGATCCTTTCTAATGTGTCACGTCTGTCCTGCGTGATTTGTATGTACATGTGCGCAGCCCGTGGAGGATGGCTCCATAGACGATGCCATACACGACGTGCTGGAGGGAACAGGAAAACCAGAGGTATGGTTGCGGGTTTGTGAGTGCAGACTGTTTTAGTGTGTTTGTCCCGCGGGGGGATACTGCAACAATGGTTTGTATCAGCAATCATTACAACACCCTTGCAAGGTACATGAAGGTACCAAAGCAAAGATACACGTGCCAGCAAAGATGCTAGATTTCTAGCTCTGGCTGACCGCTCGATGGCTACTATTTCTCATGGTCGTACCCTGGCTCTTTGTCTTCAATATTCGCTGTTTGCTTGCTGCTGCTGCGGCTTATTTGTCTGCTTCGCTGTAGGCCGTCGTTCTATCTTTGGAGCGTGCTCACCTACTACTTTACAAAAACGACAACAACTCCACAGTAAGTTAGCTCTGCTTCACCTTCTTTCTATTTTGTGGGACATTTGGGCTTGTAAGTGTGAGTATGTCTAGTAGTCAACATGTAGCTGAGCTGTTCATGTCAACCAAGTGCATGTTCATACTTTTGGAGTGTAATAACTGTTGCCAGCAAAACAGAGCATACCAAATATACCATGCTGTGCCCCCTCTCTCTCCCTTTGTGTATGTGCGTGTGTGCGTGTGTGTGTCCTTAGCCTCTTCATTCATTCCCTCTGTCTGAGGTGGCTGCATGCGCACGCGGTGTTGTGCACCGTACCTGTTTCGGGTTTGCCACTGGGTAAGATCAATAATGTTTGTTATGCCTACTCCAAGACCATGTTCTTATTTTCTACTGGAAACCACCTCCGGTGATATTGATAAGGAGATCCTTGTGTAAAGGAATGACACTCACAGAGCCACACAAAGCTTTTGAGATCTATGTACAGTCAACTTCGCTAATAACAGAGAGGTTTTGCATTCCGAATTTCGGAATGATTTTCGACTGCTTTTCCGAAAAAAGCGCGTTCCGAAAAACGGTATTTTCAGTGTTTTGCATTCCGAAAATCTGATTCGACTTCGTTTCCAAGGGTTGCCATGCAAAACAAAATGGAGAGCGTCGAAGGGATTGAGCAGGATCAGGGAGTCGTAAAATACCTGGTATTTTACGACTCCCTGAGCAGGATCAAATCCATGTGTACAGGTCAAACTGAATTTGGGTGCGGTTCGAAGACGAGGACGGACTGATGGTGGACCAAGTGATCCAACAGCTGAAGACGAGGTTGGCGAACTACTCACGTAACTGTCTTGTACTGTCAGTAGGCTCAAAAGGAAGATAGAGTGTGATGGAGTGTGAGAAGATTAGTCAACATGGCGAGATCAGCGAGAGCAGCAAAAATCAAAACTACATACGTGGAAAATTTTCAAATAATCGAGAGCAGCAGAAAGCAAAAATACAAACATGAAAAATACACTTTTTTGTATTCAAATATGCACTCCCAAACATGGAAGAGCCGAAAATCCATTTTCGGAAAACCATGCACTTTCGCCACCACACTTCCGAAAGTTCGACTACTTTTTCGACTGCTGCCGCCACATTCCGAAAATAATTCCGAAATTCGGAATGCAAAACCTCTCTAACGACTGCGGATATAACGACAATTCGCGAATAACGACAGAATTGCCATGCCCAGAGCAAAGTCCCATCCCACTGTAATACATAAGATATTATAATGAGACTTCGGGTATAACGACACTTCGCGAATAACGACACTTTTCTGATGCCCCGCCGAGTGTCGTTATAAGCGAAGTTGACTGTATGTAGTATATGATGCATGGGGTATGCACACCACTGACTAGTGCCTGCAGCAGTGTGCACTAATGGAGCATGTACATTGCACACTACTGCAGATGATGCATGGAACATGGCATTGCACACTACTGCAGATGATGCATGGAGCATGGCATTGTACACTACTGCAGATGATGCATGGAGCATGGCATTGCACACTACTGCAGATGATGCATGGAGCATGGCATTGCACACTACTGCAGATGATGCATGGAGCATGGCATTGCACACTACTGCAGATGATGCATGGAGCATGGCATTGCACACTACTGCAGATGATGCATGGAGCATGGATGATGCATGGAGCATGGCATTGCACACTACTGCAGATGATACATGGAGCATGGCATTGTACACTACTGCAGATGATGCATGGAGCATGGCATTGCACACTACTGCAGATGATGCATGGAACATGGCATTGCACACTACTGCAGATGATGCATGGAGCATGGCATTGCACACTACTGCAGATGATGCATGGAGCATGGCACTGCACACTACTGCAGATGATGCATGGAGCATGTACACTCTAATCTATTGACCAGTACCTGGAGCATGTACACTACTGACCAGTGCATGTATGCTGCTGAACGTCATTTCCCATGAGTAGAGTAGCACTGTGTGTTTGAGTCCACAGTCTAGTGCAGGTAGTACTGGGGTTGTGCACCGCCAGGACCTGTTCTATTCATCAGGTGGAATTTCATTGATCCACACTGTACATCATGCTAACATTGCCCATCAATACCCGGTGCTTCCGTATGCGAATATGTTCTTATCTGCGTGAGAAAGAGCATCGGGGAAAAGAGCCGAGCACAGCAATAATAAAACTATGCCCTCGTATACGCGAGATCGCAGTACTCGGTGTGTTTGTGTGTGTGTGTGGGGGGGGTGGGGGGTGGGGGGGGGGGGGGGGAGGGTGTTGTGGGTGCGTGTGTGTGAGAGAGATCTTGTCTTTCCGAAAACATACATTAGGTTCTTGTACTTGTATATACTTGCTTGTTCTCACTACGGCTTCATTGCGCTTTGATTTACAGGGATTGCCGGGCGGAGGATCTAGATGGTTTCATATTCGAGACGTCATCAGACACCAAGGCTAAGCTAGTGGTGCAAGCCATGGGTAAGGAGAATGTTACCGTGGCATGCCGATGTGCTCACATGCTTTGACATGGCTTGCCACGACTGTGATGCTCAGCACCAAATCAGCAGTGCATGTCTGTTGCCTTTCCTACAAGCTGTATCTTTTTTTCTCTTTTGTTTTGTCTTTCATGTGGCTGTCAGATGTTGTCATTTTGAGGTGCTGACTCTGAAAGTCTTCTGCTTGCAGGCTTGTGTATACACCATGTGGAAGAGAAGCTGATTGTGCTCTTTATTAGGTCGCCGTTGTCTCCTGTCACTTCCAGGTTGTCTCATTGAAAGAGTTACTTTCTATGCTCTTGGCCAAGTAGCGGTCTTCGGCTGACTGTTCGTATTTCCGTTTCTGCATTGCCCTGCAGTTTCTGCATTCAAGCGCAGCACATGGTTCGTCCCTGTTCCGCCGCCAAACCCAGCGGAGGCATTGCCTCGTTCGCTGTCGCCAATGTCGGGGCCACGTTCGGCTGAAGCAGCAACCTCTGATCGCCGCCGCCAGCCTAGCACTTCATCATCAAGCCGCAGCTCATCACGTGTGCGTAGCTTCAGTTCCAGTCCTGAGCGATCTGCCCGTCATCACCAGTACGCCAGCACATCGCAAGAAGATCCACCGCCGGCCATCGACTCACCATGCATCACATACAACCGTTCGAGAAGTGCTAAACCGAGTATTGGCGAGGCCAGCAGTGCTGCCATCAGCGTTAGCAGCGAACACTTGTCCGACCCCATCCTACGCCGAAGCTGGGACCAGTCATTCTATGGCGAAGCCGACGAAGACGAATTTCCCGACGAATCGACGGAGGAGATTGATGCGGCGTTTCATGATCCGACCAGCACACCACCCAGCATTGCCCATGCAGCTGACGGCACAGTCTATAGTGATTTTGAAGTGATCAGTGAGGGGGATTCCCCACTTGGAGCCAACACACAGCAAAGCTATTCTGATCGCGCGGAATGTCCGAAAACTGAATCGCCAGAAACAGTTCGACAAGCACATATATCTCCATCCTGACCTTCTAAAAAAAAACTTCAAAACACTTCTATGTTGATATTATCTTGAATCGTCCGTCGTCACATTCACTGTCCCGAGATCCTTTGCTGCTGATAGGGTATGTTTGATGCATGCTTGGACTGTGAGTCGTTGCCACATAGCTATCAATATCTGACCTTACTCACCTCTACTTGCTACACATCATTACAATACTTCCTCTCCATGTTAAATGCTGATCCTTTTTCCGCGCCGCATTATTTCCTGGTTAGCTCGGCTCAACGTTCCAATCAATGCTGCTGTCTTTTTTTTGCTGCACTTCCAGTATTTATCTCATGTCCTGCTGGCCGGGACTTTTAACTATTTTTCTTCTTTCTCACCTCCCTGTACATTTTCTTCGAAGTTCTGTTCCTTTTTTTCCTCTTTTTAAAATAATTTGTTGGTGGGAAATGCAAGGAATATTATACAGCTTGGAAGTGCAGTGCAGTGCAGTGCCTGCATGCATACTGTCAGTAACACCACAACCCAGTGTATGTACACATACCGGTGCTGTTGTCGTGTCTGAGCTTGAACGTACGTGTACATGTATGTGCATCGAATCGCATGCTGTCTAATTACAAGCCGTTGTCCTGCTAGTGTTGTGAGAACGGCCGTCCTCACATTGCTGGATATTAAGCTGCATGTTTTTATTGAGGTCAACATGCATGTTATTCCTGACGTGACGCGCAATTTCATGTTCAATTTGGTGCAAAACTCCTAATTTCGATGTGAGCTGCAGGTCACTCGCGTTGTTTTCCAACGCGCGAGGTGAACATGTCAGAAATAGCGTGCATCTTAACCTCTCTATTAATATTATTGACGTGACGCGAAAGTTCAGTTCACGTTTATTTGGCTTGCGCGTTGGAAAACAACGCGAGTGACCTGCAGCTCACGTCGAAATTTGGAGTTTTATGCCACATTTGACCTAAAATTGCGCGTCACGTCAAATATAATGTGCACCTCTCTATTGTTGCCTTTATGTATCGTGGAACCTGAGAAATGAAGACACCCCATGCCCAGGCAAGACCCATTTCAAAGTCACTGTGTTACCATTGACAATATTGTAGTTTGCGAATTTTTTATAACCCCGTGTTCGTTGCAGTAGTACATTTAAAAATTAATAATCATTGCGAAAGTGCATGCATTAGTGTCAGTCATGCGCCAGGACATAATTATGTACATACTCTCACACTGTTTAGCGCTGTTATTTTCACGTCCAGCTTCAGATGAGTTATTATTTCGCACATTTTCCAATCCTGGCCTGCGCCGACACGACAGGGCCAATACAAATGAACAGTGAAGAAATAATAGAAGCACTGACTGAGCGGAACAAGGAGCATGAATCATGTTGGTCTACTTCCCTTTGGTTTTTGACAGCTCGCTGACTCCGGGCTGAACCAGCGATGCACTCAATTCTCTGTCTTCTAGACTCGATTATGTCACCTGATGCATGATTCAGATGTGCAGAAAATAGTTGGTGCCAGACTGCCAGTGCTCCCCCTGTAGCTGTCAGCAACCAATGACATTATGTACTACAATACTCATAGGATAGATCTGCAGGGGTATTAGTCGACTTGGTTCCGCCAGGCAACTTTTCTCACAAACTCGTCCACGCTCCCATTTCACAAACTTGCCAGTTCTGTTTCAGAGTCGTAGCTGCTAGTAGCCTACGGTCTTCCCATTATTGTTTACGCGGGGAAGTCAGCAGTCGACATGGCGTCTAGTCAGGATATACCCAAGGAAATGGAAGCAATCGTTTGCCATGGAATAAGTAAGTTCACACATAATTTTTGGACTACTCCTTTGAATATACAAAAGCAATTTATAAAATGTGCATGTTAGCCGGTCACTGGGGCCGGGGGTGACATGACTTGTACTACCGTATTTTCCGGAGTATAAGCCGCACTTTGAACACTCAAAATTCATTCAAACAAGAAAAGAGGTGGGTGCGGCTTGGGGGGGGGGGGGGGGGGGGAGGGGTGCGGCTTATACTCCGGGAAATACGGTATATGGAATTAGTCATAGTCACTGTTAGTGGTGGAATATTCGGCTGTGACCGTTGAAGTATCGCACAAGAGAAAACTATGAACTTGAAAATGAAAGTATCGGAACGTCTCCACTCCAGTAGCATACGTAACGCATGCATGGCATACTTCAAACGCAGGTGCTGACGCGGCTGTTTGTGTTCAGAAAAGTATTTGTATAGGCAAGGGCGGCGGAGTGCCGAAAGTCACGGATGTCATCCTGCACTCCAAGCTCTCCGTTGTTCCTGACAACATGCTACCCTGCCATTGGATGAACTGCATAAAGTTTGCAACATGCCGCAAAATGAACAGGATTTTGCTGGAAGAGACTCTGTTGAGACCTCGTACCTCTTCCACTTCTGGGGCAGATTCACATTATAACTAAATCATATTAGTTTTGGGCGGACCACCACAACTCATTCTATCCTTGCATTTGGCTAACTAAACACTTTCTTTATCTTCTGTCAATTCCCACTGCCAACACTGCAGAGGACTATCGGTTCGAAGTCGTACCTGTGCCGGAAATCGGCCCCGGTGAAATACTGACCAAGGTCTTGGCTGTGGGCATCTGCGCCGGTGATGCCAAATGTTACGCTGGTGCTATGTTGTTCTGGGGTATGTCTGGCGAGGGTTACACCATGCAAGCAGCATTGCTTTGAAGTAGTTTCATCACAAACAAGTTAGATTTTCTAGGAGAGATACCTGTATAACCATTACAGCCACACTGTCACAGCAAGCCAGTTGTCCACTGCCTGAAAAGTACTTTGTGTTGATACTGAACAATAGCTGGCCTTGCACCTTCACAGGAAATTTATTCCCACAAGCTTTAATTTAAAATGTCCTGCTTTTCTAGTACAGCCATGCAATTTACTGCCATTGTCAAGTGCAGCTATTTGTTAATTAACTATCCTGACCATCCAGCGGTAATGTCTGTTGTGTTTCTGTCCACTGTGTTGCTGTCCACTGTGTTTCTGCAGGCGATAAGGATCGCGAGGCATACTGTCAACCACCCATCATACCTGGCCACGAGTTTATCTGTGAGGTG